TGTAGATACAACATACCCAAACTTATGGGACACTTTGAAAGCAGTACTAAGAGGAAAGTTCATAACAATAAGTACCCACATGAAGAAACTGGAGAACAGTCATACTAGAGAATTAACAGCACAACTGAAAGTTCTAGAACAAAAAGAAGCAAACTCACCCAGGAGGAGTAGACACCAGGAAATAATCAAATTGAGAGCTGAAATCAATAAAGTAGAACCTAGGAAAACAATACAAAGAATCAATGTAACGAAGAATTGGTTCTTTGAGAAAATCAACAAAATAGACAAACCTTTATCCAAACTAACCAAAAGGCAGAGAGAGAGAGAGAGCATGATAATTAACAAAGTCAGAAATGAAAATGGGACATAACAATGAAAACTGAGGAAATCTAGAGAATCATCAGATCATATTTTGAAAACCTGTACTTCACAAAATTTGAAAATCTAAAGGAAATGGACAATTTTAAGGATAGATATCACTTACCAAAATTAAATCAAGAACAGATAAGCAATTTAAATAGACCTATAACCCCTAATGAAGTAGACGCAGTCATCAAAAGTCTGCCAATAAAAAAAGCCCAGGCCCAGATGGCTTCGGTGAAGAATTCTACCAGAAATTCAAAGAATAGCTAATACCAGTACTTCTTAAATTGTTCCACACAATAGATGCAGAAGGGACATTGTCAAATTCTTTTTACAAGGCTACAATTACATTGGTACCCAAGCCACACAGACACAACTAAGAAAGAGAACTACAGACCAATCCCTCATGAACATTGATTCAAAAATACTCAACAAAATACTGGCAAATCAAATCCAAGAACACATCAGAAAAATCATTCACCATGATCAAGTAGGTTTCATCCCAGGGATGTAGGGATGGTTCAACATACGAAAATCCATCAATGTAATCCACCATATAAACAAACTGAAAAAGAAAAACCACATGATCATCACACTAGATGCTGAAAAGCCTTTGACAAAATCCAACACCCTTTCATGATAAAAGTCTTGGAGAGATCAGGAATTACAGGAACATACCTAAACATAATAAAAGCTATATACAGCAAACCAACAGCTAACATCAAACTAAATGGAGAGAAACTCAACGCAATTCCTCTAAAATCAGGAACAAGACAAGGCTGTCCACTCTCTCCATATCTCCTCAATATTGAACTGTAAGTTCTAGCTAGTGCAATAAGACAACAAAAGGAGATCAAGGGGATACGAATTGGAAAGGAAGAAGTCATCAATGGAATCGAAAACCCTGATATTAACCCACAACCTACAAATACCTGATTTTTTGGCAAAGAAGCTAAAGTTATACAATGGAAAAAAGACAGCATCTTCAACAAATGGTGCTGGCATGACTGGGTGCCGACGTGTAGAAGACTGCAGATAGGTCCATATCTATTACCATGCACAAAACTTAAGTCCAAATGGATCAAAGACCTCAACATAAATCCAGCCACACTGAACCTCTTAGAAGAGAAAGCGGGTGGTACCCTTGAACGAATTGGTACAGGAGACAGCTTCCTGAACATAACACCAGTAGCACAGACATTGAGCTCAACAATTAATAAATGGAATCTCCTTTGATTTGCATTTCCTTAATAGCTAAGGATGTTGAGCACTTTCTCAAGTGTCTCAGCCATTTTATATTCCTCTATTGAGAATTCTCTATTAAGTTCTATACTCCACTTTTTAATCTGAGATACCATCTCACTCCTATCAGAATGGCTAAAATCAAAACACAAATGACAATTTATGCTAGAGAGAATGTGGAGAGAAGGGAACACTCCTCCACTGCTGGTGGGAGTGCGGACTTGTTCAGCCACTTTGGAAATCAGTGTGGAGATTCCTCAGAAAAATGGGAGTAAACCTACCACAAGACCCAGCAACTCCACTCTTAGGCATATATCCAAAAGATGCCCATTCATACAACAAGGATGTCTGTTCCACTATGTTCATAGCAGCATTATTTGTAATAGCCAGAACCTGGAAGCAACCTAGATACTCCTCAACCGAAGAGTGGATAGAGAAAATGTGGTACATTTACACAATGGAGTACTATTCAGTGAAAAAACAACAACAATGGAATCTTGAAATTTGCAGACAAATGGATGGAATTGGGAGAAACCATCCTGAGTGAGGTAACCCAGCCACAGAAAGACAACCATGGTATGTACTCACTCATATATGTACTTTAGGATAGATCAGGGGAGTGCCAGCCTACAATCCACACCACCAGAGAGACTAGGAAACAAGGAGGACTCCAAGAGAAGAACACATGATTCCCCCTGAGAAGGGGAGGGGGACAAGAACCCCTGAGCAAATTGGGAGCACGGGGGAGGAGGGAGGGAGGTGGAAAGAGGAGAGGAGGAGAAGGTGAGGGGGAGGAGAACAGGAAGGATCAGGAGGACTGAGGCAGGGGAGGAATAGAGGAGGGCAAGAAAGGAGATGCCTTGTTAGAGGGGGTCAGTACAGGTTTGGAGAGAGATCTGGCACCGGGGAAGTGTTTGGGTTACACAGGGATGACCCCTACTAAGAAGCTCGGCAGTGGTGGAGAGGCTGCCTTTGATGCCCTTACCCTATAATGAGATTGATGACTGCCTTGGTTGCCATTCCTAGAGCCTTCATCCAGTAGCTGATGGAAGCAGAAGCAGACACCCACAGATAAACACCGAGCCCTACTCTTGGAATCCAGATGCAGAGAGGGAGGAGGGATGAGCAAAGAAGCCAAGATGGTGATGGAGAAACACACAGAAACAGTTGGCCTGACCTAGTGAGAACACGGAGACCCTAGTCATAAAGCTGGGAACCAGCATTGGACCCAACCAAGCCCTCTGAATGTGGGAGCCAGCTTGGAGGCCAAGGCAGTCTATTGGACCGCTAACAGTTGAGTCAGTGTTTATGCCTGGAGCACAAATGGATTTTGGGAGCCATTCCCTATGGAGGGATACTATGGCAGCCCAGATACGGGAAGGAGGGCCTGGGCTCACCCCCAAAGTATGTGAAAGACTTTGATGGTCCCCTGTGGAGGGCCTCACTATCCTTGGGGAGTAGGTGGGGGGTGGGTTAACGGGGCCGGTGGGGGGCATAGGAGGATGGGAGGGAGAGGGAATATGGAGATAAATATGTAAATAAGACTGCTTTTAAAATAAAATAGAAAAATATTAAAATCAGGAAGATGGATATTTGCTATAATTTCCTTTCTGATTTTTGCATGTGTTTATATATGTTGGATGCATATGGGTGGGTGCACACACACACACACACACACACACACACGTGGGCACCCATACACACACACATGTGTACGTGCGTGGGCACCCCCATATATATATGTGTGTGTGTGTGTATATGCACACACATACATGTATTCACACACGTACATAGTACATACACACATATGCACATGTACACTACATATATCCCGCGCGAGCATTGTGGAAGCAGAGGTTGCTGTGGTCTTCAATGATTCTCTACACTATTTGAAGAGGCAGGGCCACTTGCCGATCCTAGAGCTCATCAGTTCCACTAGTCTAGCAAGCTGGCTTGCTCCTGAGGTCCCCTCTCCAGCTTGCTGGGATGACAGGTGGGTCTCTACTCATGTCTGGCTTTCATGTGAGTCCTGGTGACCTTAACGCTGGTCCTCAGGCTTTACACTCTGAGCCATCATCTCCTCAGACCATCTCTCTCTTTATCTTTCAGCACTGGTGGGAGCGGGACCAGGGTCTTGCCCATGCTAGGTAAGCTTTCTACCACTAAGCTTTACCCATAGCTCCTTGCAAGGAAAAAGACCAGCTGGACCATGTTGAAAGAATAGTTGGCAAACTGTGTAGAACAGAAGGGCCTGAGTGGACTAGATGCGGTGAGAGTCTTTCCACAATTCTTAAGGGCAGTCATCAGCCCCTGAGGGGCCTTCCTGGTAGTGCAGAAGCAGGTTTCTGGGCATGCTTCTCTGCAACTCGAAGTTACCACGGAGAGCAGAGAACAGAGAACAGGGATCCCTGGCTTCCATGTTCCGGACAGAGATCCGATGTTACCATTGCCTGGGGAACAAGTCACCTTATTGTCAGTTCTGGTCAGTTTTAGCCTGAGGCAAAGACAAGCTGGGAGATGTGTGGGTTCATTGCTGTTAGTTACTGTCTGCTCAGCAGGAGGCGGGGAAACACACCTAAGAAGGTTGGGAGGCGGCAAGCCCACAGGGAGGAACATGGCCATAAGCCCGAGAAGGGAGGGAAGCGTTTACTTTTTTCCCTGTGCCAGTGAGAGCACCACCAAGGTGCTAGTACCCCGAACTCCCAAATGCTCCAGTGGCATCCGAGGCCCAGGTCAGTGGAGGCCAGGACCCAGAACAGCGTGTCCTGGGAATACTGGTGCTGAGGTAGGTGGGCTAGCCTCACAGGGGAGACAAACACTGTGTGGTCTGGATGAGCTGGGAGAGTGCCCTCATGTCTTACAGGGGCTTTGCAAATGTGATTCTAGAAAGGACTGCAGAGGTCCACCTGGACAGAGGTGGTCCCACTTCTAATGACAGATGCTGTGATGAGAAATGAGATGGACACAGAGGACAAGCGAAGGCGGCAGACTGGAGGATGCAGCCAGGAATCCAGGATCCTGGGAGAGGCAGGGAACAGCCTTCCTTAGTCTGCCAAGGAAGCAGGGGAAACTAAGGAACTATGTCCTAGCTGCTGCTGTCACTGCCAAGCTCTCCTTTAGAGCTCTGACCTCTTGTGGTGTAAGGGCCATCGCTGAGGCAGCCAGGAGGCTGCAGCGGAGGCGGTGGTTCCGGGGTTCCGTGTCTGGGCTCTGTAGGGCAGGCTGCGGGGTTCTGGGGTTCCAGTGTCTGGACTCCAGGTCAGGCTCCGGGGTTCCGGAGTCCCCAAAGGGTACCGGGGACCACGATTCCGGCTTTTCAGGCTCAGCAGGGCAGGCGCCCCGCCCCTCGGTGCCGCCCGCCCCGCCCCCGCCCTGCCCTGGCCCACTCCGCGGCTCCTGCGTCACTTTTGCTGGTGGTGCCACCCGTGACCTGCCCGCCCGCTCAGCAGCGGTGCTCAGGGGTGGGCTTGCAACTTGTAATTTCTAGAAGATCTGTGAACCGAGCAGACAGATTTGGTGTTGGTGAGTGAAACCGAAAAATCTCTCTCTGTCTCTGTGTCTGTCTTTGTCTCTGTCTCTCTCTCCTCGCTCTTCCTCTCCCCCCTGCTCTCTCCCCTTTCCCCCCTCTCCCCCTGTCTCCTCTCTCCCTTCCCCCTCCTCCTTGCTCTCTCTCTCTCCGTCGTGACAGGATTTCTCTGTGTGACACTCCTGGTGGCCGTCCTGGAACTCGCCCTGCCTCCCAAGTGCTGGCAATAAAGTGCCACCACTGCCTGGGCGAAAAGCCTCTTCTTGAAACCCCACAGAGGGAGGAAACCTGCCTTGTGCCTGGATGGGCATTCCTTGTGGGAACTCGTGGTGGCAGCAGATCCGGGGGAAGGCAGATCTGGTCTTCCAAGTTGGAGTCCAGCATCGTGTGTACTTGTCATGAGTGTCAGAGGATACCTCGATTAGACAGGGCTGGGGACACACCACAGGACGAGAGTGGGACGGAAGAGGGGGAGAGATCTAAGGGGAAGAGAGGGTGGGCAGAGAAGGGAAAGGGTTGTCTAAGAGTTGAGCTGGGAGAAGCGGGCCTGAGGCTGGAGGAAAGGAGAGCAGTGATAGCAGAAAGTGAAGTTGCAGTTTCTTATTAGAGTGGGCATTTGGCTCCTGTCTGGATGGTAGGGGAATGTTAGTTTGTTGAAGGATGTCTTAGAATGACTTGTTTTTCTGGGACTGGCGGTCTGTGCCAAATATGTGAGTGAGTGATGGGCTCAAACTTCTGATGCTCTGAGCTTGTTTTCTTTATAAACAATGTCCTAGGCAGGGTCTCTTGTAGCTGGCTGACTTGGAGCTAGAGCTCCTTCCAATTTCTCCTGCCTTCACCGCTCCGGGCTGACACTGGCAGCTTGCCGGTGCTGGGGACATGCCCCCTAAGCAAACACTGCCAGCGGAGGCTTAGTCATCTTCAAAGACTGCACTTTGTAGAGAAGGCATGGGAGTCTTTTCCTAAAGCCTAAAGTTAATAATTGATTAAACACCTAAGCCCCTGCCACACATATGGCTGAGGCGCTTGGCTGAGGAGCCTGGATGCTGCTTGTCTTTCTGCGTAAGAAACTCATTGACTGCTTCTGAACTTGTTCTCTGCGACACACTTCCAGGGCCCAGGGTTGCTTGCACGTGCCCCACCATGCTCTGAGGGGACCGGCGGAATTGCATGTCCTGCCGCTCATGACAGGATGACTTCGCAGAGTTGCCAGAGGGGTCCAGAGAGTGCACACATGCCCCACAGGGGGCCATGCCATACTGCTCTCCGCAGTCCTGGCTCTTCACCGTGTGGCTGCGGCCTCAGACCACCCAAGACACGCGGAGGGCACGGCAAGCCAGTCAAGTCCAGCACTGCGGGCTCCTCCTGGGCTGCAGCGTGCCTGGCTGTCTTGCTGGGGCTGCTCTGGCTGCAGCACGTGCCCGTGGCAGGTAGGATGTGGATGGAGAGGGACGGGGAAGCTGCTGCAGCTCCTGCCATCCCTGTGGGCTCCTGCGGGGGTCTCACTGTGGTTGTGGCTTGCCAGCCCCTACCCTGCCTCTTGCCGCACATCGTACAGATGTGCACGTCTCGTAAGCCCTCCCGCCTTAGTGCGGATGTGCTGACGGCAGGCTCAGACGCGCTTTGAAGATCTGAGTGTGCACTTTGCCTGGACTGCATCCCTCTTGGTGATGCCTTGGTACTTCCCCGTGATGGGGAAACCGGGCAAGGTTGGAGGAAAAACTACCTTTGTCACATCCAGGCATCTTTACCAAAGTTTTAGCAGAGGCTTGGAGGGACAGTTTTCATCTCATGGTGATGATCTTAGTTCTGTAGCTCTAGGATAGCTTCCCGTTCTGTCACTGTGGCAGCTCACACACTTGCCAATGGCTCTAAATCCTGTCCAGAGGGCTGAAACCTCATGCTATAATCATTTCCCCAAGTTTTTACTTCTAAATGCTGCCCAGTGGGGGTCCAGCCTCAACATATAAATTTGGGGAGGATGAAGTGCTCTGTTCTCAGAACACCACCAAACATATTAACTGAAATGATAACACCCTTATTATACACCCAAGTGGGCCTACAGCCCTGCTGGGCCTCCCATCAGACTCCTTTGTGGAAACTGATCAGTTGGGACTGCTGAGATGATTCGTCAGGTTAAGCCTCACGAACTGAGTTTGCTCCCTGGAGCCCACCTGGTTTAAGGAGAGAACTTACTTCTGCAAGTATTCTCTGACTTCATATAGACACCACACACACACACACACACACACACACACACACACACACACACACACATACACACACACATACACACACACACACACACACACACACCACTAACACACATACTCAATAAATGTATTCTTTTTAGTTAAAACACCGATTATCTGATTCTAAAATGCACATGAACCCCTAACAGCCAAAACAAACTTGTAAAAGAAAGGGCGGGGCTGGGGGAATCTAAGGATCCTTAGGTAAGAGCTGTTCTGAGCTCTTCAAGGCTGTAACAAGGGCTGTTCGTCGCATCCCAGTCAGTGCCTCCTGTAACTGAGTCCTTTTATTGACATAGGCGTGTTGGAAGTGAAGACCGCGGAGACGACACAGGTGGTATCCCTACACGACAATGTCACTGTACTCTGTGAAATCCCTGGTTCACCCCGACTGGACATCACGACCGTGGGAATCATCTGGTCTTTGAAGAATGAGAGGAATGAATCCGAGGTCCCGATATATGAGTTTTACGGAAATCACCTGAAGGTGTTGCGACCTGGAGCCAATGTGTCGCTGCTGGGGCTAGAGCGGGGTGACGCCTCCCTCCACCTGCCCAGCATCAAGCTGAGTGAGGCGGGAGAGTACCGATGCAAGCTGGTGGTCACCCCTGAAAAGGCAGAGGGAACGGCCAGGATAGATGTTGTGGGTGAGTCCTCGGGGGAAGTGCCCTGTGGTTGCGATGGTGCCGGGGTTAGCGGTGGTCGTGTGGATGGCCGAGCAGAGCCGAGGGCTGGAACATGGGTGAAGGCGTCAGGGGGCTGTGGTTTTCAGTTCTGTCCTTTGCAACCCATGCCAGTGGGCAAATGCTAAAGAGGGTGAGGCAGGAGGATGTTGGATTTAAAGCCATCTGGGGTCACACATTTGTGTGGAGATGTATGAAGCTCGATTGTAAAGCGTTTGCCAGGCTCTGGCTCCAACCCCCACTCCTGCTCAAACTGAAGCAAAACCAAAACAGTTTGACAACCTTCAGGAACTTACCATTCACTCTGAACTCCAGCGTCCTTTTCTGTCCTCAGAGGTAAAGATAATCTCCCTAAGAGTTGTAGGAAGAGCCTGTGAGCAGCCTGCTCTAGTGACAGCCTTGGTAATTCTGTACAGCACCCGTGGCGTGAACCGTCCAGCCATCTTCACTGAAGAGGTGCCCCGGGAAGGAGCTCGGTGCCAGGCCGGGCTCCACGATCTCAACGCAGATTCAGCTTTGCTACTTCCAACCTGAGACTGGACCAAACACTATCTTGGAGTGAAATTTTCCCATGAGTCAAACGGGACAGGGTCTAAGTTGCTGAAAGGTGTCTTGAGCAGTAGCAGAATTGTTCTGCTACTCAAACCAACCCTGACGCAGTGCGTGTCTGACGGCATGTGCCCTCAGCCCCACCGTGACAGTGCGTGTCTGTGACAGTGCATGTGTGTGACCATGTCTGTCCTCAATCCCACTGCATTCACCTGCAGTCACCTACGTCAGCACAGCCATTTCCTGATGTCAGGGTGTTGTGCATCTTCCTACAGCGTCTCTTTAGCCAGCACAGGTCGTTTCCAAGGCAATCAGGCTAGGAATCAGCAATGTTCACTACAGCTATGCTCCAATGCTGTTTCGTAGTCTGGAAAATGTCTGACAATAGCTTCACCAACTCTACTTGACAAAATTGTTGTGTCAGTGGAGGTCACAGCACTGCCACCAGCATACCCAGGACACAGATTAAACAAGAGTCTTAACGTGTTCACTCACCCACCCTGAGCGCTTGCCAGGGGTCAGACATGCCGATAAGATCACTGTCTACCTCCAGGGGGCTCCCAGTCTGGTGTGGTAGACTCGGGGCTCCCCAAGCTCCTTGCTGAGGTAGAAGCCATTCAGTGTGGTATGAGGAAAGAAACATGTGGTTGGCTCTAGCCAAATTGTGGTTCTTCTCTCTGGCAGCTGACCCGGCCTTAGAATTGTTTGTGGAACCAGCTACACAGAGAAATGGTGAACGGCTTATATGCAAGCTGGATGGATTCTACCCAGAAGCCTTTGACATACAGTGGGAGAGACGCGCCCTGAAGGACTCCCACTTCCAAGTGATTACCGAGGGCATAATCACTGGTCCCACTGTGAGGAATGATGATGGCACCTTCAGTGTTACCAGCTCCTTGGTCCTGAAACCAGCTCTGGAAGACCATGAGGTTATCTACTACTGTGTGGTGTCACACAGATCCTTTCATGTCCCCAAGAAGCTTAATGTTACACTGCCTAAGAAAGGTGAGCATCCTCCGGCTCCCCCCACTTGAGGACATGTGATTGGAGACTTGGGATCTTTGAGAGGTCTAGGATCTTTGCTGGGGAAGAAGAGGAAATTTTGGGCTGAAGGAGAACAGGTAAGGGTCTAGTTCAGCTCAGACCCCAGAGTCACTAGTCCAGATTTTGGTCCTCTGCTGATGGCCCAGAGTCAGCTGAAGGGGGAATAGTGCCATCAGGGCTGTTAGTCATCTCAGAACAGCCTAAGGGTCTGGATGATCCTGCGACAGAGGCCAGCTCCTTGGAGACCAGGGCCAGCATCATCCTCCGAGAATAAGAGACTGTCAGGGGCCAGGGGCCAGCTGTGCCAACACCCTTTCTCGTCAGGTTATACGTCCCCCTCAGATGCTGTTAGATGTTTAAATCCAATCGGTAGTCTATGTGTGGTGTGTCAAGATAAGGAGGCCACAGAGGATGAAGGCTACGGCTTCCTACGGAAGTCCGGATTCTTAGGCTAGCACACCCACCTCAGTTATGCTCGTCCTGGTGGGGTGGGGTGTTTGAGCTCATACCCTGGGCTGCCCCAATGTGGCTCTAGTGTTTTGTGGGGATGACTGCTGATCAAACCCTGAACTGAGAGGAATAAAGAAGGCAAGGACTGAATAGGGCCGTGTGTGTGTGTGTGTGTGTGTGTGCGCGCGCGCGCATGCGCGAGCATTTAACTTATATATGCTGTGTGTATGTAATATGCACTTTTGTTTGGGTGGGCGCGATGATGTGATATGATGTAGTCTAGAACCTTTGAAGTTGTGTGTGAACGTGTGGTCTTTGATATTACTTAGACCGTATTTTATCTCTCATCCCCTCTTTCTTTCTTCCCCATCCCTCCTCCATTTCTTTCTTTTACAAGTTTGTATGCATGTATGTGGGCGCGTGCACAGTGGTGCATGTGTGAACATCCGAGAATGGCTTTATGGAGTCCGTTTCCCTCTTAAGTGGGCAGCAGTGCTCAGGCTCCGTCACCTTAACTCACTGAGTCATCTCGGAGACCCTCCTTTCTTTTGACTAATGTGGCTGTCTGGCCTTGAATTTGCTGTGTAGTCTAGGATGATCTTGAGCTGTTGATCTTCCAACTTCTGCTTCCAGAAGGTTAGAATTACAGGCACATATCATCACACCCAGCTTTGTGCAGTGCTGGGCCTTGAACCCAGGGCTTGGTGCATGCCAGACAGGAGCTGCATCTCCACCCCTTCCTTCCATCATTTTTTAAAGACAAGGTTTCCACTTGCAGCCCAGCTGGCTTGAACTCACAAACCCCTCAGGGCTGGGCTTCCAGGCGTGCACCGCCATGCCAGTCATGGTACTGTGACTTTGCTGTGCTAAATACTCTGATGTCCGAGGGTGGGTGTGATGCTAACACTTGCCCGGTGTGAGAACCGGCACCAGCCACACAGATTGTAACACCAGTCCTGTGTAGTCTTTGACCCAGGAAGCTTTTTCCTTGTGTTTGTATTTGGTACTTATTCCTGTTGCTGTCATAAAATGCTCTGACAAAGGCACCTTAGTGAAGAAAGGGCTTACTCTTACCACTCAAGGGCAAGTCCACCAAGGCAGGAGAATGATGGCAGCAGGTACCTGGGGCAGGCGGCCACAGTGCGTGTGAAGTCAGGACATGGAAGACGCTGAGCATCCAGCTTGCTTTCTCCTTCTGGCTCAGTCCAGGCCCCCGACTCATTGAGCAGTGTCAGCCACAGTTGAAGTGTGTCCTCCTACCTCAGTTAACCTAGCGCAGACGGTCCTTCACGGCTGCGCACAGAGGATTGTCTGCTGGGTGATTCCCAGTCCTGGCCAGTGTCAACCATCCTAATACCCTACTTCTCTTCCTTCCCAGGATCTGTGGAGATATATGTTACCATTGTTGGTCCCTGTGTCCTGCTGGGTGTGGTGCTGATTTTGACAAAAGTTTTTTGCCCCTGGACATGGTAAGACCCTACAAGACAAAGCCCAGGTCAGTGTCTGGAACTTAGCTACAGGTATTTGGGATCGCAGTCACCAGACAGTGTCAGGGAGTTCTGGGGACAGGCGCTGGGGTGTTGTGTGTTGTTTCTGATGTTACTTTAGGAAGAGGTTTCCCCTCTGGTCTCTTTATGACTGTGGGGAAGGGCCATGGAGCCTCTGCCTGTACGACTTTCACTGTGCAGTGCATCTGACCTTGTAGTTGAGGCCAAGGCTATGAACCATGAGTGGGCTGTAGTGTTCTGCCACACACAGAGTCCTCAGCGGAGGGAGGCAGGGCCCTCATTGCTCACATTTTGTTAACACCTTAGTGGGCTAACTGACCACAGGTTTTCAGTGGGGTCACCAAGAATATCTAACTCCCTGCCAGATTTTTCTAAATTAAATTTCCAACTGTATTACCCAGCCAATCAAAGAGAATAGTGCAGCTGCTCCAGAGACTCAGGACCCAGTGTAAATGTGCTGGTTAGAAGGTTCTAGGTAGTCAAGTGGATTGCCATCACTTACGGGCCTGCCAGGGCACAATCCGCGCAAGGCTAATGCCTCTCATTGTGCTACATTAGGAGAAGTGGGGTAGTCAGACAAGGAGATGCCGGCTGCCGGGCCTGCAGATACGCTCAGCAGCTAAGAGCACTTGATGCTCCTGTAGAGGACCTGGGGTTCAGAGGACCTGGGGTTCAGTTCTCAGCAGCCACATGGGGGCTCACAACCCTGAAAACATTTTCTCATCTCCATAAGGTCGTGCACACACAGTGAACATAAACCCATGTAGGCACACACACACAAACACATACAAATAACAGAGAAGTAGGTCTGTTTCAAAAGGAAGAAGAAAAGGAAGGCTGCTGATACAACACAGACCAGCTGTTTTCTGGAACTTACTTTCCTGGTTGGGGCTGAGCCAATGGGAAACCTGTGCATAAGGTTAATGGCAGTGTTTCTTGTGACACTGACTGCTGTCTTATTCTTACCTTCCTCTAGCTGTGATCAAGGTGCTGCGTGTCATCTTGCAGGAACCCTTAAGTGAAGAAAAGCCACAAAGCCTGTGGCTTGGCCTGAACCTTTGCAGCTATCTCTTCCTTTTGTCCTTCAAGTGGGCAGCCCCTTGACTGGGGTCCAGCTGTTTGACGGGCTGTTTGCTAAGAAAGCTTAAGCTGTAATTTTTTAAAGATCAATTTTTAGGATTATTTTCTACATGATATACTTAATCATGAAAACACAGTATGCCAGAACTTCCAGTGAAAATGGTCTGCGGGGGACATTTCCAGCTCTAAGTGCCTATTAATATAAATAACTTAATGATGCATCATTAAGGACCTTGGAAAAACAAGCTCAAGCCAAACCCTAAATCTATGGTTGTAAAGAGTTAAGATTAGGACATAAGTTAGGAGATTAATCAAATGGAAACAAAAAAGCATGTTAATGACTCCAAGGAACAAAGGGTTTGTCCTTTGTAAATCTGATCAACAAATCCTTACCCAGGCTACCTGGCAGGAAGCAAAGCCCACTTTACTAAAGTCAGAACCACTCAGAAACTCAGGGAATCACTAGGACATTCTTTAAAAACAGATATTCCACTAAATTAGAAAATTTTAAAGTATTGGATGAATTACTTGGTGCATATAATCTACCAGAATTAAACCCAGATGAGATAAATAATTTAAACAAATCTGTTAGGGCCAGGCGGTGGTGGCGCACGCCTTTAATCCCAGAACTCGGGAGGCAGAGGCAGGTGGATCTCTGTGAGTTTGAGGCCAGCCTGGTCTACAGGGCTACACAGAGAAACCCTGTCTCAAAAAACAAAATAAAACAAACGAACAAAAAAAGACCCAGAAACAAAACAAAACAGACAAACAAAAAACAGAAGCAAAAAACCCCAGATCTGTTAGCAGCAGTGAGATTGATGTAATAATAATGATAATGATAACAACAACAGTGTCTCCAGATAATGCAGCGTTCAGGCCCTGACAGACTCACTGGCGAAAGCTACCAGATCTTCAGCAAAGTGCTCAGACCAGCCCTTCTGAAGACAGAAAAGGTCGTACAAACTCAGCATTAGCGTCATACCAAAACTAGATGGAGACACAACAAGAAAGGAAATATTTTTTTAACATTTATTATTTATTTATTTATTGCATGCGTGTGAGCTTACCCGTGCATGTGGAGGTCAGAAAAAACATTACTGTGTTTTCATAAAGTCAGGCAGGAGACAAGGATGTCCACTTTCTCTCCTTTTACTCAATGTACTTCTTGGAGTCTTAGCTAGGGCAGTGTGACGAAAGTTACAAATCATTATGTATACCTGTCTGTTTACCAGTCATCTGTCTGTCTGTCTGTCTGTCCGTCTGTCTGACTGTATGTAATCAAGGCAAATAGAAGGAGTATCAGGACCAGTAAGATGGCTCAGCCTGGGCACCTGAGTTCCATTCCCAGAATATAAGTGAAGGTAGAAGGAGTTGTATAGTTGCCCTCTGACCTCCACACACTCCCCATGGCACGCCCTCCCCATCGTGCACGCACACAATAAGACAAGGACTGTGGATTGTAGATAGGAGAGGACACACCAAGGTCTCCTCGTGTGCAAGTGACAAGAATGAGGACCTCAGCAACTCCCCCAGCACACCGCTTACACTGGTGTTTCCTTAAATGACCTGTTTGGAAGCAACTTTTGTGCTTTCCGTGTCTGTGACCAGGACCTTGTAAAGCTGTGTATGTGGATTTGATGTGTTATTCAGACGTTTACAAAGCCGAGTGGCCCTTGGTTGCTCTCTTTTATGTGAAATATATTGTGACCAAGGGAAGACTTGACAAGCACAGCCCTGCTATTTGAAGCTCTTATCTACCTCTGTTTGCCTTGAAATGAGTGTTTTGTTATATGTATGAGATGCATTTGCACTGCAGAGAAACGGTCTGTTTGTGGACCTTACAGTTTTACAGTGTAGACCTGCTGGCCAAAGAGTCTTAAGTTATTCTTCTCTGACAGAGAAGAGATTTCTGTGCAATGACCATGATCAATTCTGGCTCCCTAACTTGCTAAAGGTTTTTGTGTTCTGTTGTGTTACATAAGCCTTCTAAGATGCAAAGCTTGGGGGAACAGGAAGTCAATGCCCTCCAAACTAGAACTGCTAATGGTGCTTTCTGAGGCAGGATAGAAAAACAGGGGAGAATATGGGGAGAGGATGGAACCCCTGCTCTGGAGTCTGGTCGGAGCCTCTCACCAGCTTAAAAGAAAGTTTTGGCGTAATTCATATTGTTAACAACAGGGACATTTATGTTAAGAGTGTTAAAATAGCAATACACCAGGTCTCCGTGTACAGGGTCCCAGGCAAGGCCTCCCTCCTCCCCATGGGTTTTGTGAACCTCCCGACAAAAATAGCTTTGTTTACAGTGGGATGTTCTAACTGCCTGTATCTCTGCATCCTATACTTGTCCCCCTGCCAGGTGCACCTCAGGGATCATCCTTTGGAGACAGTGACTTCCAAAGCCATCATAATTCTGTGTATAATTTAGACACAGCACTACACACCTTTAATGTAGCCCTTGGAGTCAGATCTCTGAATTTGAGGCTAGCTTGATCCACACGGTGGCTCCCAGGCCAGCCAGGGCTATGCCATGAGACCTTGCCTTAGACAAGTACAATAGATAGTAAACTCCATGTAGTAACATTGTAAAACCCATGAAGGAAGCTTGCTGCCGATTTTATTTTTTTTTCTTTCTCTCAAGTGCCTTTTTTTTGGTCCTTGTGTTGAAATGTTTGGTAAAAATCTCTTTGTAATAAACTCCAAATATCCTTCACAATGGTTTGTTTTGAAATTCTTTTCTTCAGTGAAGTCAGAATCTGAGGTTTCTGTGGCAAAGTTAAGAATCCAGCTGTTCCTGAGTCAAAACCTCGGAAAGCTTAAGGAGCACCTGGTGCTACTGTTGGTCGGGCTGGGCGGGCTCCCACAGCCAGCCACTACGGGTGTCTTTGGTTGGATTGTTTGGAACCTTGTGATGAATTCCCTCTTGGCCTGTTTGCTACTTTTGTTTCTTTGTTTCTCCTGTTTTCTGTTAGGACCCACATGGTGCATAGTAAGTGCCCTGACTTATGTATGAAAAGGCAATCTGGAAGCCAGCCACTCTGTTCCTGGGTCAAATCAGGCACTTGGCGGCCCTCCCGGGGACATCATTATGAGGCTGAGTCTCCAGACATGGCAAGTGTCTGTTCTAGTTAGGGTTTCTACCACTGTGAAGAAACACCATGGCCAAAGCAACTCGGGGAGGAAAGGGTTTATTTGGCTTACATTGCCATGTCACTGTTCATCATCAAAGGACGTCAGGACAGGAACTCAAACAGGGCAGGAACCTGGAGACCAGCTGAAGCAGAGGCCATGCAGGGGCGCTGCTTACTGGCTTGCTCAGCCTGCTTTCTTATAGAACCCAGAATCACCAGCCCAGGGATGGCACCACCCACCATGCACAGGGCCCGCCCCATCAATCACTAGTTAAGAAAATGTCCTACAGGCTTGTCTACAGCCTAATCTTACACAGGAATTTTCTTTATTTTTATTTTAAAGGTTGTGTAAGGCCAGATAGTGAGGGTATTACAGTCCTGGGTGATCTGTCAAGGATTTTCGATGAGAAAGAAAAGAGCAGTGGTCTAAGAAAGCTTTCTATTTTGCATTTGGTGTAACCATCTGCCGGTGATGGAACCATTTAGCTAACTATCGTTAACCACGCAGAGAAATAATTCACACTCATCTCCACACGAATCATTCTGTGATTGCAATTTCTAGACCCCAGGTAACAAAATACGTTTATTAAAAAATAAAGTACGGTAAATTTTTATTAAAACCACAGCTACTTAGCTGAAATTAAGGCATGGGCCACTTTAGAAAGCAGTGTCTCAGAACAGTATTACTACAGCACCAAAGGCTGATGTGCCATGACTGAAAACCTTTGAGGCATGCTTTTTGTGTCTTATGCTTTAAACTTCTGTGTGCTTAGATGGTACGATGACAACCGACAGGTTATCATAAACACAAAACTCCTGAGAGATGTTCTGAGTGATGTGTTAAATGCTAAAACTGTGGGAACCTTTCTCAAGGCCATAGTGGCAGGCACACCTCTCAACACAGCAACATCTGTCATTGTCAAAGACAGCTTGCAGCGTCTTCAAGTTCTCTTTACTTCCACAGGTGTCATGTATAGCATTGTGCAACTAGTGACTCAGTATAAAATTCTCTCCAGCACTCCTAGTGGAATCAATCCTCTATAAATACTGCAAAATACATTGGCAACCTGGATGGCGGAGTTCCGCGACCTAAAAGGCGTAACTCCTATCCCAGCCATGGCTGCACGTCCAGAAAAATGAGCATCGTGATGGGCTCCTGCATTCTTCACACCGTGCTCACGTAGAAAGTCAGTGTAGTTTCTCTGTGCAGTCCAGGGTTGGGGCACGGCCCTCGTGCTCCCCTGGTTTCTGCCGCATCGACGGCGGTCACTGGTAGCAGAGAGCCTTGTCCTGTTGAGTTGGTCGGCTGCAGAACTCTGTGGAAGGTTCTCTGTCTCCACCGGCAGAGGACCAGAGGGTGAGGAAGGAGTCACGGGCTCAGGAGACATCTCATCCTAAGACTGCTGGGAGTCCTTACACTGGGCTGACGCATTATGCTCGCCAAGATCTTCAGGTTTCGTTGTGCTTGCTTTCACCTGTAGGGAGCGCTGGAGTATCTCCTGCTGGGCCTTCTTTTGCAGGAGATGATCTTCCCGCTTAGTTTTGTGATCCGATACTGTTTTCCACTACATCCAATCCTGATCCTAGTCAAATGAATCCTGATCGATGCGAACTTTTGGACAGGTCCTCGGAGGCAGAGGAAGGCGTAGTCCTTCTCAGCGCACTTCTGTGAGCCTTTGCAGGTTTTTTTTTTTTGAAGTTTAAAAACTGCTTTATTGATTTCAGTACCAAGTTTATAAAGTTTAACATGTTGATCTATTCAAAATTATAATTTACATTGACATAATGATAGATGTGTGTGTTCAACACACACACTACCCCTATTCAGTATGCTAAAAGCATGGGGTTCAAGATTAAAAACCAGTGCTTAACTGAATAACATGATTACAAAGATATTGTAAATTGCAAATGTGTACATTTCACAACATTCCCCCCACTTCTCCTAATTCTTTATTCCAAAATGTCATTTATTTCATTAACAACTGTTTATAGTTTTATGAAGATGTTGTTAGATAGTTCATGGGTAACTTTTTAAAAATGTTTGGGTCTTTAAGACTGACTTAATGCTGATCAGCATCTGAAATACCAAAAAGCAGAACAAAACAAAGTCCTCTTAAATATATAAATATTTAAATACAGAAACCCTCTATCAGTAGTTGGAAACAGTACATTTAATGGTCATCTGGAGAGGGGGAAGTAGAGGTCACCTCATGCCTGGGGAAGATCTAAAAATGAAACTTTCCAAGCACTGACTATGAAGACAGTCTCATTCTGAATTTTCAAACCCAATTTACATATAGTCCTACTTAAAAAACACACCCACAAGTAAAAAACTGGTCATTTGTTTACAAAGTGCAGTATATGAGTATAGCAAATTCAAAGAAACAGTGCAGCATCTCATGCTGTAAAATTCCATTTCCATGTAGTTGTGTTGCATGACACAAGAGACTGTGTTATGAAGCTGGGCCCCTTGACACCTGCTAGTAATGACAACATCAGCAAGCATGAAACCTGGAAAGTATTGTCACTGTCCAGTAAGGTACATAATTTATGATCTGGTGTCAGTAATCCCAACACAGGTTACTGCTTTGCAGTGAATTCTGTATGGTTTGCATTTCCTTCAGTAACTGAAGATTTTTCCTGCTTTTTTCTCCAGGTCTCTGTTTGGCAAGATCCTTCTTACTTGTGGTCCTTGTGACTCCAGATGAACGATTGCTGCTGTTTCCTTCTTCATCAAGAGTCTTTTTGTTAGGTTTTAATTCCTTCTTCTGCTTATCTATGTTTTGTTTCTCCAGCTGGGCTTGGTATTTTCGAACTTTAGTTATCTGGTTGGCCTTTGCTTCCATTCTTCCCACTAATGCCTCCAATTCACACTCCAAGTTGTCTTTCAGTTCCTCAGTTGGTGACTCCTGGATGAGTTTAGCAAGCTGCTGGTGATCAAAGTTCATTTGCCCAAATTCATCCTGCAGAGTCTGTAAGACATCCGACAATTCTTCACTGACACTGCCAGAGGGAGGTGTCACTGACTTCTTACTCTTGCTACTTCGTGAACAGGCTTGCTTTGCCAAGGGAACACTGTTAACAACTCGATCATTGCACAAAGCTTTACTGTGGTGCTTCATCAGATGCAAGACATGCTGAACGTTAGCTACCACGGCATGGCTGGGACTGGTAGACTTTCCAGCAACAAAGGGCATATCGCCTAAGCACAGTCTGTAATGTGGCTGTGCACCAAAATAGTTCCTAGGACCTTTCTTTTCTGGTGGTTTTGACTTTTTTTTTAATTTTTCTAGTGCTGGTTGGAACATATGAAGTTGTCTTATCTTCAAAAATAAGTCTATTTGCTTCTAGACCAGTCTGCAACTCTGCTGCCTGCGCCTGCATACGCTTCCGTTCCGTTCCGTTCCGTTTAGACTCCAGCTCTTGCATTTTTTTCTGCTTTTCTAAGACAGATGCCCTCTCCATTTCTGCGTGCTTTATCATATTTCGCATGTATTCCAATTGTTTTTCTAACAGATTACATTTATTTTCTGCAGCTAACAACTGGGATGTTAGTTCTTGATTGTGTTTTGATTCTTCATTCTTTTAATTTTCTCTCTCTTGTATCTGTTCATCCAAAACTTTCTTATATTCAATGGTTTCCCTAGACAAGGTTTTCATACTTTCTTCTGCCTGAATCCTTTCCAGTTCCAAGCGTCGAATCTTATCTTGAAGATTCTTAAGAGCAGAAAATATGGCTCTGCTGTTGCTTTCTGGATAGGCAAGTGTGGGCTTATTTGGGGAGCGTCTTAGATCACTATTAAGGAAAGGCTTATCACGTGGATATAATACATATGGAGATGAAGAATGACGAACCATATTTCCATTCGACCTTGATGGTTCAGTTAGGATGTTCAAAAACCGAGACTCGGAAGCCGCCGAGACCGAGGCGGCCGCCATCTTCCCGCCTGCGCAACGCGGGCTGCAGTCCTCGAGCTCCTCCGGATTCGACAGCCGCCCGCCTGGGGCGAGGCGAGGCCGGACCCCCGATGGAAAGGGCGGGCGCGCTGCGAATCCGCCAGGAGCCTCGGCCTCACAGCCCACCCCTTTGCAGGTTTTGGATGATCTAAAGACAAAGGCGTGCTTTCGCTCTGTGCCCTGGTCAGCATCTTCCACAGCCACAGGGGTTAATTGATTCTTAAAATCCAATCTGGTTACCTTGGGCCAGAATAAAAAGTTGGCTCCAAGCCATAGTCATTCCCATCTCTAGTCTTGACCACGCGCATATCAGCTACAGACGGTTCTAGCTATCTGGCTTTATTCATCTAATTGGTTTCAGTTTGTGCTGGTGTCTGACCTCTGCATTCCTCCCATTTCTCAAACAATAGCCAGTTCCATCTTCAGTCTGAATGGGCACAAACTTGAGTTCAGCACATTCAGTCAGCAAGTTCAGCTCGCCGATTATAAGCCACCAACTGAACTGCTGTATCAAAGGGACACTCTAATTTCCCACCGAGAATATCTTGTTTGAACTGAAGAACAAACGAATACCAGTTTATCTGGTTTCTAGGAATAAAACTAAACTCCAAGATGAAGACAATAGGATGAACCATTTTTCACTTTTTTTTTTGTTTTTGGTGCGTCCACACTCACCAGAAGGGACGCCCGTGTGTGATGGTGGGCTTGGCATCTCTAATGTGATGGTGGGCTCGGCCTCTCTAATGTGGCGGTGGGCTCGGCCTCTCTAGTATGACGGTGGGCTCGGCATCTCTAATGTGACGGTGGGCTCGGCCTCTCTAGTGTGACGGTGGGCTCGGCATCTCTAATGTGACGGTGGGCTCGGCATCTCTAATGTGACGGTGGGCTCGGCATCTCTAATGTGACGGTGGGCTCGGCCTCTCTAATGTGACGGTGGGCTTGGCATCTCTGTGACGGTGGGCTCGGCATCTCTAGTGTGACTGTGGGCTGGGCCTCTCTAGTATGACGGTGGGCTCGGCATCTCTAGTGTGACGGTGGGCTCGGCATCTCTAGTATGACGGCGGGCTCGGCATCTCTAATGTGACGGTGGGCTCGGCATCTCTAGTGTGACGGCGGGCTCGGCATCTCTAATGTGACTGTGGGCTCGGCCTCTCTAGTGTGGCGGTGGGCTCGGCCTCTCTAATGTGGCGGTGGACTCGGCCTCTCTAATGTGACGGCGGGCTCGGCATCTCTAGTATGACGGCGGGCTCGGCATCTCTAATGTGACGGTGGGCTCGGCATCTCTAATGTGACGGTGGGCTCGGCCTCTCTAGTGTGACGGTGGGCTCGGCATCTCTAATGTGACGGTGGGCTCGGCATCTCTAGTGTGACGGCGGGCTTGGCATCTCTAATGTGACGGCGGGCTTGGCCTCTCTAACTGCAGGAGTGTGTGCAGCATGCTGTGCCTCTTGGAGTCACTTCTCAGCATGTTTGCACATAGACGGGTGGCTGAGTGTTCTTCACAGGATGCTCAGCATTTCCGCCACTGTGCTGGGTGGTGGCGGCGGTGGTGAAGACCATGTAACAACAGAGACCACAGTGACCCGAATTCGACCCCTGGGGAGAGACACTGAGAATCCCCCAGAGGCACTTTCCTAATTGAGGTTCCCTCCTTTCAGATGACACCCCACACCCTGAAGCCTCCATCCCACAGAGCTGGAGGGAACAGATTGGGGGTTCACAGGATGTGTTTGCGGATGGATACACCGCTGCTTCGTGAGATCAGTTCTGGGTCAATGAAGGCTGGCTTCCCCTCGCTGGGGTCTTTGGCAGCTCTCTCAGATAGTTTCCTGTCAACTTGTCACTAGTTAAAGTCATCCCTTTCTCCCTTCCCTTCCCCCACTCTGAAGGACCTTCAGTTCTCAGTATTCAGACCTTGATCTCACTGTGCCGAACCCCACATGGGGGTGGCTTGTAGGATTTGCTATCCTTATCGAATGAATGTACAATGATTCCTCTAAGTTGGTGCTTGCTTGGAATGTTCTAGTCAGTGTTTTTATATATGTTCACTTTCAATGTCTTGAAATCATGAAAATTCATAACATTTGTTAAATTTTCCCTTTTCTTTTTCTGGTGGTGCTGGGGATTGGTCCGGGGCCCTGCACACACCACACAGGCGCTCAACTGCTAAGCTTTAGCTCCAGCTCCTGGAATTTTCTGAGGCAAATGAAAAATTTGAAGACAACACAAGACTACAGCTCGCAAACTGCCTCCCTCCCTCCCTCCCTCCCTTCCTTCCTATTTCCTGCCCCCCTTCTTCCTTTTCATTCCTTGAGATAGGGTGACATGTAGCCCAGACTTGCTTCAAACTTGCTACATAGCTGAAAATGACCTGGAGCTCTGGATCTGCTCCCCAGACACTGGGATCTCATGGTGCACTACTGTGTCAGCCGGCACTCTCGGGAGTAACAGAACTCACAGAACGAATCTCTCCCTCTCCATATATACATACATATATATGTGAACCAATGAGGGCATTCATTAGAATGGTTTGCAGGCTGTGGTCCAGCTGAGCTAGCAATGGCTGCCTATGAAAGGAGGATCCAAGAAGCCAGTAGTTATTCAGTCCGTGAGGAGACGTCTCATCTGGTCTTCAGATACACTGTAACCCTGAAGCAGCAGGCGCTCTTGCCAGTGAAGGCATGGGCTTGCTGCCGAGAGCAAGCAGGCACAGAGCAGATCTTCCGTCTGGAATGTCCTCACACAGGCTTTCAGCCGATGGTGTGGCCCAGAGGTGTGCTCTCCCACCTCAAAGATCCCGATTAGAAGTGGGTCTTCAAACGAAGTGCCTCACAGGCCTGCTCCTCCGTTTGGGGGTTTCGGTTAATTCCAGATGTGGTCAAGTTGACAAACAAGACTAGCCACCACAATTAGCCATTGTGACCATGATGGGGCAAGATGTGATGTCCGTTATTTGAGTTGCATTTTCCTGACGGGACCATGATGAACATTTTTCATATATTAGAAATTCTTTTTTTTTTTAATTTAAGTTAGAAACAAGCTTGTTTCACATGTCAATCCCAGCTCCCTCTCCCTCCCCTCCTCCCCCGCCTTCCCCACCAGGTCCCCCAGCCCCCCACCCAATCTCCACTCCGATCCCCAGGGAGGGTGAGGCCCTCCATGGTGGGTCTCCAGAGTCTGTCATTTCCTCCAGGGCAGGGCCTAGGCCCTCCCCCAAGAGTCCCGGCTGAGAGAGCCTCCCTCATTGTGATATATTAGAAATTCTTAAATTACATTTACTTATGTATACACGTGGGTGTGTACGCATCAGCATGTGAAGGGCAGAAGTAGCTGGCGTCACCTCCCACCAGAGGGGTCCTAGGGACAAAACCCAAGTTGTGGGGCTCGGTGGCAGGTGCCACCACCCACTGAGTCACAACACTGGCAACATTTATATGTTGGTGATTTGTGATTTTGTTGTTGATGTTGCTTGGGTCTCAAGATGCAGTCTCACCCTGTAGCCCAGGCTAGCCTCATCTTAGAGTAATCTTTCTGCCTCAGGCTCCAAGTGCCGCACTTGTGGTCATGGTCCACTTGCCGGCCGAGCACTTGAGAGCTGGTCATTCTGCTTATCCGTGCGATATTGAAAGGAGTGCTTGCTCTGGGTACGTCTTCTGGGGTCTTCATACAGTCTGCATATTAGTCCCCTGTCGGATGACCAGCTGCGAAGATTCCCTCCCATTCTGCAGGCTGTTTTCAGGGTGTTGTTTCCCCTTGCTGTGCAGAAGGCTTCCGGCTGGATACACTCCACTTCCTGGCTATTGGTGCTGTTCCGAGTGGCACGGAAGTCTTCTCAGATGGTCTTGGTCTAGGCCGTTCTCTTGAGATGCCCCCCCTCTGGGAGTTCCGGTTTCCCACATCTTACATTAAAGTCTTCTTGTGAGTTGCTTTTCGTGCAGGGTCAGAGGGGTGAGGTAGGGATGTTCCATTCTTCTCCCTGTGGGTATCCAGTTCCCTGAGTGGTTTGTTGAAGAGTCTGTCTTTTCTTCTGCGTGTATCCATGGTGTCTCTGTTGAGAATCAGGTATATGGCTGTGTGGGTTTATTTCAGGGCCTCTATCCTGTCCTGTCTATCTAGGTGAACCAATAGCATGCTGGTTTTGTTACCTTGGCTCTATAGTGCAATGCCCCCAGCATGCAGCGTGGCTCTTTTGCTCAGGACTGCTGTGGCTTTTCTGGGTCTTTTGTACTTCCATATGAATTTCAGGAGCTTTTCCCCTACGGAATACTTATTTTACAGAGCCTCTGTTAGGTTCGCTTGTTACACAGCAAAAACTAACTGGTACAGTCTCTCAGGAAGCTGACCTTTAGGGGAGGGCAAAGGCACAAGGTCTCCATTGAGAGAGTGCCTGCCCTGGGCACTGTAATCTGTGGGCATCCTTCCAAGGAGCTTCAGGCCAAGGCAGCTAATGTGCTCCTCCGGAACAGCCCCAGCCTGATGGGAGTACAACAGGAGTTCCCTGTTGGGGCGGAGTCTCTCTCCAAGAGTCTCTCTGCCCCTCACCAGCCTGTTTGGTGAGCCTAAGGCCTCCCCTCCTGCTTGTTCTCCTCTGTGCCTTCCAAAGAGCCACCCCTGAAACTTTTATACTTCTGACTCTGTCTCCACAGCTGTTTGGACCCAAAGCGACACAGCCGACTTCGTGGAAAGACTTGGCTCATTCCTGACGACCTCAGGATGGGCAGTGGTAGTTTTTGCCTGGAGACAGTGGAGAACAGTTTTTCAGCTGATTTCAAATCAGTCTCTGGGTGGCTTTCCCCAACAACCTATGAGAGGGCCCAAGGGCACAATGTAGAGAATGAACTCAGATGGTTTTCATGCTACCCCAAGACGGATGGGAAACTGTCCTGCAGGTGTGTGGCGGGTGTTTGTTGCTCTCTTAGTTACCATGAAATACCTCACCTTCTCTCCCAGTTATCATGACATCTGGCCAGATAGACAGAGCAGGGCAGTAGAGCTACCCTGACTCTGGTTAGCTTTGGCTGCAGGACGATGGTCTGGGAGGAGTTTGGGGTGTGCTTGTGCTGCAGCAAAGGAAATGGCTTCATGAAGGGGAGGCTCAGAGGTAACCCAAGAGAGTCGCCTCAAACCAGAGGTGGAAGAGAGCCACACTGGAGCTGCCCTGCACAGGCTGCTCCGCGGGTGGTCATGGGGTGGGCATGGTCTCCGTGCAGTACCCAGTCAGGCTGCACTTCTGGGAAAAGGGCTATTAGAGGGGCTATTAATGCCACAGACAGACAGACAGACAGACAGCCTGGTGGGGAGTATGAAGAGACAAAGTGGGGTTCCTCTCTCGTATTTCCGAGAAAGGAACAGGGTCCCATGTCACATAAGTAGCCCATAGGATGAAGTTGCAGGCTGGTGTTGTCCCTGGCTGCTGTGTGGTTGAGGAAGGATTTATTTAATGTGTGTCCCTCATATGGGATGATCACCTGCAGCCCTGGGCGTCTAGGGGAACCCAGCACACTTCTTTTGAGGGAGTCGGGACTGAGGCATTGCAGGGGATCCCTCATCAAATCTCTGAGGCAGTGAGCACAATGCTAAGAAGGTGGGGAGGGAGAAACGGGCAGGGCCTGCCCTGGGATCTAACCTCCAGTCCATCTCCACCAGATCTAACCTCCAGTCCATCTCCACCAGATCTAACCTCCAGTCCATCTCCACCAGATCTAACCTCCAGTCCATCTCCACCAGATCTAACCTCCAGTCCATCTCCACCAGGACCTAATCTTCAGTCCAACTCCACCAGATCTAACCTTCAGTCCATCTCCACCAGATCTAACCTTCAGCCCATCTCCACCAGGACCTAACCTTCAGTCCATCTCCACCAGGACCTAACCTTCAGCCCATCTCCACCAGATCTAACCTTCAGTCCATCTCCACCAGGACCCAGGAAGAGGCAGGGTGAGGCAGCAGACAGAAGGTCACACCCTGGACTCAGCTTGCTCTGTGCAGGTGGCCTGGTCCTCCCCCACGCCACTTCAGGAGTGGGAGGGGAATGGCCTACAGAAGGAGCTCACTTCCCTTCCTGTGAGGTATGCAGCGCCCCAGGCAGGTGGGCCTGCTAACAGGCTGCAGCCCAGACTCCTCTCCTAGCCCCGGCTCTCATTGTTCTTCCTCTCTCTCGGGAATGAACTAAGGTTCTTCAGATGCATGGCAATCTGGGGATGTGGGGACATGGCTGATGGGCAGAAGTCACACCTTCCTTCTCGGTCACCTGCGTGCATTGGCAAAAACTCAAGCTGTAAGATCCTGTGACCTCAGGTCTGGGGCCACTGAGACATGTGGGGAGCCATGGATGCATCCTCCTGGTGACAGCAAGCTCCTCAGGGAAGATGTCCGGAAGGGACCCAAGTGAAGGACAAAACTGGACAGAGGCCACCCGCCGGAGGAGAGTGGCCCTGCAAAATTCAGTGTCACCTCAGAAGGGACACCCGCTGCAGATGCCAATCCCCAGGTGTGAGGCCTGGATGGGTTTCCAGTGTACTTTGCCAGTTCATTTTCAGACCAACAAACATTCCCCAAGAGGATGAGAGCAGATTGACTTCCCTCCCCTGTGCAACTCAGACCTGATGTCACACACCGTGATGGGCTGGGGACAGAGGGGTGGAGTGTGCCTTCCCAGAGAAGATGGAGGGGTCTCCGTGCAAGTGGATCAAAGGCCAGTGAGGTCCCTGGGATGGCATGGGTACTTTGGACACAACCGAGACTGTCGCTTAACAGAGTGGTCCGGCTGCCTCTTTTCAAACCTGGGAAATCCAGGCTTCCCTGAGCACATTCTCCCTCCAGATTTTGGGTAGCAATGGTGGCTGGCTATCTCTTCAAGATTTGGATTTTCTAGTTCCTCCCTGAGCTAAACTTTAAAGCTTGGGATCTCTCGTAGTAGTGTACATCAGAGGACCAGCAGCCCACATTTCCTGGGCTCTTGTAGGTCTTCTCTGTGGTCAGCAGGTGGCACCATAACATCATTTCTACCGGCTTCAGGCTTATCTGGGAGTTGACAAGAAGGTTATTTGGAAGGCACACCAAGGCTGCTGCTGCTACTCAGCAGATTTTACAAGTGACTCTAGCTCCTCCCCGTGGCCTCAGGGATAGCTGAACTGAATCCCAGAACAGATACTGCACCTGATTCGTCACTCCCAGTCCTAAAGAGATTCTGAGGGGCTTTTTTTTTTTTTTTTAATTTTCTCCTGGCTGGCCATCCCTGCCTTCGGAGCATCCTGAGGCAGACCCTCCCGGATCATGCGCACAACCCATCCAGTCGCCATTTATTATTTCGTTGAGCATCTTGTCAGTTCCAGATGCTGACTTGGCACTGACCTGGAGGAGATGTGAACTTAGGGATGTTTAGGGACCCTTAAAGACAGGAGAAGAAGACGGCCCACAGCACAGAGGAGAGAAGAGCCTCTCTCTCCAGGGATGGTCAAGGAGAATCACCGGCCTGGGGTTTCCATGGCTGCCAGCAGAGGAGACCACCCTTGACTGGGAGACAGGGAGCCACAAGCTATTTCACACAGTAGTTGATGGTCCCCACTCTTCTCAGCCCCCTTGGGTGGCTGTGGGACAGATGAGGAGCAGGTGGACTGCAATGGGGGGCTGCAGAGACAAGGAGACCAGCCCTGCAGACGGGTGAGACTGGGAGAGGCAGCATGCAAGGAGTCAGACCAGGCGGAGATCACGGAGAGGCAGTGGAAAAACACCGTGTTGTCTCAGCGCAGGCTTAGTGAGTTCCCACCACGCGGCTGGTTCAGCAGCCACCACAACAGTTAGCATTTATTGAGGACTTGTTATAGACCAGGCACTTCTGAAGCGTGTTACATGTGCTTTCACCTGCTCCCGAGTCAACTCGATGAGGTAGGGACTATTAACACGGACGAGACAACTGAGTCAGAGCCGCACGCCTGCACCCAGGATTTGAGCCAAACAATACCCCGATTGGAGCCCAGAACTCCCTGCCCCTCCTTCCCATGGGTTCCTCCACCTTGCAACTGAGTCTCAGGAGGGAGGCCAGGCCCTTTTCGCCCATGATGTCTGGTGGAGGTCAAATGGCTAAGATAGCCAGACTGAGCGCTGGTTGGTGGGGGGGGGGTATAGTCCTCCTGAGGCCAGGGAAGGAGAGCCAGCTTTCCTGGCCTCCCTGACAGGGCCATGTCGGGTGGCAGATGCTGGCAACACCCTCTTCTTTTTCCATCAGCGTGCCCACTGCCTCACCACAAGAAAAGCCCAGAGTTCAGGTCACAGACGGGAGGGCTTTATTGACAATGGGGCAGTGGAATTCTGGGAAGGACACATGGCACTGCTCTGAGAATCCCGGCTCAGGTGAAGCCCAAGGGCCTCTGCCTGGAGGACCCCTTCCCTCACCCCTGAACTTTCCAGTGTTTCTTTTTCTAGCAACTGAGACAAGCCACACCTACCCACCAACATCCTCCAGACAAAGTGACTCACGGCTACCCATGGAGAGTCGGGAACAGAGTTCTGCCTGAAGTGCGTCTTGTATGGCAGGCGCAGGACCCTTCTCTGCCTCTCAGCCAGGCCTGCCAGTGTTTGCCCAGCACCCCACTTCCCAGCCTCAGGGAAATGAGGCAGGAGGACAGGGACACGGGGTCTCCAGCCATTTAACTCCTGCCTTGCCCCCTCTCTGGGCACAAGTCTGCCCTATGGAGGGGAGCCTAGGCAAAGGCACCCTGGCCTGTCTGAGTGGGCCCCTGGCTCCCATGCTCTGACACCCACCTCCTCCTCTGGCTGGCTGGAGCCTTAAGCTATCCCTTTTACAGGGCATGAGTAGGCCTGGCCAGGTATTTCTTAGCAGCTACGGAAACAGCAGTAGGTGCCCAACTTGGGGGCTGCTCTCCCCCAGCTATCTGTCTGCTTGTGGCAGGATGAAGGGCCAGGGTCTTAGCTCTGGGAGCCCTGCACCTCCTACAGTCTCCCCAACGCTGGGCAGAGAGACAGGGGTAAGCCGGTCCCAAGCCGGGCCTGGGAGGAGCAGGAACAAAAATAACCCGGTACAGGCTCCTGCTGTGGCCAGAAATAGCATAGTGACAAGTGCCTTGTAACACCCCGGGCAGCGAGGCTGAGCCGTGGAGGGTTTGGTCTCACACCGGACCCCCACCTGGCCAACGGGCTCACACCCCGTCCACTCTACATACCACACTTTACTCTCCGTGCGCCCACATAAGTAAGTGGGGGCCCGAGGGACCGCAGCTCAGGACAGGGAATCCGGAGAGATGCTAAACTTGGGCTTGGCCTTCGCCACAGCTACACTGCGCTTGCGCAGGGGCCCCCGCGTAGAGGCGAGGGTCAGGGCGTCCAGCAGGCTGCGGTCCTCGTCAAGCTGGCGGGCTGTGCAGAGTGGTGTGGGCACTTTAACGGTGTTACCAAATTTGGAGTAGTCCACAGAATATCGGCCGTCCTCCTCGGCCACAATGGGGACAAAGCGCTGCCCCCATAGAATCTCGTCAGCTAGGTAGGAGGTGCGGGCCTGGGTGGTAATGCCTGTGGTTTCTACCACGCCTTCCAGGATGACAATGATCTCCAGGTCTTGGTGGTGGTGCAGGTCACTGGGAGCCAGGTCGTAGAGAGGGCTGTTGGAGTCGATGACGTGGCAGATGATGAGCGGGGCCACCAGGAAGATGCTGTTGCCACCCACGCCGTTCTCCATGGGGATGTCCACCTGGTGGAGAGGCACGACCTCACCCTCGGGGCTGGTGGTCTTGCGCACCACCTGCATGTGGATGGTGGCGCTGATGATCATGCTTTTGCGGAGGTCCCCCACCCGAAGCATGAAGCAGAGGCGGCCGTGGCGCAGGGTGATCACGGCATGTTTGCTGAAGATGAGGGTTTCCGCCCTGCGATGCGCCTGGGCCGTCTTCATGAAGATGCAGCCCAGCATGATGGCATTGATCATCAGCCCTACGATGTTCTGCACGATGAGAATGAGGATGGCCAGGGGACATTCTTCCGTCACCATGCGCCCGCCGAAACCAATGGTCACCTGGACCTCGATGGAGAAGAGGAAGGCGGACGAGAAGGAGTGAATGCTTGTGACGCAGGGCACGGCGGTGCCCTCTCCGGGGGCCAGGTCACCGTGGGAGAAGGCGATGAGCCACCAGACCATGGCGAAGAGCAGCCAGCTGCACAGGAAGGACATGGTGAAAATAAGCAGCGTGTGGGGCCACTTGAGGTCCACCAGCGTGGTGAACACATCCTGCAGGAAGCGGCCCTGCTCTCGAATGTTCTTGTGGGCGACGTTGCAGTTGCCTTTCTTGGACACGAAGCGGGCCCTCCTCTCCCGAGCACGGTACCTGGGCTCTGTAGGGTCCTCCGCCAGCCGGGTCAGCACATACTCCTCGGGGATAATGCCCTTTCGGGACAGCATGGCTCCGCTGGCCCCAGGAAGGGGCTTCCCCCATGGGGGGCACTGCCCTGACTTGCTCTATGGCCTCTCTGGGGGGTCCCCTCTTTGAGCTCTCTCCTCCTCCGCCTGCCCTAAACTTGTACCGACCCGGCTCGCCTGATATGCCCCCAGCTGGGTCCTGCTTCTCTTTACAACACCAGCGTCAGATGCCGGCTCCACCTGCTCATTGCGTACTGAACCCCCAGCCCAGCCTTCGCTCCACCTGGCCCTGGATCCCTGCTCGGCCATACACCACCACGCCTGGACCGCCCCTGGACTCCCCTTCCCCGGCCCAGCCTTTCTTCTTAAGCGACCTCAGAACTTATCACCTCCGTGTCTTCCTGTTCCCCGCTCCTCACTCCATCCCGGCTGTTCTCTGGCCCCACCCACCCTGTCCCCTCCAGACCCCAGCTTCACTTCTTGACCCGGTCTCCCCTGCCGGCGTGCCCCCGATTTCCCACCCCGCCCCTCCCCTAGCGCCCCCGTGGCTCTCTCGATCCTTCCTCCAGCTCTCGACCTCTCAGTCTCCTTGGGATCCCGCGCCCTTCGAGTCACCACCCCGCGACCAGCTGCGCTCGGGATCCCCTCGCCCCCTGCCGCCCAGGCCCGGATGGCTCCGCGTCGCGGCCTCCCTGCTGCCCTGCCGCCCGCCCGCCCGCGGTCCCCGCCGCTCCGTCCCCGCCCCGCCTGTCGCCGCCGCACCTGCTCCTGCTGCTCAAGTCGCGGCCACCTCCCCGCCCCCTCCCACTCCGGTGCTCACTCGCGGCCGGCTTCCCGGGCGTGTGTCTAGGAGGCGGTCCTCGGGCGCCGACCCGTGCGCGGTGGGGGTGGGAGGCTGCGGGCGGGGGGCTCCCGAGAGCGAGCGCAGCGTCCGCCGCCAGGGGGCGCCGGATCCTCTCCCGAGCGGAGGACGGGGAGGGCCTGGGCATAAGCCCCGCCCACAGAGGAGTCTTGTCCCACCCTCATCCTGGCCGGAGGACTCTCTTCGTATGCATGGCTCTCAAGAAGCTCCTTTTGTGAAATTCTCCTAGTCTGGCTCAGCAGCCCCTGGAGCCCAGGCTTCTATTTCCCCCGGTCCGTAATTCGGTGTTACGTGTCTCTCACACAGCACTTGATTCCCGGGGGAAGAAGGCAAGTGAGAGGTTTTCATCGCTGGTCCCAGGACTGGGCTGAGATAAAACATTAGCCTCAGCCGGGCGTTGGTGGCGCACGCCTTTAATCCCAGCACTCGGGAGGCAGAGGCAGGCGGATCACTGTGAGTTCGAGACTAGCCTGGTCTACCGAGTGAGTTCCAGGACAGCCTCCAAAGCCACAGGGAAACCCTGTCTCGAAAAACCAAAAAAAACAAAAACAAAAACAAAAAACAAACAAACAAACAAACAAAAAACATTAGCCTCAGGGCTTCTCAACTGACGATTCTTCCATTTGGGGGTTATTCCTGATCCTACATTTATTCATTTATTTGCCCGTTTACCTATTTGAGACAGGATTTCTTGTAGCCCAGGGTGGCTTCAAACTTGCTTTGAACTTCTGACCCTCCTGCCTTCATGTCCAGAGTGCTGGGGCTGCAGGTGCAGACCAAGGCCCCGACTTCCACCCCTGAGTCTTAAGAGGCTTAGTTCTGCCAGCATTTGCTTTGTATCTTGTATAGCTTTAGCCCGATTTCTTCCCCTTTAGCCCTGGGAGGGGTTTGGGCCTGAGCAGCCATTTTAGGGTTAGCTTGGGCACAGAGTGGGTGGCCCAGGTTATTGTCAAAATCGGTGGTGATGTTTCCATTGCAGATGCCACCCTCGAGTGGCCCCTGAGGGCTGCTGGGTCACCTGTAATGCGACGGCCGGCTCTGGGGCTCAGACCCTTTGAGATAAACCCCTACCCACTGTGTAGCTAGTGTGAGGGTTTGAGTAATAGTGGTACTGGAAATTCGGGCCAACATGGAACGTTTTCATATTGAGTAGGGGACTTTCAGAGAGAGTTATCTTCCTTCTCTCCAAATCTGCCTATAGGTTGAGTAGACCCTGCTGTAAAGAGTGAGGTCATCACTATGCTGATGGGGCTTTATGCCTAAACCATGGAACATAAAACAAGTTGAGTAGAAAAAAAACAACAACAAAAAAACCAAGTTGAGTGGAGAATAGAAAGTCCGAGGGCACAGTTACACAGGAAATCTCTGAGCCACCTCAACTTTTAGCCATCAAAAAAGGACCCTGGGAAAGGGCCAGGAATTTTGGACATTTTTGCAGAAGTCCCTGGTGGTGAAGGAAGAATGGGTAGTAGGTTTGATTGGCCCAATGGGTAGTACCAGGATAGAGTGGACAGAGGCAGGCTCTGCTTGACATATGCGAGAGTCTGTTCTGGTGACAGTGGCCAGAGATGGCCACATAGTGAAAAGGTGCAAGTCTGAGTTGGTGGGCCACTAGTTAGATCATCATGGAGGGATGTGGACCAGGATGGCCTTGGCATACAGTTCCTCCGCTGCTTCCTTGGTGTGGGCATTTCTCCCCCGGCAGGGTGGAGTCCCTTAACCCTCCCTGTGTCTTCTCCTGGGAGTCCAGAACGGCAGGAACTGCTGGGCCTGTACAGGCTTCTTAGGGCTGGAAAGGCGGACCCTGCGCTTGGGTATGGCCTTAGCCAGTCCCTGCCCCGGGAGAGAGGAGGCTGGGTGTCTTGAGGCTGGGTGTCTTGAGGTTGGGTGTCTTGCCCAAAGGGCTCAGCTCTCTACTCTGATTTCCCCATTGCTCACAGCCGACTCCCCAAACACTGTGCTTGTCAAGTCTTTCCCCCAGATGCCTATCCTGCACTCACTGTCCTAGCATTAAGGGTCTTCGATGCCACCCTGCTGCCCTTACCCCTTCCACGCCCCACATGAAACCCTTGGCACTCCGTCACTCGTTCACTCTTGCTGTACGATCCCTGCCTTTCCATCCCTCTGTCTTTCTGATTATCTAATTTCCTCCCTCCTACACCCAACACGAATCCTGCCTTTCTTTCCCAGGCAGCCTGCCAGGTTGAGCTTTCCCTTGAGTTCCTCTGTGTCCTGGTACTTGGCTTGTGGTCGGCTCCCTCTTGTGACTGGTGAGCTTTCCTTACATTATAGAGCTCGGGCCCTCTGGCAGCCCTGAGTTATGAAGACCTAAGACCTAAGTCTGCAACCCCAGGGTCTCATAAGCCAGTGCTGCAGGCACTATGCAAATTATAACCAAATGATATGTAAATAAGCACCTGCCACTTCCTGGCCGGAGATGGTTACATTCCTGTCCCCTGATGCCAATGGGGTTGGGACAAGCTGTTGTTTTGGTCTCCTGGTGTCTGGTCACTGGTATCTTTGAGTCACCACCTGGCTGACTTGTATAGGGACTGCTTGGGGACTACTGTTCTCCCACTTGTGAGGAGGAGGGAGGTAGAGATAGTGGCATGGGATCCTGGCCTAGCCAGCAGAGTATTCTAGACCTCTGTCAAATGACAGGGTGGGGGTGGGGATGTGACCAGGTGAGTCACTGGGATATGGTCCTAGGACTTTACTGGAGTCCTGGGAGAGAACGCCTCATTTCCCCCTGGTTGCTCTGGGACAGGATGTATATCGAAGCTGCTACTAGCCATCTGTCACCAGGTGGAGAGAGGAAGTAGGATTGAGAAATGAAGGTACCCCCCATGTCAGAGACCTGGAGTAGCATTCCTCCAGGTCACTTCTGGTCAGTCGTATACCACAGTGACCCAAGTTCTTGTTTAGCCTTGTTAAGTTCCTGTGAGTGGAGAGGCTGGGTGCCAGATCCCACCATGATAACCCAGGTGAGCAAGAAAGAGTCCCAGCTGGATGGAGACCCGCCCCTTCATCTGATAGGGCTGCCTCTGAGTCATTACCACCCCTGCTGTAGACCGAATGCCATCCCTGAATTCATAGGATGCAGTCCCCACTTATTTATTTGTGGCCCGGGCCCATGAGGAGGGAATTACGGCTCAGTGAGGTTGTGGGTAGCTAATCCAATATGCCTAGTGACTTAGAGGAAAAACAGACGGGTGGGGAGAGAGAAAGGGCGGGGTTGAGAGGTTGTGAGAACACCGCGAAAGGCTAAAGAGGCCTCAGGAGAAACCAAAGCATCCAGCACCTTGATCTTGACTCAGTCTCCAAGACAGGGACAAAGGCATTTTTGCTGTGAAAAGCCATCCAGACTGTGGCGTTTTGCTAAGGCGTCTGGAACTGCCCGACAGAGCAGGAACATGGTTTTGCCTCTGTTCACATGGCATCTTCAGGTCTGCTTGGTTCCAAAGGCAGGCTGGTTCCCTGCACTCACGGGACACTGCTGCCCCTTCCACAGAGCCAGGGCCTCCAGTAGCAAATAATTAATTTATTTACAAGTGATTTGCAGTTAGAAATCCTAGGCAAGCGAGCGAGGCGCGGGATGGCACTTTGGCTCCGGTAAGTCACTTGTCCGCACGGACAAAGGAGGCGAACACGCTGTCCTTCTGGCTGAGGAGTGTCTCTGGCTTGTCAAACTCCAGGATAGCACCCCTCTTGAGGACCATCACCAGGTCTGCACTCAGGATGGTGTGCACACGATGCTGGGTGGGCAGGCGGGGCTGGTTAGCGCGGTGGGCAGGACATCCGAGGAAGCCTGTCCTCCCCCAGCCTGGAGATTCATGGCATCCATGTCCCCTAACCCCTTTTATTCACGTAGCCCCGACAGACCTGAGGCTAACTATGCGGCCAAGGATAAGCTCAAGCTTTTGCTCTCCCTTCTCCTTCCTAAGTGCTAGAATGACAGTATCACCACCACACCCCGTTTCTGCAGTGCTGGGGACTGAACCCATGGCTTCATACTTGCTAGGAAAGCAGTCTCCACAGCACAGTGTCCTGTCTGGAGTGGCTGTGACCCAAACCCTCTACTCTTTTCTCCTCTGTGAAGCCTTAGCTCTGCCCCCACCTCCAGGCTTCAAGAACTACAGACTTCCCAGGCTCTCACTTTCAATGGGAAGCAGCCCCGTCCTCCCGCCACCTAGCTCCCGGGGCTTAGGGAACGTGTATCTTGGAATCCAGAGACATAGGGGCCTGAAGCAGGTAAAGGTGCCGATATCTTAGACACCCAGAATTCTGCAATGTCCTCCTGCCGGCTCTCTAGACTCCCTGTCCTTAGCACCCCAGGATCAGCCCTCTGGTGACTCTAACGGCCCCTTACCGCGATGGTGACCACCGTGCGGTCTGCGAAGGCTGTCATCACCACCTTCTGGAGGATGTTCTCCTGTCGGGGTGGAGGTAGTAGCTGGTGGCTCACATGCTCATGGATGGGGTCGGGGATGGTTCGGGGATCACGGGGCCCAGCTCCCATCCACCCCAGCTCCTAGCTCTACGCCCATCTTCCCTCCGGCTCTAGTCTCAGAGGACTGACCAGGTCCCCAACACTCATGGGCTGAATCTGCCTTTGCCACATAGCCCTTGAACATCAACTTGAGGCTTAAGACCACTCTGTGCCAACTGTTCCCCAACATGCCATCCCAAGGACCAACCGTAGCCATGTCGATGGAGGCGGTTGCTTCATCCATGATGAAGATGCTGGTCTTCCTCACGAAGGCCCGGGCCAGGCAGAACAGCTGCCTCTGGCCCTGGCTAAAATTCTCCCCTCCTTCTGTGATGATGGCATCTGGGAGCAGACATTGGAGGGGCAGGGCTGAGTTAACTCTGGCTGTGAGGGAAGTGGCCCCACGGCTTGGGAATTCTAAGGGGGTGTATTACAGGGCCCACGGATGCGGCTGTGTCAGGGTATGTGCAGGGATGGTGTGTCTGATACAACAGGGATTCCATTGGCATGGATGCAATGTGCAGTGGCCATCCTGGTGAACCCTGGGCCAGATGGATGAACCAGTGACGTCAAAGCTTGTCTGGCCTCACAGTGCCTACACCATGGCTCTGACTCCCCCTGGCCCGGGCCGGCATCTTCCCAACCGGCTATATGATGCATACCTTGTCTCTATGTCCACTGTAACTCCTCTCCTCAGGGAGGCAGGTAGGCAAGGCAGGGTTGAAGATACAGTGTGGTGTGAGGGACTTGCAATCTATCTCCCAGGGGCCCTTGTGCTAGACTCTGAGCTAGGTGAGTTGTGCGACCAGAGGCAAACCGACCTCTGAGCCCTGTATGATAAGAGGTGGGACTACATGGTCACTGAGTTCTAGCTAGATTTGAGGCTCCACCATTGGGCCTCATCTTAGCCAAGGCTGTGAAGTCCCCCAGGGCCATCTGCGCAAGGAGCGGTCACCTAGGCCTCCTGGCAGTGCCTTCACCACCAGCTTCAGCTGGGCGATCTCCAGGGCCTCCCACAGTGTGCTGTCTGAGCATTTCTTCTCGGGGTCCAGGTTGAATCTGGGGGAGGCACAGATAGTCTTCAGGGAGCAAGGCTCTGCCTTCCCTTCCAGGCAGGGCTTGAGGAAGGGCGGCGGCTGTGGCTGACCACCTAGAGCTGGGACGGGCGGGCTGAGCCGTGGGTGTCAGGGACAGAAGCACTTGGCGGAGCCGGCTGGCACGGGCCCGCAGGGCCTGCTTGAGCCTGATGAGGAGGGCCGTGAAGGCGGCTGTCCTCTGAGGACTTCCCATCTTGCGCTCAGAGAGCAAAGCTGGCCCGGGGTTGGGACAGGCCCGCAGGCTCTCACCTGATCGTGCCGCTGAAGAGGACGGGGTCCTGTAGGATGATGGACAGGCGTGAGCGCAGCGTGTGAAGTGGCAGCTTGGCGATGTCGATGCCATCAATGATGATGCGCCCTGTGTGGTGACGATGCCACAGGTCAAGTGCCACCAGGGTGGGAGCGGCGCTGGGAATGGGTCCCAGCGGGGGTAGAGAGGGTTTCCTGGGACAGCCCAACTAGAGGTCAGGATGAGGTTTTGCCTCGTGTACATGCATGGCAGTGCACACACAAATCACCTTCAAACATGTCCACCATTCGGAAAAAGGCCAGGGAGAAGGAGGACTTCCCGCTGCCTGTGCGGCCGCAGATCCCGATCTGGAAGCAGAGAAGCAGGAGGACGCTGGGCCCTGGGGTGTGCACGGGCGTGGGGGGGTCACAGTGTGGCCCTGGGGTGTGCTGGGTGTGGGGGTCACAGCGCTGTGACCCTAGGGTGTGCCAGGTGTGGGGGTCACAGTGTGGCCCTGGGGTGTGCCGGGTGTGGGGGTCACAGTGTGGTCCTGGGGTATGCCAGGTGTGGGGGTCACAGCGCCGTGACCCTGGGGTGTGCACGGGTGTGGGGGTCACATTGCCGTGGCCCTAGGGTGTGCCGGGTGTGGGGGTCACAGCGCCGTGACCCTGGGGTGTGCAGGGGTACATGCAGCATCTCCTCTCGCCTTGGTGTCCTGACCGGCTTCTCTTTGGCCAGGCTGGACCCTTCCCGTGGTGGGTTTACAGGGGGCTTTCTCGGGGACCCGAGAGTAGAGCTCAGGTAGAGATGGCAAGCTGTGCAAGCCCAGGTTTGGGTCTGCAGGGAAGACCCACACCCTGTCTGGTAGCCGTCAGGCAGTGAGGGCCCTGGGGTGCCTCCCCGTGCATCTGTACGGCAGGACAATGGGTGGCGAGTGTGGCGTGCGGGGGATGGATCTGACTTCTCCACCTGCAGCAGGGCCATGCCCCATCCCATGCTTCCTGGTTCCTAGGTCTAAGAGAAATCTACATAAAGGACTGACACGGAGCGTGACAGTGACACGGAAGGGCCAGAGGGGAAGTGACAGGCAGGGACAGATACGTTGCCCAAGGCAATGGCAGTAAGACAGAGGGATACCAAGAGGGACAGAGACAAGGGCAGAGAGAGGGACTTGTCAGAGGCTGAGTGAGCAGGGTGTGAGGACAGGACTCAGAGTGCCGGACAGTGGCAGCCTCCCTCTCTGCCGGAGGCCCTGCTCTGAAGGCAAGGGGACGCAGCAGGGCGAGCCATGGAGCCCTTGCAGGGAAGGGGCCTGACGAAGCCCCCTAAACCAAGGAAGTCCTAGACGGCTGCTCTGCGGGGGGTGGGCCCGAGGGCGGGAAGAGGGCACAGGTGGCTGCTGTCCACCCCGGGGCGCCCACCGCAGCTGACCTTCTGCCCCGGGGAGATGAGGGCGTTGACATGCTTCAGCACTGGCTTCAGGGAGCTGTCATAGCGCACGCTCAGGTTCTGAATTTGGATCTTCCCTTGGTCTGGCCAGTTCTTGGGGATCAACGACGGCGCTGAGGGTCAGGCTGGGGTCAGCCACCAGGCGTAGGCCACCTCCCCACTCCGGGGATACCCTCTGCAGGCTCTCACCCAGGAGCCCCTCATAGCTCTCCGCCTCGGTTTTCAGGAGTGCGTGGATCCGCTTCACAGCCCCCAGCTGGATCTCCATGTCCGCCAGGTTCCTCACCATCCAGTTGAGGTAGTTGGAGACCTACCGGGGCCAGCTGGTCACAAGTGCTCAGGGGTCACCGTTTTCCGCTTGGCCTCCCGGATGGCTGTCCTTACTCTAGGGAGGACTAGGAGCCCTGGAAACCTTCTGCTGACTACCCATTTCCTGAGCGCAGTGGCAGCCTGGAGCCACGAGAGGTTACAATGGCCATGGCCCCTCACCCGCCACCTTCAGCAAAGCCTAGGCGGGTTTACTGAAAAACCCGTATTTCAGTTGAGGACAGTGCCCTGGGTACCCAAGAGCTGTATCCGACTCCTCCCTGCCCCGCCCACTCACCATCAAGGCATAGGTGAGGCCCAGGCCCACCAGGCCAGCAGAAAGTTCCCTGTGCAGGGAGTTGGAGATGGAGGTGGCAGCCGCAATGAGTACCACGCACGCTCCGATGTACTCCTGAGGAAGGACAGCAGCTGGCCTGGGCTGTTGCGGGTCGGAGCCACAGGCGTCTCAACCTGCCTCACCCTTGGGGCAGAGAGCAGCTCAGCCGGCCTGAGCCGCAGCCCCACCCTCGAACGCACAGCAGACACACAAGGGCTGGCGGAAGCCGAGGCCTTGGAGCTAATGCTCACTCCAAGGTTATGCACCCTACTTCCTGAGGAGCTGTGCCTCACCACCGGCTGCCGTGCGCCCCCATGTATCACATGGCCCACGGAAGGGGCACGCTCGCCAGCTACCCCCTTCCTGACAGGCTCTTATAGCCCAGGTGGGCCTCAAACTTTGTAGCCTTCGGCTGCTATCCCCAGAGTGCTGGGACCATAAACACGGGGCGGGGCTTGAACCCCGCTTTGTGTGTACTAGGCAAGCTCTCTCCCAACCGGCTACATCCCCAGCGCCAACCTCCATTGTTCTTAATGTCTACATCCTGCTCCCATCCCGGCTCCCTGATCCGGGCACACTGCTGGGGCACATGGGGTGAAGACGCAGGTTAGACACGGTGGACTACCAGGGCTGTAGGACAGAAAGGCTCTGGGTCCCCATTATCAGCTGGCTCCTCTTCTAGTCTTCATCCATGTCTGCCCCTTGCACATTCCTAACGGAACCCTGTCCCAGGCCCCGGGGCGGGGGCAGCACTTGCCATGCGGACTTCCAGCCATCTGTTGGCTGCCGTGAGGAAGAGGGAAGCGATGTTGTTGGAGTCGGTATATTCTAGAAGCTTCTGCTGGAACCGGGCCTCGTACCTGGAGTGTGAAGAAGATGCGATGGGTCCAGGTGGGCACTCTCATTACGGAGATCTCTGGGCAGCCCCCAGACAGGCCAGCTCTTAGGCCGGCCTCACGTGTGGTCCCTGATGCTCTCCGTTCACCTCTCTTCTGCTTCTGGCCCACTGGAGTACATCAGATCCCTAACAGGTGTCCTGCATCTCTCTCTGGGCAGACGCTTATTCTTTCAAAGTCACACTGAGAACACCAATGGCACCCAGGATTAAGAACCTCCTGCAGGCAGGGGCCAGGTGCAGCTAACTCCATCTCCTGCTACCACTATGCGGCAGCCTCCCCAGCCTCTTCGGGGTTCATGGCAGTATTTCCCATGCCCAAGCCCAGGCTCATGCTTTTTCCATCGCCTGGAAGCTTTCTCTCTTGCTCTTTATAAATCTGCTCCCTTCTCAACTCTCAGGCCTGACCTCAGCTGCTGCCTCCTCAGACTCACATTCTCTGGCTTCCCCCCCAAAGTGGCTACACCCTGGCTCCTACCCCCCCACCACAGTGGCCATCCCCTGGCTCCTCCCCTCCCCCCAGTGGCCACCCCATGGCTCCTCCCCTCCCCCAGTGGCCACCCCATGGCTCCTCCCCTTCCCCTCCCCCCAGTGGCCACCCCATGGCTCCTCCCCTCCCCCCAGTGGCCATCCCCTGGCTCCTCCCCTCCCCCAGTGGCCACCCCATGGCTCCTCCCCTTCCCCTCCCCCCAGTGGCCACCCCATGGCTCCTCCCCTCCCCCCAGTGGCCATCCCCTGGCTCCTCCCCTCCCCCCAGTGGCTACCGCTGCTTCCTGTATAACCCTGTCTCTGTAGCCTGTTAGCTGCTTAGAGTCGGCTTGCATACTCCCTCCTCTAGCTGTTTATGGTCTAGCTGCCTGAGGGATGTGTGAGGATGGGAAGTGTCTGCCCAGCTCCGAAGCCTGACACTGTCAGATTAGTGGGACAAGCGAGCTGACACTCTTAAGAGGCCGGGCCCTCTCGGGTAGGTAGGATCTTGCGGGACAAAGATCTCTCTGGCTTTCTGTCTTATCCTCCAGGCCCTTGTCATATTTTTCCTACACCACGGTACACAGATCTGCCTCCTCTGATGATCTGGGCTCCTCTGCCACCTCCTTCAGACCTAGACGTACTTGTTCTATGCTGAACCAATAGACCACGAAAAGCCATCTTGACACCAAACTGGGAAAAACCAAACTTTGGGACTGAGAGGGCCCCATGCCTTGTTGGCCATATGCCCACCCCTGAAACGGTTTGCCCTTGAATTATTTCTGGGAAGAGGTCAAGCATCTGAGGACGACAAAGGGCATCTCTTGAGGTGTGGGGGAATGTGTATTGCACAGCCAAGAGGTAGATCTGTGTGGGTGGGTGACAGGTCTGAGGTGTGAGTCTTGGCATGAGAAAGATTTGAGAAAGCAGATGTTGGTGTGTGTGTCTGCGTGTGTGCCCGAGAGGTGAGGAGCAGTGTATGGGGTGTGAGGGCCTGTGTGCGTGACAGGGAATTCGAGGCGGGTGACAGCTATGCCCCTAAGAACTGGGAAGGAGCTCCAGAGCAGTGCAAACCCAGTCTGGCACCCAAGCGCCACGAGCATGCTAGGCTCAAGGCTCCTTCATGGGCTAACGTCACGGGGACACTGATGTTCAACACAGACTGAGGGCCTCTGCAGCACCCCAAGTCCAGTGCAGGGCACTGTGGAAACTGCCGTTTCTGTCACAGCCTCATCAAGCTCCCACGGCATCATTGGGGACAGCACTGCATCCCCTGAAGGGGGGCAGCTGGGCTGGGTTTCTCAGCTTCTTCTGACTTTGCTTCTGTATGGCAGGCCCAAGAAGTGATTATCTGATGCCACACAATGGAAAGTTGTCTTGATGCTGCTGCCTAGGGCGAGCAGCCTGGGTTTTAAGCCCACACCGATGTCATGTGGCTATATTGAGGATGACTGTTAGTAACTCATATGCAGTATTTAGCCCTTGGCACTCCACCGGCATGAAGTCAATAATGCTAGTTAGCTTCCATGGGGTAGGCTTCTGGGCCAAAGCCAGGAAATTAGACACATACGGCAGTGATTAAAAGTCTTCTATTCAAACCTAGGAAGCAGCATTCACCACCACGAGCAGGGTGTGGACTAAGCCGTGGCTGACCACAGACTCGGTCTGAGTCCTGGCCTTGGTCTGAAGCTGAGTGGTGATGCAGGGATCTGCTCAGCAGTCTAGCCCACTAAAAGCCAGTCTGTGATGCCAGGGCCTGTCCCAAGGGCCTCTGGACCAGTTTTAAAACGTGGAGCAGAGGCCAGGCCCAGAGGTGAAGCAACTCGAGTCTGGAGCCCTGTGCCAGGCTTCGGGACTTCTGTGTGGGACGGACAGGCTCGTGGGGGCCGAGGGCTGGCCAGGGAATGTAGCCCGGGCTAGGGCACAGCTCTGCTTTCCTCAGATGAGAACTAAGAGGTGAATTCCCACAGGCCCATTTGTCCCAGGAGCGAGTACAGCCTGTGCCAAAGCCCAGGGCAACCCTCTAGGGCTGACCTCGGACATACTGGTAGGGGAAGAGATGAAAGCCTTGTACCCTCAGCCGGTCCTTAAGGCCTAGGGTTGCTCCAGACACAGGGCTTAGCGGCACATGGTTTATTGCCATGCGGCTGTGCTATTCTAAAAATAACCTCTTGTCACCCTCTGGGTTAGCTTGGAGATGAGGGCCCAACTACATGAGTCAGGGGTCTCTGGTCTGGTTGGGAGGGCGAGCAGAGGCTCCAGGAGTCCCAACCACTACTTGGCTGTGAGGGGCAAGGGTCTTCTCTAGTCCCTGATAGCCTCAGATGCTCCCAGCCCAAGACCACCACTCAGGGTGGTGGGGCGGTGCCAGGGCCATTGAACTTGCAGAAAATTCCCCTGTGCGGGTGAACCCTTACTCGGCCCCTGGGTCACAGCTTCCGTAACAGTTCCTCTAAGAGTCTCTCCCTGCCCGTGTCCCTTCTGTGCTCCCATGTCTAGTAGAGCGGGAGCCACATGGTCTATGGGGACGGTAAATGCCTCTGGGGCTGTGGGCATGTGATGCATCTCCAGTGCCTGGCACTGGTTCACACGAGTGGCACTCAGTGTGTCAGATGGGTGAGTGGCCTCAAACCTGGGCTTTGTGGGGGCATTTCCCAGAGAGGTCATGTGACTGCTCAGTGCCTCAGTTTCCCTATCTGGGCAGTGGGAATCATGCTCAGCCCCTAGGGCCACAGCAGAACGGACAGAAGTGGCTCTCGGCACAGCGTTTGGTGACAGAGCATTAAGGAAGTGCCTCAGAGCTGACTCTAGGTGTAAGGGCCTTGTCTGCGTGGTCAGCTTTGTTCCGAGCTGGTCATGTCCTACTTTAATATAGAGGCCTGTAGCGTGTCTGCAGGCTACGAGTCTACATCTGGAGTCCACACGGCCTGTCCCTGCTCATGGACATTGCCCAAGGCCTAAGGTGCGACTTAGATCCTTTGGCTTGAGTCTCATGACCCGTGGCCCCGAGGCCAGCCCCCCCCACTCCCCTCCACGCCTCCCTTGGGGGTGGCTCTGGGCTTGCACCTGAAGGCACGGATGGTGGTGAGTCCCTCCACAGTTTCAGCAAAGTGTGAGAGCAGCGGGAGCTGCGTCGTGTCGTCCAGCTGCTGCAGGTCCCTGTGGCAGACGACGGGGATTAGGAGGGTGGCTCGTACTCATCCTCAGCAGCCACAGCCACCAGGCTGGGCAGCTTTCCCTCTCCCAGCCCCAGCTTCTCGCTAGCTCGCTGAGAGCCACAGCGATGGGATGGCCCCCTCACGCCGCTGCAGACAACACAACGTTTACGTGGCGTACTTCAACAGAGCCGGCTAAGCCCAGGTCACCCTGCCACCCTGGGCAGTGCCCACCTCATGCCTGGCACTGAGATGGGGCACGGGGGGCTGATTCCACTTCACAGAGGGACACCGTGGGAGTGGGACAACTGGCCAAAGGAACACAAAGATCATATTTTGAGTCTCAACTCCTGGTTTCCTAAGAACCACGACAGGCCCCAGGGCATCCTAGGCCAGGTCCTAAATATTTAGTTCTGAGGGTGGGAAGAGGAGGCTACAGGTCTCCATGGCAACAAGGGGCCTCCTGCTCCCTGTAGTCATGCACCAAATGCCAGGTAGGCCAGCTGGGACACAAGAAGTAGCTCCCCTAGACACTGATCCAAGAGGCAGGCAACAGGCTTGGGGCGAACAGGGCTTCCTTGGCAGAGAGAGCTTCGTGGGACAGCTTGTACTGCAGTGTGTGGAAATACTCAAAGTGCACAGTGTGGTACAATGTCTGGAAAGACACTGCCATTTTGCTAGTGTCAGTGCAGAATGTCCCCGCTGGGTGTTTGGAAGTTCTGGACCATTCGGACAAAAATCCATTTATACAATGTTGATTACTACGGGCAGGTGATTAGGGTAATAAATGCATTTAATCATAATGATTATTATTGCCAAGCAGTATTTTACTTGTTTCTTATCAACTATATGTCCTTGGGAAAGGTACTTAACTTTTATGAACATTACCTGAAGTAAAAAAGTACATTTTTGTATCACCAATAAGAACGCATGTTTTCATGACCACAGCAAAGGTTTCACAGAGCTGTTATGAATACAGTCTGATAATTTATGTTATAGATCAAAATAGAATGCATACATACACATGTGTGTGTATGCAAGCACACATACATCATTCATGTGCTTATGAATTTTTCATGGTGTTGGGAATGAAACCCAATGCCTGGAGCTTGGCAGGCAAGTGCTCTACCCCGACCCATTCCTGACCTCAGTTCCGCCTCACTGTTTTTAACATGCTGGTTCTGAATCAGGATATTGATTCAATGATGGCTGCAACTGGCAGTTTGAGTAATTGTAGGCTAGAGGGCCTTTTAAGTTTTCATTTTAATTGTTTGAATCAGTGAGTTCAACAAAATCACTATTAGGAAGAACTCTCTAGAGAATTTTCTAGCATACTCTGAGCAGGAAAGATGTGTGTGTGTGTGTGTGTGTGTGTGTGTGTGTGTGTGTGTGTGTGTGTGTGTGTGTGTGGTGTGCCTACCCTCACAAGGACAGATATGACCCGTGAGAGTGACTGCAAGAGCCCTAGTCCACCCCACCTCCCCCATCAGGTGCCATCTGTGCCCCTGTTAGAGACCAGCTTGGCTCCTGGGACCATACAATCCTCATGGGGACCCCTGGGGACAAATGAGTGGACGAGTGTTAACCCTGCACTAGCAATGAATGCCGTCCCTGACCACATCTCCCAAGGAAACAATGAGATATGGGCTGTAGAGCGTATGCGGACAGGTGGCACATTAGGGAAGCCATTTCCTTCATTCCTAATGGTTATCTCTGTTTTCAATCCGGGGAAAACACAACTCTATCCCTTTTACGACGATGACTCTGGCAAGCGTCCCAAACCACCAATCGCAAAGGACCTCCCATCCCCGTTCCCACCTCCACCCGCCAGACTAGAAATGCGGCTGTCACCTGGATGCCACTCGGAAGTACTTCTGAATGAAGTAGCACACAACAGCTAGGGGTAAGAGGGCCACGAGGAACACGGGTGTGACATAGGAGATGACAGTCAGGGCGGAGACACACAGCAGGGTGGACCGGCTCAGACACTCCAGCGTGGATGGGATGTGCTGAGGAGACAGGGGTGACAGTTGGGGACGTTTCTGTATTAGACTCTTCGGAGTACTATTTGTCACCATGTCTGCCTCCCATTTTGTTGCACACTCATTGTGTGTCTGTCTAGCTACCCTGCAAGCTCTCTGAGGGCAGGAATCTAGACTGCTTCCTCACTGTCTCGTAAGATAAGTCAGTGAAGGAGATAGGTTGAACCCAAGTGGATATTCAGAGTACCTTGGAACCTTCCCGAATGAGCCAAGCGAATCTTAGATAGACGGAAGCCAGAATGATTTGCTTTCCCTTCAGACTTATGAAGCCCTCAAGGGAGGTCCCAGACCCTGAGGCAGTGTCCCTCAGATAGGAACACTACGCTCCCCCCCACAGGGACACTGGGTTCCCACTGGGATCTGACCATCTATGCAGAGAGGCTAGCATCTAAGAGGAGAAGCTCCCAGGGGTCCCAGGGAAAGCATGCATAGTCAATACCTGGTCAATGGTGTTACAGTCGGATGAAAATCTGTTCAGGATACTCCCGAGGGGTGTGGTCTCAAAGAACCTAAGAGGCAAGAACCATTATTTATTGATTGATTTAATTTGTTTATGGAATGACGGCAGCTATTTGATTTAAATGTCTCTAGAACCATCTGTGGGCCAGGCCTCCTAGGAGCAGCTGCCATTGCGGGACTGCAAATATCTGGCTTGCGTCCTTGAGAATTCCTATAGCTACTCAAAAAGGTGTTAGCTTCCATTTAGCCTCCCTCCCTCACAGGTGATCACTGATAACCTCCTCGGCCTGACTCATTTGGCAACTGCTCCCTTGGGACACTGAGTCCTCTCCCAGGAGAACAGGTCCCTGGGGACAGCCTGTCAGCTGGCTGACAGTGAGAGGCTAGGCTGGCTGTCAGCACTCTGGCTATGACCTGGAGTTGGCCCAGCCCAACCAGAGAGCTTCTGAACTTCAGATTGGGGGCAAACAGAGGGTAGGTCAGTGAGGCCACCATGTCCACAGGCCACAGAGAGACAACAAAGCTGGAGGTACAAGTGTGGCCAGGGAGCAGCTATGGAGTAGGGTCCGGAAGCCATGAGACCAGGTAACCAGTACGCCTGCGTGTTCCAAATCAGCCTGGCCAGCTGATGGGGTGTGATGCTCTGGCTTCTGGACACCTGGCACTTTTAGGGTTCTGCTCCATCTCATTAGGGCATGTCGGACAGCTAATCTTGCTCTCAGTGCCAGAAAATGCAGGCTCTGGGCGTGGAGGGGGCGGGCAGAGCTTGTGGGCTGAAACACACAGATTATACCACCGAGGGAAGGGACTTAACCTTTCCCCGAAGCCTGCAGTTGCTCATGTTGAAGGCTGATGTGACCGTCGGATGACGTGTGGATACTCACACGGTCTGCTTCTTGCATAAGGACACGTCTACACACGCTGACTTGAGTCGCCCCTCCCGCCAAGCCTGAGACAGAGGTCATCTGTGCTTATCTTATAGATGGGGCATTTGGGACTCAAAGCATAGTGACCCGCCCTGGCACGGTCGGGTCTGGGGTACCTCATGGGGGCCAGGATGATGCGGTTGAGCAGGCTGCGGTGTAGCCTCTTGGCCACCTTCAGTCCCGTCCACTCCACAGTGACAGAGGTGACCAGGCACAGCACGATACCCAGGCTGCAGAGCAAGGTGAATACCATGGCATAGACAGACTGGTCCAGGTCACATTCCTAAGCAGGGAGAGAATAAGAGCGCCTGGGGCTGTGGGTGGGCTCAGCGCCCCTCCTCTCTGCCGGCCCCGCTGGCTGCGGTCATACCTGGCTGAGCGAACAGTTCCTGGCAGCGGGGCTCAGGACCAGGGCACTGTCCGTCCACTTGGCCAGCCAATAATCAATGGCCACCAAGACCATGTGCTTGAGCAGCTGGGAGAAGACAAGCAGGGACAGGAGCAGAATGCCAGCAGAGGACAGATACTTAGTGCAGGCTCGCCAGGGGATCTTAGCTCGCTGATGCAGCACTGAAGATAAGTTGTCATCTTCCTCGCTTTCGGCTGCCTCCTCTGTAGGTCGCAAGAACCCACCCTGTAGCTTCATAGATCATAACCCTCTGAAGGTGAACCAGGGGACATCTTATTCCCACTTATAGATAGGAAAGCATACACAGAAAAGAAAGAAGCTTAATCAAACCACACTAGCTGACCATGCCCAGAACTCTGGGCCTTAGCTCTCTGTGTCTGATGGCTAATACAGTCCTCTGGAGCCATCTCTAAGAATCTGAGAGGGCTGTCTGCAATAGGTTAGTTGGAAGACCTGCCCGTCATGGGCGGTGCCATTCCACGAGCTGTGGGCCTAAACTGAATAAAAAAGAGAAAGAGGCTGGGCGGTGGTGGCACACGCCTTTAATCCCAGCACTCGGGAGGCAGAGGCAGGCGGATCTCTGTGAGTTCGAGGCCAGGCTGGACCGACAACCTCCAAAACAATACAGAGAAACCTTGTCTCGTAAAACCAAAAAAAAAAAAAAAAAAAAAAAAGAGAGAGAGAGAGAGAGAGAGAAAGAGAGCTGGGCATTCATGACTCTCTGCTTCCTGACTGTGGACACACTGTGACCATCAGCCACACCCCTGTCACTGTGCCTTTCCTGCCCCGACAGACTATACCCCTAGACCTGCAAGCCCCGACAAACTTTCACCAAGGTGGCTTCTTGTCAGGCATTTTGAGATAGCAATAAGAGAAAGAACTAGCTCATCATGGGTGTTAGCTGCACTCCCAGGCTGGTGGTCCATACCTTCCTCCTCTTCCTCATCCAGCAGAAGGCCGTCTCTGGAGGACATGGCACGGGGCAGGCCCTGAGATGGCTCTGAGGCTTTCCTCTCCATGACTGTCTCCTGAAAACAGATGGAGCTCGGCCTGGCTTCAGGGAGTGCTTGTGGGGAGGAGAGGCCGGGGCAACTACCCCAGGGCTGGCTGGCTTACAGGTGGTCTCTACCCTGGGAGGGGTACGCACGGGCACGTGCTCATCTCGCCAGATTAGTCTTTATCAAGTAACAGAGTCCCACTATTGAAGAGGTGCGTGTGAGGAAGTCTAGGAAGCGAAGGCCAGCCTTGAGCTCTCCATGCCCCTGCCTCAGCCCCCCACGCTCCCCGTCTAGGATCACAGGTGTGCACCACCACACCTGGTTCTCCCGTTCCTGGTCTCTGAGATGCAAGCAACTCAGGTGGGCACGTGAGCATGGTCTGGCTAACCCTCACATCCTTCCATCCTGGCTGTAACAATTCAATCGGGGTGAACCCGACTGATGAACGAGAACACTCTGCCGGTCAAGGGAGAAGTACTCTCTGGTTGCAGAAGGAAAGCCCAGGGCTGCTGAACAGCTCTGGGGGCTCATTTGAGAGTGGTGGAGCAAAGAGACAGACAGAAACAGAATCCTGGTGGTGACTCAGTGACAGATGAAGCCACAACTCCCCTGGGACTTTCTGGTTTTGTGAACCAACAATTCCTTACCATCCCTGCCCCCTTTCCCTTTGTTAGCTAGTTTGAGCTGCTTCTCTAGAGCCTTCCAGCTAAATGGTATCTGAACGTCTGTGTGCACCTGACTCTGTCCTGGGTCCCTGCTCAGGTGCCAGCTCTGCCCCTGGTAGAGCAAGTTCAAGACAACCCTACATCTGTCCTTTCGGAGACTTCCTGGGAGTGGTGAGGACAGGCAGGCCTGGTGATTCCAGATCCTAGTAGAACCTTCTGTCCAGGGACGGCTGCCTGGTCCCCGTACCCTCACCTTCTCCAGCTCTTGGTCCTGCCGGTTCATGAGGGTCTTCCAGTGCTCAAAGAGCTGGCACTCGGACCTCTGGAAGTCCTTGAGCGTCCCTTCCCTCTGAATGGTCCCATCCTTCATGGCAATGATCTGTCAAGGCAGCCACAGAACAGGTTTGGCTAGCTTAGGGAAGCCTGAGACAGAAGGATGGCCACTTGACCTGCTGCACTGTGAGGTCTGGTAACCCACCCTCGGCGACATCATTCTCAGTGGGTGCCTTTGCAGAGCTGCCCCCAATGCCAGGTTCTGTCAGTTGTGGTAACATGCTTGTTAATTTGAGAGGGTGTGGCCGTGCCCCTTTGGAGCCCAGCAAACTCTGAAGCACCCAGTGACACCACCATGTAGTGCCAGCTTAACTGGCGCCCACCCCACCCTGGGCCCTGCACACAGGCACCTCCATGTCTGCCTTACTGGACTCAGGGTCATTCTCGACTACAGCCACGCTGCCTTCTGAAGCAGTTTAACTGGTCTTAATAGCTTTCAGATTTTTTTTTTTTGGTCTTTTTTATACCAGAGAATACTCTCACTCCACAAGGAAGGTTTATTTTGAGAGAAATTAATTAACGGGCCTATTCGGCTCAGACTTGAAGCTCAGACAGGGTCTCAGATTGTGGCTTCTGTCCAGGGAAATTTTGATATAGGAGCAGGCAGGTGGTCCATTATCTTTATCTTAGCATTAAGTGATTCCCAGTGAGATGGAGAGTAACTATGTCCTACCTACTGAAGAACGGGTTGGGCTAGTCAGCACGGGGTCCACACCACCACCATCTGTGCGAGTGTTGTCTGCAGGACTGCTGTCACCTGCATCTCGCTGAGGCTCCTCCCTGAAGGCCGGTGGCCTGGGGAGTCAGCTCTCATCTAAGCGGGAGCACCCACAGCCAGGGAAGCTGTTTGGGCAAGGCTAGCGTAGGGTGCACCGGAAAGGAAGCAAGCCAGGCAGGGACCCCAGTGACACCAAGACTCTGGACTGTAAGTGTTTCCTAGCCTGCTCAATACCACCTAACGCTGGTGTCTGTGGCCATCAGCCATTGCTGCGGGGTCGTATGACTGATTCTTTGAAGATCACACACTCACAGCCACACCACACACATGCTACACAGACACATACATACACACACCACACAGACACACACACACACACATGCTACACAGACACATACATACACACACACCACACACATGCTACACAGACACATACATACACACACACCACACACATGCTACACACAGACACATACATACACACACACCACACACATGCTACACACAGACACATACATACACACACCACACAGACACACACACACACACATGCTACACAGACACATACATACACACACCACACAGACACACACACACACACATGCTACACAGACACATACATACACACACACCACACACATGCTACACACAGACACATACATACACACACCACACAGACACACACACCACACCACAACACACACCACACACAGACACACACCCCACACATACACACAGACACACATACACCACACACACACATACCACACACAGACCCACACACACACAGACACAGACACACATACACCACACACACACACACACACACACACACACCACACACAGACCCACACACACACAGACACAGACACACATACACCACACACACACACCACACACACACACACCACACACCACACACACACACCACACACAGACACACACCCCCCCCACACAGACACAGACACACATACACCACACACACACACCACACACACACACACACACCACACACAGACCCACACACACACACCACACACCACACACACACACCACACACAGACACACACACACACACTACACACCACACATATGCTACACACAGACACACACACACACACACACACACACACACAGACACACACACACACACACACACACACACACATGCTACACACAACACACACACACACACACACACACACACACACACACCACACACATACACACACAACACACACACAACACATACCCACGCACACCCCGCTCCCAACCTGTCCCCTGTGGTTCCTACCCAGTCTGCATGAGGCAGATACTGTAGCTTGTGGGTCACCAGGACCACTGTCCTCTTGTCATCCCGGAGCAGCTCAAGGATGCCGGCCTGCATCAGGTGGTCACTCAGATGGACATCCAAAGCTGAGAAGGGGTCATCCTGAGAGAGACAATGGGGCATGGGTGGAGGGAGGAGAAGTCTCCAGACTTCTCCTGAAGCCGACTGAGGTACTGACACCAGTTAGCTTTGTGGCCTTGGACCACCTACCTAACTTCTCTGGGACTCAAATGTCTAACTTACCACCCTCAAACAGACGTTATCAATTCACTTCTGGTCCCCCGAGCCCACCCATGGCTACCCATCTCCTCTGCGGCCCGAACTCCGCAGCATAGTGCCCAGGCCTCTCCAGTCCTTGGCCTCTGGTTTGAGTCTCATTCTCACCTGTCCTTCCCAAGCTCCCTCCATTCCAGGTTGCCAGTGGGCCTGTCATCCCAGCCTTTGCCTGAGCTGCTCCTTCTGTGACAGAGGCCCTGCCTTCTGTGTGGTGAACTGTTTCCACCCACCGCTCACCCGAGCACGAGCCCTTCTGTGTCAGCCCTGGTCATCTCCTGTGTCTATCCTCTCTGTCCCAGGGACAGCCCTGTGCAAAGCCAGACCTGATAATCTATACGCCCCTGCCTGCAAGGCCCCCAGGAGCTCACACCCTGAGCCTGTGTCTGTTACCCATGAGCTCAACGAATGCAGGAAAGCAGCCACTGGACTCTTAGCCACAGTTGTTTAAGTAGCAGGTGGATTCCCGGGATGACCTAGAACTTCATAAATTGCCGAGAGTGTGTCGGGTCGATGAGGGAAGCTGTGTGTGTTGAGGGGCCAGGGGACAGAATCAAGCCAGGATCAGAGAGCTGAGGTTGCGTATGCTGAGTCTTTGTCTAAACGCCCTGTTTCCCTTTTGTTTAATTGACTCTTCAAGGCTCTCTTCCAGGAAGCCCTCCATGATCACTCTGGCCATCACAGTGTCTCACGGTCTGGGCTACACGGATTAGCTTTGAACCGGCTATATGTCCTACATATACATGAGTCTGTTTCTCTGATCAAACTTCAAATCTTCAAGGTCAAGGGCTGGGTCTTAAGATTCTTCAATATCAACCACAGCACATGACACAGAGCTTGTCACGAGGTGGGCAGGTTTTATCTCACGTTTGATGGCTACAGTGCGGTGTTGAGAAGGTTTTGAGGCCAACTTGGGATCCCTAGAGAAACAGCTCAGTAATTATTAGCAGTGTCTGATCCGAGCACACACTGGGAAGTAGTGTCCCACATCCCGTGTGTGTGTACCCTGACAGCTGGGGCTGCCCTTGTGTCCTTTAGAGAGGCAGTCCCTCCTCTCAAGGTGACTGGAAGGCTCAGTGTCACCTTGGGTTATCAGCACTGTTCTTGCCTGCCTCCGTTTCTCTGTAAGTGAGATAAAGGCAGCGTCTCTAGCAGAGAGACTTGTTCCTGGTTAGGGAGGTGGTTGCTGTTGATGACGATGCTGGTCAGGGAACCGCGCAGCCAGAGGCGAGGGCCCAAGGGAAGCTTCAGCTGAGACACTCACCAAGAAGACGACATTGGTCTGCTGGTAGAGGGCTCTGGCCACACTGATACGCTGACGCTGACCACCAGACAGGTTGATGCCCTGTCGTCAGAGGAGAGGAGGTCATGCCCTCAGCCCTTTAGGCTCTCCCTGTGCACTTGGGGCTCTATGAGGAGATGGAGTCACCCCCAGATTGGGATGGCTGACCTCTCCCATCAGCCAGGGTGCTGTGCAAATATTCCTCCAAACTGAAACTTTCTCTCCTGGATGCAGAAAGGAGACTTATAAGACTCAGGGAGCTAAGGAACCGTATGGTATTCATGAGGTAAGGAAAACTCACAAGGTTTGGAAAGCTCCTGAAACTTACAAGATCCATAGTTAAAAGAGCAGAAGCAATGGCTGCAGAGGAGAGGCCCAGCTGTCCACACTGCAGTCAGCTGTGCAGGCTGCTGCAGGGAGGCAGCTTTTCTGACTTATTACCCATGCTGGAGGGGGCTTTGGGCGACGCAGCTGCCCTCAAGTCACTCATACTTCCTTAGTTAACCCCAACAGACTCATGGGTTCACTAAGAGAGACGTGGATGTTGTTGGTGCCCTATCTGGTGTGAACCCAGATTTCTTTGTCTCCCCAGGAGAAGTCACACAATACAGGACAATGGCTGTCACAATGTCAAACCACTTGAAGCTCTTCAACTCTTTCCTTTGTCCAATTCCATTACTCAATCTTCCTACGAAGGACCTCAAGGCACAGTGGGAACATGGGTAGGGAGCAGGGTGGGGGCTGCCACTAACCCGTTCCCCAATCTGAGTCTGGTCTCCGTGGGGCAGGATGTCTATGTCCGGCTGCAGGGAGCAGGCTTCGATGACCATCTTGTACCTGGAGAGTAAGGATGGGGGGTGTCATATGACTGGCCTGGTCAGAATGGGGCCTCAGTCCTTGTATGGTCATTAGTCTGTGGGCTGCTGGACCCCAGTGAGTGATGACTTTAATGCGCTTCCTGCCTGGTGCAAGCAAACACCAGGAGAGCATGAAACAGCTAAGGTCAGCGCTCACATAGCCTGGGGCAAGTTAAATATTTGAAGGATGAAATTGTGTGGGAGCAAACAGGCTGAGTGGGGGAAGAGAGGGGGTTTATGGTCCCTGAGCAGTGGGAACGCTGCAGCCAGAGCCCATGCTGGGGCACCATCTGGGAAAACCACTGCTGATTATTTGGAGGTGGTAATGATGATGGCTGATCAAATATTTGCCTAGCCTGCTCTTCTTATCCTTTTCTGGCCTGCTCTTAGCTTACGCAGGTGCCAGCCAGCATCCATGGAGACTTGAGAGCTTTTCGGTGACACACGTCCTTAGGCAGCTTTGGATTTGAGACTAATTTCAGTAATTTACTGGCTGGCCTTGGTAAGTTACTTAAGCTCCAGGACCCTGCTTCCCTCACCCACAAGATGGGCATGGGAGTATTACTGTGTCGGGTACAAGCACACGTATGAAGCACCTGGCGCCCTTCCGAGGCAACTGCTAAGAGATTGGTGGATGCTGGCGATGGCTGTCATCAAGGAGTGCTGTGGGGTGCCTTGTGTGCGTGTGTGACACTGAACCCAACAGTGGGGAACTGAAGATTAACCATGCCTACAGCTCAGCCCCGCTCCTGCCCTAGCTAGACAAGGCAGCCATGCCTTCTGCCTCCTCTCACCCACGAGAAGGGACTGCTGGAAGCCAGGCACATCCGGGTGCTCCCCAGATGGACTAGGTGGTGCTGGCTGGACTCTGTGGGACCACACCCACCCCTCCACAGTCTCTCTCTCTCTCCCAGAGGCTGTTACCGCTGCTTATTGAAGGGACTCTCGAAGGTGATGTTCTCTTCCACGGTGGCGTTTAGCAGCCATGGTTTCTGAGATGCGTAGGCCACGGGGCCTCTGCTCCTGGAACAAACTGGTGGTGAGGGTGAGGCTCTTCCCCGAGGGCTCATTCTAGAGCAATTGCCAGGCCAACCAATGGCTTAGACTGGGGCAAGGGGGCAAACGGACTGCGATGACCAGGTCATGAGATAGGAATCTGTGATGGGCTGTGTAACGTAAGCCACGCTCTTCCTGATGGTCTCAGTCCTCCAAAAAGACCTCTAGTTCCCCCATCCCCTCTCTGCGCCTCTAATCACAGGAACCCAACCGACAGCCACACACCAGGGTCTGGGTGCAGCCAGGCGTGGGGACCTCCCTGTGTGGCCACATGGGTATATGAGGAGACACAGGCTCACTAGAAAGGATAATGGGGGAGGCCCCTGTGACATAGGCTTTAGAGGAAAATCTCCCAGGTCTGAGGAGACCCAACAGAAGCTCTGCTGGCATGGCTGCCTCTGGACACCAAGCAGTGTTCTGAGGCCTGGCCTAAGCCCTAGAGCCCAAGCCTCAGGTGGCTACAGACAGGACTTTCTTCCTCTGTGTTAGTCCTCACCAGCCCCATCTCAACACCAAGACAGGGAGGATCCCCAGGTGTCACCAAACCAAGCAATCCGTTACCCAGCTCCCTGCTCTCTCAGCAGCCGCTGGATACTACACAGAGGACATTATTACAGAACCAGAGCCGAGGTGATCACACCCAACCGGCTGTAGTTTCCAAAGTCCCACTTTCCACCCCTCACCCCAGGAGCTGTGGAGAATGAACACATGTCATCTACAGAGGTATGGCAACTCCCAGACTACAGCGGAGCACAGAGCTCTTCCTGGACCCACAGCCTCCCAGAGCACAAAGGTTCCGCAGCTCCTGGACCCCTTTGAGGAAGCCCGCCAGTCAGGCAGGAACGCTCAGCACTGGTACCTGATATCCGAGCCAGCTGCTGTCTCCCGCTCTGGGCTGCTGCAGAGGGGGAAAGACACAGGTCAGTGCCCCCATCATGGACTGGGCCCCTCTGTACCCCCCATCATGGACTGGGCCCCCTTGGAGATTTCTGGATCCTTCAAACTCCACCTGCAGCCACGGATGAGGGTCTATTTTGTATGTGGGGAGCCTGGTGAGCCTCACTGCCTGACCGTGTGGGTGTGTGAAGAGGCCCAGTCCTTGGTTCATTTAAGGGGGAGAATCTGGGGAAAGGCTCCGTGCAGGGAAACTTCCTGGGTCAGAGGAGTAGCCCGAAGGACTCTGCAGCCTCAGCCTTGAAACAAGGCTCGAATGAGCAAGCCAAGGCCACAGGCTAACAGCTTGGACCAGGCAGGGGATAGTGGACCATGTGGGTGGTCACCGGCGGCTGGGAAGCCGAGAGAGAAGTTCCAAGCATGAACTGCAGCCCCCCCCCACCCATGGCACACCAGGAGAGTCTTAGAATGGGGGAGCCAGCCCAGGAGTCACATGGGCTCTGGTGCTGGCCGACTCTGGCCTGCTCCAAACAGCCCCAGTGTCAACTCTGTTAATTTGTTCTCATTGGACACATCTGGACTTTCACATGCCACATCTGGGTTTTGGCTGGAGTCACTATGGTTTGGGAGGCTGGGCTGTCCACACTGGGGACAAAGCGGCAGACAAGGCGGGAAGTGGCAGAGGGGAGGTGGGTGTCTCTGAGGCTGGGGGGGGGCGATGTCTCAGTTGACTGGTGAGCTGCACCACAGAGGATCAGCCTTGTCAGCCTGGCCCACAGCTTCCAGGCTTCTCCTGTGTTCTCAGGGAAGGAGGGAAGGCACACTGTCTCACTGTCACCCATCCGTTTCTTTGGGGGATTTTTAGACTTTCATTGACCATATTTAATAAGACTGAACTTTCTATGTAGCGGAGGGACACTTATGGGCAAGGTTTGGTTTTTCTCATATCCCTGGAGCCTTTCAAGAAATAGTTTTCCAATTATTAGCTTCCTACTACACTTTTGTTAAATTAAAGGCAGGTGTTCTTGTGTTCTGGGCTGGCCTTGAACTCCTGATCCTTCTGCCTACACCTCCTAGGTGCTGGGATTACAGGTGTGCCACCAGCCCTGGTTCCTGACATTAATTTGGTGCTGGGATTACAGGTGCGCCACCAGCCCTGGTTCCTGACATTAATTTGGTGCTGGGATTACAGGTGCGCCACCAGCCCTGGTTCCTGACATTAATTTGGTGCTGGGATTACAGGTGCGCCACCAGCCCTGGTTCCTGACATTAATTTGGTGCTGGGATTACAGGTGCGCCACCAGCCCTGGTTCCTGACATTAATTTGGTGCTGGGATTACAGGTGCGCCACCAGCCCTGGTTCCTGACATTAATTTGGTGCTGGGATTACAGGTGCGCCACCAGCCCTGGTTCCTGACATTAATTTGGTGCTGGGATTACAGGTGCGCCACCAGCCCTGGTTCCTGACATTAATTTGGTGCTGGGATTACAGGTGCGCCACCAGCCCTGGTTCCTGACATTAATTTGGTGCTGGGATTACAGGTGCGCCACCAGCCCTGGTTCCTGACATTAATTTGGTGCTGGGATTACAGGTGCGCCACCAGCCCTGGTTCCTGACATTAATTTGGTGCTGGGATTACAGGTGCGCCACCAGCCCTGGTTCCTGACATTAATTTGGTGCTGGGATTACAGGTGCGCCACCAGCCCTGGTTCCTGACATTAATTTGGTGCTGGGATTACAGGTGCGCCACCAGCCCTGGTTCCTGACATTAATTTGGTGGCTTTTGGTTTATTCACAAGGTTACACAGCCAGTACTGCTACTTCCAGAACATGGTCGCCCCCAAACCAACCTCGTGTGATCAGTAGCTACACCCCCTTTCCTCTCTTTCTCTCTGGCCCCTGGCAAACACTCACCTACAACATATCTGTCTGTCTGTCTGTCTGTCTTTTGGCAGTAGGGACTTATGTAACCCAGGCTGGACTCCAATTCCCTATGTAGACGATCTTGAGCTTCTGATCCTCTTGTCTCTATATCCTAACCAATATGACCACAGGTATGCAAAACCATACCTGGTTTATGTGGATCCTGGGACTGAACCTAGGACTTTGTGCTAGGCAAGCACTCTACCAACTGAGCTACATCTTCAGCTTGGACAATTATCTTTTTCTATAAGAAATTGTTCTATTGACCTCAGTGACAATCATTATGATTGGTTTTTGGTTGCTGTTTGTTTCAGAGACTGGTTCTCCCCAGGTAGCCCTGGCTGGCCTGGAATTCAGTGTGTAGAGCAAGCTGGCCCTGAACTTACCGCAATCTGCCTATATCTGCCTCCCGAGTGCTGGGATAAAGGCGTGCACCACCATGCTCCTCTCATCATGGAATCATAATACCACAGGTGGCGGATGCCTGTGTATGTGCCATGACCCTTGAGATGGGCACACAACACGGTCACGTCTGAGACTCTTTCCTCCTCTCTGCAAACCATGCGTTGCCTCCATTGAGACTGCTCGCCTTAGCCTCATGACTGAGAACATGCCACCACAAAGCCTTAGCCTCATGACTGAGAACATGCCACCACAAACCCTTAGATGCTCACTCAGCATCCTCACCCACAGGCCCCACCACCCCACCCATGCCAACCCCGTCCGGAAGCAGTACCTGGGGTCCTCTCCCTCGCTGTCCGGAAGGTTGCTGGGCCAAAAAGAAAGATGAACACCAATTACTTCCCGCTGCCTTTCATCGCGCTGGAGCTTCATGGAGAAGCAGTTCCTATGCCTCCCGCCCTTCCCAGGGCCCAGCTGGTCTCCTGGGTGCAGAACTGACTCCTCTCAGTCTCTGCACTTGGCCGAGTACCCCCCAAACAGCACAGGCTCAGCTGCTGCTCCTGGCATTGACCTGGGGCGGCCACGAGGCTGGCTGGGCACCACAGTGGTTTTATACCCAGAACAACTGAGCTCAGGGAGGGAATGTGACTTTGCCCCAGACACCAGCACACACGGCGCTTCTCAAACTGCAGAATCTGACAGCAGATCGGAAACAATTGGAGCAACTGTTTGTAAAAAGTAGAAACCGTCTGTGTTCACGGCAGGTGGTTTAGACCCGAGGTTTTCTTGAATCTGTCAGTGCAGGAGGCGAATCCTCTCACAGTAAGAGGCAACTTTGGAAAACAGTGATCTGGATCTTGAGGCCACATTTTTCTGTGGTCTTTCTCCTGTCCCAGCTCAACACCTCTCAACCTTCCAGAAACATCGTCCACCAGTGAAATGTGCACGGTGGCTTACACATGTGAGAAAACAACCTTCTCTGTAGTCTCGTTCATCCATGATGACAATCACTAAGTTAGGAGTGCTTCCAGACAGGGCCTCACACAGCTCAGACTGACGGCAAGTTTGCTCTGTAGCCAAAGACGGCCTTGAACTCCTGATGCGCCTGCTCCCACCAGATGCTGGGGCTGTAGCCTGCACTACCACACAGTTACCTTATTTTACTAATGCTGAAGACAGCCTTTGTGTATCGAGCTTTTTAAAAGTACTGGTAAGAACTGTAATTGAATGGTCACTTATTTGTTTACTTATATGGGTATTTAGCCGGGGTGTAAGTCTGTTTACCCTGTGCATACCCGCTAACCCCAGAGGTCAGAAGAGGGTGCTGTACCCCTAGAACTGGAGTTACAGATGTGAGATATGGCAGGTGTGAGCTGCCATGTGGGTGCTGGGAACTGAACGTGGGTCCTGCAAGACCAGCCAGGGCCCTTACTTCTAAGCCATGCTTCCAACCCCAGAACAATCACTTTCTATGTACAAAAGAGCCACATGGAGGGTGCTTTGATTTCTCAACTACAGACATAGTTAGGCTCTGAGAGGTTAAGCAACTTGTTCAAAGTCACACAGTCAGAAAATGACAAAGGCCTGGGGCAGGAGCAAGTGAGGTCATGACCCATTTGTCGTCACCAGTCCCTGGCCCTTTCCTTTGGGCTTTGTGGTCCCTGCCCAGTCTCCTAAGGCAACCTAATGTCTCTAACCGCCAGACTGCTCTGACGGACCATTCACAGACCGATCACTAACATGGGACAGAGAAACCAGAGCTCACAGTCCCTGCTCTGTGGCCACAGATGAGTTTCTCTCTGGAGATTTCCTGCAGAGCAGCAAAGGGTGCGGACTGCATCTCTGTGGCATCCTCCAGGACTCAGCACACCCCCTCTAGTCGTGACTCAACCCTGACTTGGTTCATCTTGATCTCGGCTGCTCAATTAGCCCTCCTAATGGACTGCCTTCTCTCCATCAGTGCCTGAGCGAGCCTGGTGTGCCCAGTGGGATTTAGAAGCAGGAAAGGCATCTTTTCCAGCCCCCGCAGTGCTTAGCACATGACGGATCTGTAACAAATGGAGCTTGTTAGCAGGCGTATTAATCATTGGGGAAGAGGGAGGGAGGGGTGGGCTCTTGCTAGTGGCCATTCCCATGCACAGTGCCGAGGAGTTTGCGCCCACACTCTGGTCTCACCCTACAACCGCATCCTGTCTCCATTTTACAGATGAGCACATTGAGGCTTAGGGCTGCAGAATGGGCTCCTTGTGACAGAGTCAGAAAGAAGGGAAGCTGGGGTACTAACCTGGGTTCACTTCCTCTTTCTGTTGTATCCCTAAGCTTCTAGCAGGAACCTTACCAAAGGCTTTGTGTACATATTTTAAGCTAGAAAGTAAAGAACAGTACATTTGGCAAGCATGTTCTCTCACTGACTGCTGGAGTGTATGCATGTGTTTCGTATGTACTTGTTCATGCAGACATGTGCACATGTCTGGCGCATGCAGTTAGAGGCCAGAGATCCACAGGGAGTGACTTCCTGTTTTTCAGACAGGGACTACCGTACGCTGGAGCTCATTGATGCAGCTGGTGTGGCTGTCCAGCAGACTCCAGGACCCACGTGTCAGCTTCCTGGGTGCTGGGATGGTGGAGCTCCGGCTTCCTACTGCTGAGCAAGCTCCTGCCTGACTTCTGTCTGGGACACTCCTCTCCTTGCCTGCACTTCACATGCTACGCTGCATCAAGGCACAACGCCTGCCACGCAGGGCTCACAGTCTGAAGGGTCAATCAGACAGACAGACAGAAGTCAGAGAGCTACAAGACACCAGACAAAGGACTACAGAATTTTGAGGAAGTTGATACACAAACGTACAAAATGAACAAGGCAGGAAACTTGGGGAGGTGAGATGGTACATGTTTTTATCTTCTTTATAGTTGTGCTTCTTTCCTAATTTAAGGTACATTTACATTTTTATTCTTAATCATGTGTATTTGTGTGTCTGTGTACATGTGTGGGGTACCTAGGAAGAGGGTAGAGGATCCCCTGGAACAGTTGTGAGCCTCCCAATGTGCGTGTTTGGAACTGAACTCCGGTCCTCTGCAAGAGCGGCAGGCACTCTTAATTGCTGAGCCATCCCTCCAGCCCTCAGCGAACCTCCTTTGGAATTACAAAATGTAGTATCAGGAGTTGAATCCAGGCCTCATGATGCCAGGTAAGTGCATTACACTGAGCTAAGGACTATGCCTCCCCCCTCCCCCAGGTCTTGCTGAGTCGCCCAGATGGTACCTGAACTCAGGAGCCTTGAATTTTCCATCCTCCTCCCTTAACCCACCAAGCAAATGGGATCACACGCTCACACCACCAGGCCTGGCAGAAAATGTAACTTTTGAGTCATTTGGAAGAGGAAGAAGCAAGAAATGTTTCATAGAAGCCAGATAAGCTGAACCTTGAGGGATGGGAAGGATGGGGTCACAGATACGGAAGGATGGAATGGTCGGGTATCTTCTAGACAGGCAGAGTGAAGAGGTGGGAAGAACATGGCCCTATGGTTTGAACCCACGGCTGTGACGTGTGAAGCCCCTTTACTCAGAGGAGTCCCTATTTCCTTTCCACTGAGTGGGAAGAAGGTACAGCCTGCACTGTGTGAGAGCTTCGTCAGCACAGCACACAGGTGTGTGTGTGTGTGTGCGTGCACGTGTGTGTGTGCGTGCACATGTGTGTGTGCGTGTGTGCGTGCGTGTGTGTGTGTGTGTGTGTGTGTGTGTGTTGGGGGTGAGCATGAAGGACTGGGGTAATCAAGTACCCAATGTGCATTGTGTTCTGGATATAAAATATCTCCCTCAGGTTCCCGTGCTGAACGCTGGTCCCCGTTTGGTCGTACTGTTTGGGGAGGTTGGAGAAGCTGCGAGGAACCTACCGTAAGTGGGACCAACCTGGAGGAAGTACATCACTAGGGTGGGACCTTGGCTATCTGGTTCCTGTCTTCTCCGCTGCCCCTTACTTCCTGTCATTCATGAAGCTGCTTCCTCTTTCACCCTTCCCAGTGGCCATGATGTTATGGCTCACAGAATCAACTGAACCAAAGGCCATGGAGTCTGCTTGTTTTAAAGGCAGAGTCTCACTCACTATATGGCCCTGACTAACCTGGAACTGGCTATGTAGACCAGGCTGGCCTCAAGCTCACAGAGATCCAAAGGGCTGTAACCATGAGCCCAAGCAATCTGTTTACTACCCTTAAACCATCGTCTCTGATGTTCTGACTACAGTGGAGCAGAGTAAAGAACAGCCCCGGCATTCATTCAGGATCAGGCAGAGTAAGAAGGGAGAGGGAACTGAGGTGGGATTGGGCTCAGACTCACGGAGCCTCCACAGCCCACTGTCCTCCCTCCCGCAGGCCTGTGACTGTCCTGAAGCATATTACCTCCACCCATGGCTCCCCGTGCAGCTGGCGCCAAGGCCAGATCTCTGAATCAGGCGAGGCAGGGTCTTTTTCCTTGCCTTAAGGGAGAAAAATGAGTTCCAGGAAGGCGATGTCACCTGCCCAAGGTGAGGGAGCGGCACAGTCAGAACTAAAGAGGCCATCTGGTCCCCAAGCCTGCCTGGGTCCTTCTCAAGCTTCTAGTCCACTGGCCGCCTACAGGAGACCAGGGGCACCTGAGTCTCCAGTCTCTTGGTACAGCCAAGGGTGAAGTCAGACAGCTTTGAGCCGAACACCACAAATCAGCAGGCAGGCTCTCAGGAAGGCCCAGAGCCCGGAGGGCCCTTGTTGGGCATAGCCGGACACACGGATGGACACACGGATGGACCACAGGTGGCGCCCCAGCGGGTGGTAGGGAGGTGGTTGGCAGGGAGTCCCGGGGAAACTAGACTTGTACTTCCTCACAGGGTGGGAACCTTCTCCCCACCCTTCGCTTTCCTAGGCCTACTTCCTGATGACTTTTGGGGGACATCAGAAGTTATGCTAGGGACTAATGACCTTACTTTTCACTTCCTGGGAAACAAACTGTACCTGAGTGTATCTGCTAATATTGACTTCTTATTAACACGTTTTCTTCTTAGAGATTACACGGGGAGTTTGCAAATTCCCAGGTTGACAGTTCATTGAGCCAGGAAGCAAGGGAGAGGCTGATGACTCATGAAAGGAACCATGTGGGAGTCACGTGGCTCTGAGACCCAGAACCAAGGTCTGCTCAGGACAGCTCCCCAGCGTTTACATGGCTGGGCTGATGCAGTCTCAGTGCCCGTCCCAGGGCTCCTTCTACATAGCTCTAGCTTCCTGGAGCTCCTGAGGGCAAAGGCCAGACTTCCCTCCCCTATATTACATGGAGAAGCGCCCCAGATCCTGCACTGGAACCTTAAGGGGCCCAGAGCCACACAGACAGATGACCACTCAGGGTGCAAGGTGCAGTCACAGGGCTGGCTCCTTCCCAAAGTGGGTGCGGAAGCCTGGAGCCCCCGTTAGGGAGCATTGTGGACAAAGGCTTCTGGGAGAGAGACACATTAATACTGTCCCAAGCTGTCCCTGCCTGGTTCATTTATTTGTAAATGACTTCATTTACTAAAGTGACTATGGGTTTGGAGAGAAAAATAAAGTGTGGATCTTGTCTCCTGGGAGCTCACTATGGTCTCTCCTGGGAGAAAGGCTGGGGTACAGTACGGGAATTTTGCTCTTGGCAAGGAGGCACATGGCTGAATAATGTTTATCATAATATTTATAGGGCTCTTGCTACATGCTAGGTTAATCCTCCCATCAACCCCACCGGTTAAAAGGGGAAACTGGTACAGAACGCTTATGGAATTTTCCAAAACACACAGATCAAATCTGAACTTGGGCAGCTTGGCCCCGAGCATCTGCTCCTGCCTGCTCAGCCACAGAAATAAATGAGCAGTTGTACCAACAACCATCTCCCTAGAGCGTTCTCGACACTGCCCCTCCCGACTCTCCCAGCTTCCTGCCTTGTGTCCCCGGAACCCTTTCTGGCTGTCTGGTCACCAGGGCTTGGCCCTTGCCTCTGGCTGTAGGCATGCATTATCAGGAGAGGCCTCTAGGTCAAAATCTATTTTGTTCTTGGCTCACTTTGCAAGTGCATCATCTCTCTGAAGACCAAAGGTCCAATATCTTGGGTTCGGATCTCCTACCAGGAATGAGAGGCATCCAACATACGACTCCCATTCTTAGCTCTTGCCTTAATATAGGTGCTCAGATGGAGACATGGGTACCCTTTTGTAGGACAAATAGCAGAAGACACAGAGTCAGTTTAGACTCTTTGCAGCCACTGTAACGAGCTCCTAACTGGCCTCCTCTCTGGTCCCTTCCCTAACTCCATCATCCTTTATCAGAAGCAGGCACTTCTGCAATCTTTCAGCTCAGGGTTATTTCTCATTCCGGGTACATCTAATCTATGTGAGGCTCACTCATCAGTCTCTCTCGCCACGGCATCCCACACACTCAGTGCTCCAGGCACCCAGAGCATCCCCTTCAATATCAGCAGGCCTTTACCCATGCAGCGACCCCACCTGGGATACCTTCCTCTCTGCCCGTGCCTTTTCCGTTAGATGAGCCCACACTCATCTTCAAGGGGCTTCTCAGTGGGCTGAGCTCTTGGACCACAGACTTCCTTGTTCTCTGTATGCTCTGGTGTCACACTGATTTTCTTGCCTTCCCTTGCAAGCAGGAGGCAAGTCTTAACTGTCACTGCATTCCTGTTGCTGGGCACAGGGTCTGGCATCACAGGTGGGATCAATATACTCATGTACTGGTGAACAGAGCCAGGAATGGGTTCTCAGAGGCACCTCTGGATGGCTACAGGTTAAGCTGTTATGCTGGGGAAACTGGCCCAGGCAGGAGAGCAAGGTAGACTCTGAAGGAACAAGAACCTTGGCCCCTCGGTGTTTCTCCATGCCTCAAGGAAGAGCGTGCGCGCGTGTGTGTGTGTGTGTGTGTGTGAGAGAGAGAGAGAGAGAGAGAGAGAGAGAGAGAGAGAGAGAGAGAGAGAGAGAGAGAGAGAGAGAGCACGAGCGAAGGAGGGGGCAGCTAACTTTTGGGTCATCAGACGAGATGTTACTTCTTCCTGAAGCCCTCACGCCCTTTCAGCAAACAGTGGGAGCTCAGGGCCCACCTGGATGCAGATTCTACTTCTGCCGTGACAAGAACTGAGGAGCTTACTTCACTTTGGTTTCTTATCTATTGAACGGGAGGACAGCATCTACCTCTCAGGGTGAGGGAACTGACAGACACCCAGGTCAGCCTTAGGCACCGTGGAGAGGCTCCCTGCATCCCTGTGGCTGGAGCAGGGCTTCCGAAGGGACAGAAGCAGCAGCCAGACCCCAAGCCTGGAGCATCTAGGAGAGGTAGGGGCAGAGCCAGTGGAGTCCCCGGTGGTCAGAGGAGCTGCTGTAATGATGTGTGGGGTGGGCTAGAGAAGAAGGCGGGGAAGGCAGCAACCAGGGTCAGACGCTTGCGAGCTGTGTGGACACAGGCCAGGGAACCCCAGAGGCAGCTCCAGGTTTGAACGCCGCAATCCCTTCTAGAAAAGGTTTGGAGAGAAACTGGACCCATGCAGCCTCTAACATGAAATTTAGAGAATAATTCCCTGGAAACAGGATCCAGGGCACTCTATCCTGACGCAGTGGCCAAGCCTAAGGTCATGCTCTGATGTAAATGCCAACAGGAAGTGAGCCAAACTCCCTGAGCCTCAGTTGCGGCTGCCATGAGGTGGACGACTTTGGTGAGAACATGCTTGCTAAGGGCCTGGCCCTCAGCAGGGACCAACAAACACTGGCTTCATCTGCTCCCCTCTGAAGTTCCTGCCTCCTTGTCACTGACACCGCTAACAGGCCAGGGCTCCTAACCCAAACCCAGCATAGTTAACTCATCTCAGTTCCAGGGTGTCCCGGGGATCTTCGTGGGACCTCTCAGTGGAATGGAGAATGGAGCGAGGGACACTTCTGCTCTACACAGAATCCAACCCCTGTGGGAATTACCCAAAGGGCTCACCTGCTCACCCACGGCCACACTAAGGAGGGAGACTTGTTTCGGCTGTTCAGGGACAGTTTGGAATGAGAGGCAGTGAGCGGGAAGCCTGTAGTCAATCTCCCAAGGCTTTCTCTCTGCCCAGCTCTATGCTCAGGCTTATCAAAACCTGCCGTCCTGGGTAATTTCCTTAAAAATAAAAAAAAGGCCTGGAAGGCAAAATGGCCCTCCTGTTGAACTGGCTGCAGCCCTCAGTCCCCATTAAGAGCTGTGAACCCCAGCTGGGAGACTGGGGCGCCCTTAGCGATGACAGGGCTTTGCGGGGCAGCTGCGGCTGTCTCCTGCTCAGGTTCTGAACTCCGCCCCACCCTCGTCCTGTCTCAGCGTTTCTGCCTGCTCCAGCTTGATACGCTTCTTCAGCAGCTGACGTCACCGCCTTTCAGAAGCAGGTGGGTACAAATAATAGATTCATAAAGGACTCTGCCCAAGGCTCTGACGCTTTAATTAAGACGGTGATCTTTGGGAACCAGTGTTTGCTGGGTTATTCTGGCCCCTCCACACACACACACACACACCCAGAATGGCCCAGTCTGCTTTTCTGATGAAAAACCTGAAACCAAAGTTGGCAGGGAGGAGATTTAAGAGTCAGAAGAACTGAGTTCGAATCTCCACTCTGCCTCATGCTAGTTGTGTGAATTAGGGCAAATACAGCTCTTATTTATAAAATAAGAAACGGTGATACTACTCTGCTGATTTTAAGGACCCCAGGAAATCATTCACGCATAGAACTATACAAAGAACCTGGCACCTCACATAGCAAGGTCACGAATGGCGACATTTGAGAGAAACACCAGCTCTCACTAAGTGCCCACTCGACGCGGAGGCATCCCATAGATGAATGGAGCATCCTGCACGGAGAGGAACGGCTGGAGGGAGAGAGGCAAACGTTACCTGTTCCAGAAGACGGCCCCCGACACCTTCTGCATCTCCCCCAGGGTGGCGAGGAGGAGCGAGGACTTGCCGCAGCCCACCTGCCCCACAATCATGGTTAGCTGACCTGTGGCAATGGAGGGCAGACGATGGGAGAGGAGCCGGGTAGAGTCTGAACAGCTGTCACCCAGAAGAACGGATGGACAGGTGCACTCAGCCCTGGGCCCTCCCCCTCCCCCACCCAGGATGCCTAAGACGCCCTCTTCCCCCAAGATTTTCCTTCCGGGTTGACAGGCTTCTCTGGCTTCCACTTCCCACATTGTCTGCTTCTGCTCCCGGACAGTCCAGGTCCTCATAATCACTCCAAAGTGCCAGCCTGACCCTCTGCCACGGGGCTGACGGGAGCATGCCTGTGTTCAGAACCTCCATTTCCATACATCCCCCTAGACCACTCAAGTGTGACACCTGTTTAAAGACCACTGGCAACAGGTGTTTGACATCAAGGCGTCACTGCCTTGCTCTGACCTTGGAGGCAGCCTGTTTCTGTTTACGGACACCTGGAGGGCACAGCCCGTGTCTGTCTCAGAATGCCCGGCTAGGCAGCAGAGGGCAGGCACTCAGCAGATACTGATTTGGCTTTTCCTCTCTGTTTGGGACGGGGGAGGGCACATCTGAAGGGGTGAGATGGACCATACCTCGGGGAATACGGATGGTGATGTTGGACAGAGTGGGGATTCCATCAGGGGTCCAGGTGAAGAAGCCTCCGATGATCTTCGTCATCCATCCCCATGGAGCAGAAGAGGACAGAAGGCAATGGGCTTTCAGTGCAGAGCGTCCCTTGTGTCCCTCCCCCATGAAGGTCAAAGGATGCTATTTCTAAGCCCTGGAGTGCTTTCCTGGGCAGGACAGTAGGGGGTTAAGCCCTGTCTGAGGTGGGCATAAGTAGGGGTTCCCCTGATGAGTGGGGTGGAAATGTCCTTCGCCTGGGGATTCCCCTCAGCAGGCAGGGGTCCTTTGGACGGAGGATTGAGAACCCAGTTTCTTGGTCCTGAGCTTCTCTTGGAAAATGGTGCTGAGGCTGGGTGTATGGTGGATTCAGAGTTGAGGACTCACCTGGACACAGAAGTTGTCAGCATCCCCGTCCATGCTAGGGGCCAGCCTCTGCAGTGGGCCCAGGAGGTCCCGGACCTCTTCCCGGGCTGGGCGTTTGCGGTTCACAACCTTGAGGGGCTGCGAATGGTTAGGAGGTGAGGGCCGCTGGGCTGAGCCCCTACTGGGGGAATGTAAGGGCCAATGCCGCTGGGCACAAGCTGCAGGACTTGGGTAAAACTGTTGGGAGTAGCAGGGAGGAGGGTGGGCACTCACCACTGCCTGGTACTTGCCGGCTTGGCCTTGGGGTGCAGGCTCTCGGGGGGCGCACTGCTCCTCACGGATCTCTGCACTAGACAGGAACTCGCTCAGTTTTTGCACGCTGCAGGGGAAGCAAAGAGACACCCTTCACCCCTGAGCAGGGCAGAGAGGGGGACAAGGGGAGGTGTGCTGGGAAACAGCTCTTCATGGGCTCCTGGCCCTAAGTGTACCCCACAAAAGCTGCGCTGCAGGGGAGCTGAGCCGTGGGCAACTCCACAGGGCTGAGTAACAAATGGTCCCAGTTTAAAAAACACGTTTACTCGTGTGCTGCGTGTGGAAGGGGTGGAGAGGCTCACGGGTACAGACAACCGTAAGGAGTGGGTCTCTCCTACCACACGGGTACTTGGGGTTGAAGTCTGGTCAAGGTCACCAGGCCTGGCAGCACACACTTCACCCGCTCAGCCGTCTTGACGCCCTCCATCTACTGCCCCGTTATTATTACTGTTGTTGTGGTTTCGTTGTTTTGAGGCAGGGTCTTATATAGACCAGGCTAACCCCGTTAAAACCCCGTTAAGGACAGCTTGGGATTTCTGATCCTCCTGCCTCTCCCTCCCAAGGTTTGGGGTTAGAGGTGTGCACCACCACACCCAAGTTTACACACACACACCAGTGACGGGGAGTGAAACCAGGCTTTGTCTATACTGGGCAAGCACACTGCCATCAAGCTAACACTCCACAGCCGCTAAGACTTTTTGAAAAGGTCTGGATTGGAGGTGCCTCTGTTTAAGTTGGGTTAGATTAATGTTAAAGACAGTTGAACCATAAGGCTGCAGGATGGCGGGTGTTGGGTTAAACCATTCAAGGTAAGTGTTGCTAAGTGATCAAGGTTAGTGTTAAGATTAGCTGGGATTAGGAACCGTATTCACAGCGGCTAGTGCCTGGGAAGCATGTACTAGATGCCAGACGCCATGCTAATTGCTATATAAGCATCATAGAGTCTTTTCCCATAACAGATGCTCAAAAGAGGCCCGGACCACAGGCAAGCGTGTCCTGTGACGGAGAGTCCTGAGGACGCCCTTGCCTGGACCCCTCTCTCACCTCACCAGGGCTTTGACAGTGGACCGAACCACGCTAGACAGCAGGAACAGTGGAGTGACCAGGATGTGGAAGAGAGAGAGGGAGGCAAAGGCCACCGAGGGTGACAAGTCCGACTCTTTGAAGAAGCTGACGTGGCCCACGAAGGTCTGTGGATAAAGGGGGAGGGGTGACTCTGGGTACGGCCCCTACCACACCAAGACCCCAAGGCCCTGGAAAGGAAGCAGGAAAGCTGACAGGACTGTGAGGAAATGTCCCCAGCAAATTCAGGACTCATGCTAGGGGTGGGGCTGCTCCCTCTGGCCCTGCCCCTCCGTGCCAGGAATAAACAGGGAGGAGCCCCAGGGGTGGATCCGCTCCTGTTCCACTTAGAATTCTGGGTGCTAGTTTCCCTAGACCTCAGTCCCGCGAAGACACAAAAATAGTTGCTGTAAAGTCATTGCCTCCTGGGTCTGTCCCCCGCTACCTGACTGGCTCTGTAGCACAGTTCCCAGAGTGCAGGCCAGGAATCAGCTCAATAAATCACATTGAAAATGAATTCCCAAGCAGGCCTGACAGCTTGTGCACACTGAGCTGCCCAGGGATGCCAGCCTCAGGGGAAATATCCGTATCTTTTAAAAGAACCTCAGTCCGAGGCAGACACCAAGGGGAGGCCGGGTGTGGGCTCCGGGGGCCTGGGGCCTTGCTGGAGGGCACGTGACCAGCCTCCACAGCTAAGCCAAGGCACAGCTTTGACCAAAGCAGATTGTGTCAGTCCATGATACAGGAGCTGTGCGTGGCATGTTCCTGAATCTAAAAAAGCAGGTTACACAACTGTGTATGCAACACGGTCCTATTTCTGTAGAAGTGACATATCGTCTGCTTAAAAAGGATGAGAAACACCCTGAAGATGCTGAGTAGGGTGTGGGGGTTCTACCTCCATTTTTACCCTTCAACAGATGTGCTCCATCTTCATGTGTTTGCAATTAACAAATAGCCATTTTAAAATTCTATAAAGGACACCGTCCCCCTTCCTCTTCCTCCTTCTTTTTGAGGCAGGGTCTTGTGTAGCCCGGGCTAGCCTTGTGTAGCCTGGGCTAGCCTTGTGTAGCCAAGAGCGACTCTGAACCCATACGGCTGTCTCTGTCTCCCAAGTTCTGGGAGTGCAGAATGTGCTACCACGCCCACTTTATTTGGTGGCTGGCCTGGAGCAGAGGGCTTCCTGCGTCCACCCCCCATTCTGGACACAACTTTGGAGATCCTTGTGCAAAGGGTCCCCTCCCCAGCCCTGTGTAGAAGAGAAAGGTCACTCACGATGAGGACGGCAGCAATGGGGATGGCTGTGTTCATGAAGACTGCGGAGGGAACACAAAGGGAGGTTAGCGGGGGAGGAGGTGACACCAAGTTGGCAGGGATGCTTGCGGGGGCATCTACAGGAGGGCACCGGGCTCCTCCCCTCGCTTCTCCAGGGCCTCCTGTTGCCCTCAGCCCAGCCCTTGCTTCTGCCCTCTGAAGCAACAACTGCAGGTTGAGCGGCAAGCGGCTTGTGTCTTAGGAGCCCCAGAGGCTGCTCCGTCCTCTCCCCCGAGCCCCTGCATGTCCCCGTGTGGTGCAGAAGCTCCCTAGTCTGCTGTGGCTCTTGGGAGAGGTTCCAAACTCCTTCAGACTAAGGGCTGGAGACTGGGAGCATAAACAGGGGTCTTCCTTGGACCTAAGGCTTGGATTCCACGCTCAGGTTGGGTAGCATTCCGTTCCTCATTCTGTAAGAAGTATAGCCTCTGGTGAGAAAGCCTACTGGGTAGTGGCACTTGCCACCAACCTGGAGAGCCTGAGCTCAATCCCTGGAGCTCACTATGTAGAAAGAGAAAGAAGAGATCCCCAGTGTGTCCTCTTGCCTCCACCCGTATGGCATAACGTGTGGGCACGGGCACGGGCATGCATGAGCACGCACACAAATTAAGTAACTAAATAAACGAAAAGTGCGGCCTCGGGTTCTCATCCACGCTTCTCCCGTTCTCTTAGGCAAGCCCTGGGATGGGGGAGGCTGGTTCTGCAATCACCCAGATTAAAGTCCAAAGCCCAGAGGACAGGGGCTATAGCCAAAGGCTTAGTCATTATATATGGTCCTGCCTGCTAAATAGCAGTCTTCGAAACTCTAAGTCCAGAAGCTGCCTGGCCATCCCCTTACAAGCAAGAACCCTGCAGCAGCTAGTTCCCAGGGAGATACATTAGAGGTGTGGCCACTGCGGCAGAGAATCGTATCCTGGAGGAAGGGTGTGCATGGTCCTGGCACTTAAAGGCTCCCCCCTCAGGAGACAAGTACGGTTCTCCCAGGAAGCCCTTGGTTTGATGAGAAAAAGGAGAGCAGACTCCCGGAGGAGTTATCAAGCAGGTGGGACGCACGCCTATCTTTTCTGGGAGTTTCTAATCTGAAAGGAGAGGCAGCCATGCCCTATTACAGCTGAAGCCCCTGGGCAGTGCTAACCTTCCTGTGAGACTCAAAGGTGTTTAATCAATACCAGCACTATGACCGTGTTTCAGCTGCGCTTCCTGACAAAGGCAGGGTTGCTCCTCAGATCCACTCATGCAACGCTGCCATCCTGCTTTATGGTTTTGTTTTGTTTTCTGGGGTGGTCGAAACGTTACTGGTTACATCCACGGTACGAGGGTCACCGCTGGCTGGGGAGAGATGGGCACCCTTGATTGTCACCAGCCACATAGCTCTGAACCTCAAGTAGCCCCACTCCTGACCCTCTGCAGTCCGTGAAGATAAAAGACCAGTGCGGAGGACTCAGCGCCTCTGCCCTCCACCTCCTGCTCGGCTCTCCTCACAGCTTGGGGCAGGCTGGGGTTTGGACTGGGGGTTGATACAACTTGCAAAGGAAGCAACCTATCTCCATGTGGCTAGAGCGACGGAGAAGTCCCTACCATCTGACCCTGTAATCCATTTCCTGGGCATTTACCACTCAAGAGAAAGGAAGGCTATCAGCAAGATGGTGCCAGCCCCAGAACTGTCACCACAACACACAGCTCCAGCTGTGGCCACAAGCCACCCGGAATGCGGCAGGCTGGAGACCTCCAGCGGGAGGGCCACTTCAGGAGGTGACGCCATACACCTCTGGGGGACACTCGGCAGGCAGACAGTGCGCATTAATTGATATTTTATTCTAACGCATGGATCCCATGGTCATGATTTTTAAAATATGTATATTTTTCTGTTTTACTGTTATTTTTAGAGGTGCCTGGACTCCTTTGAGGAATGAGACAAGCTCTAAATAAATTAAAAACGAACGAACATTTCAGAGCTGATGCAGCAAGGTGGAGCCTGCTTGTGACAGAATTAATTTCTGCACTTGCTGGCTGTTGCAGGAGACGCAGAAGGATGAGAATGTGATTTTCCAGTCCCCGCACCCTCCCCTGGAAGGGTGTCTGCTGCAAGACGTCCCAGGTCCCCTCTGGTGTGGGAGCTGGGGGAGTGGGATCAATGGTTGCTATATTTCAAACACCTCTGGGAAGATTACCCCATCACCCTGCGACGGATGTGGCCACCGTGGGGATGTCACAGCTGCAGACTGGGGGCACTGCTTCTCTGAGTATGGCAGACAATGGTGGTGGGGTGTGCGTGCGTGCGTGTGCGTGCGTGTGCGTGCGTGCGCGTGTGTGTGCGCGCGTGTGTGTGTGCGCGTGCGTGCGTGCGTGTGTGTGCGCGTGTGCACATGCGTGTGTGTGCGTGTGTGCGTGCGTGCGTGCGTGTGCGTGCGTGTGTGCGTGCGTGCGCGTGCGTGTGTAGCGTGTGCGTGTGTGTGCGGCATGCGTGTGCGCGTGTGCGTGTATGCGTGTGCGTGTGCGTGCATGTGCGCGCATGTGTGTGCGTGCGTGTGCGCGCGTGCGTATGCGTGCGTGCGCGTGTGTGTGCGTGCGTGTATGTGTGGTGTGTGTGTGCGCGTGCGTGCGTGTGTGTGCGTGTGTGTGCGTGTGCGCGCGTGTGTGTGGCGGGGGACAGGCAGCTGTTGTGGGTGAAGACCTCAGGTCCCATTTTCCTGCGCATACACAGCTCTACAGGTTCCACACTGGTACAAGAGATGGGAAATACAATGGAGACTAGATTTTCCTCTAATTCTGGCACAGAGTGGGTGATTCTCTGTGATGTGTTTTAGGAAACAAAACAAAAAAAACCCAAAACACAAACACAAACCACAGCTGGTCAGTGGTGGTGCACCCTTTTAATCCCAGCACCTGGGAATCAGAAGCAGGTGGGTCTCTGTGTTCAAGGCCAGTCTGGTCTATGGAGTGAGTTCTAGGACAGCCAGAGTCACACAGAGAAACCCTGTCTCATAAAACCAAACCAAACAAACAAAACCCCAAACACACAAACAAGACAAAGCCTGAAGCACTAGGGTTGCAGGTGTGTGTCACTACGCCTAGATCATTTCACAAAGACCCTTTAGGAGTTAGTCACGCAATTCAGTAATTAATTTCAGCACCCCTCCCCCACTGTAATCTTGGTCCTGAGCCAAACTTGGTGTTAGCTTTCCCCACTCCATTGCAAGGAAGACGATGAGCCACGCACACCGGGGCAGACCCAGACCTTGGCTCCCTGGCTTTGCTCGAGGAGTGCTGCACAGCTCTGTGGACACCAGCCTGGCATTGCAACACCAGAAGCGGTTCATTTCCTACGCTGCCATAAATATTGTAGGAGTCATGTGCCGAGGAGGCACAGAGGCCATTTGTGCCCTGGTTAACTCCAGCGTGGCCTCCTGCGGGGGGAGGGCAGAGGGCAGGCACTCAGCTGGGCCCTAGCTGCAAGCTGTGCCCGGAGGAAGGGAAATGCATTTTGATGTGCATGGGAACCGTTTTCCACTTGGTCTGATGTCAGCAAAGTCAGCACAGGGTAGAGGAGGGCAGGGCATGGCACCCTGTGGCTGGAGGCACCAGGAGAAGCTTGTCAGGAGGCCCCAGCGGGACTGACTTCCGCTCTCTGCCTGAGGACTCTCCTTGCTCCTTCTCAGCCAACCTCACTGCCAAACCAGGTCAGGGTGCAGAGTGACCCTCAGTGGCCATGCTATTGGCACAAGGAAGGACAGGTAAGGAAGGAGAGGAGCCGGAGAAAGAAGAGAGCAGGAGTTGGGTCTGGTGGTACACACCTGGAACCCCAGCACCCAGAAGGTGCAAGCAAGAGGATCTGGGTTCAAGACCATCCTCAGTCACACTGCCAGGCCAGCTGTAAGAAATGATCTCAAAAAGACAAAGACGACATAAAGGAAAACAGTGACTCAGGGCTCTCACTGAGGAGATCACAGGGAGACAAGATAGTAAGACAGGCAGGGTGTAGAGTCTGAAGAGCGGCTATGCCAGGCAGGGTGTAGAGTCTGAAGAGCGGCTATGCCATGCCCTGTGACTCTTGTCCCCAGACCTCACATGTGGCTGGCCTGATTTTCTGGCCTTCTGATTTTCGAGACCCAGCCTGAGACTGTCACACTGGCTGTCTGGGGTCCAGACCTGAGCACAGAGCACTGAGAGAGACGGCAATGGCATCTTCCGTCTACCTAAGCTCCTCCCATGGCTCCCGGCTGCAGGAACACATTTTCTGTGAGTTGGTCTCATCCTACTACAGGAACTCTGAGATGGAGCCCACGGCATTTTTCCCCACCTCAAGGCCTTTGTGCCTGGGTGTTCCTCCCTCACCGGGGAAACTCATGCTTACCCTGGGGAACCACTTCCAGGCTGCACCTCCAACGGGCATTCTCTGACACTTACCACATCTAAGGTTGGGCACAACTCACAACTTTTATGGGTGTTCGGAGCGTCCCCTTCTGCTCTTGCCAACACTGCACTGTTGTATGGTGGCCTTCCCCTATAAACTGTAAGCAACATCTGGCTGGGACTCGTGCCAAACACAGGGCCTGGCACACAGGACACAGTCGGTAAGTCAGTCAACTAGAGCTTGAAAGAAACAAAGGCGCTGGGCCAGGTGAGTAGCACAAAAAACGGGCATCTAGAATTGACCCCGCGGCTGTCACATGTGCACAGCCACTGCAGATAGTCACCGCCAGTGTCCCCCAAGACTGTGTGGACCAGGCCCACACCTTCCTCATGCTTGGGGCATCAGCAAAGCTCAGCGCAGAGGGAGCTGGTGGCACTCGGCTGGCTGACTGGCGGGACACAGAACTGCGCTGTCACTCATCTGCAAAGTTGGGGATGTGGATATTCCCATGCCTCTTTTAGACCCCCTCCCCCGCTACCTAAGACACCAGAACTCTTGATGACTCTGTGAAACCATCACAAAGTGTCAGGAGGAATCATGTCTGCGCCACAGCCTGCCCGCAGGGTGTGTATATGACCAGACTGGAAACCCATCCAGCATACCCAGGCGGGGCCCCATCTGGAAACACAACTTTCATGTTGCCAGGACCCCATGGCTAGTGCCAAGGGAGAGAACACAAGATTCCCATTAGCTCAGCCTAATGACCCATGCCGTGATCCCTGGCAACAGGCAGGGAGTCCAGGAAAATGACAGTGAGACCCCACCTGAAGCACGAAGCACGTGCCTGCAGCTAGGAGGGGCCCCCATCTGACACTCCCTCTCAGCAGAGATGCCCCAGCAAGGACAAATGCGACAATCAAACAGCATGGGCCTTCAGCATTCTGCCGAAGGACAGGGGAGCTGCACTCAGCTGTGCTTTCATACGCCTATGTAGCCTCCCGCTAACCTCGCTCCCGCTAACCTCGCTCCCGCTAACCTCGCTCCCGCTAACCTCTCTCTCCCGCTAACCTCTCTCTCCCGCTAACCTCTCTCTCCCGCTAACCTCTCTCTCCCGCTAACCTCTCTCCTGCTAACCTCTCTCTCTCCCGCTAACCTCTCTCTCTCCCGCTAACCTCTCTCTCTCCCGCTAACCTCTCTCCCGCTAACCTCTCTCTCTCCCGCTAACCTCTCTCTCTCCCACTAACCTCTCTCTCTCCCGCTAACCTCTGTCTCCCGCTAACCTCTCTCTCCCGCTAACCTCTCTCTCTCCCGCTAACCTCTCTCTCTCCCGCTAACCTCTGTCTCCCGCTAACCTCTCTCCCGCTAACCTCTCTCTCTCCCACTAACCTTTCTCCTCCACTCCCAATCGCTGCTTATATTGAGATCAACTCGTGTGTGTGTGTGTGTGTGTGTGTGTGTGTGTGTGTGTGTGTGTATGTCTTCCTTGGGAGGTAGCCACTGTTAAGTTTTTGTTTGTTTGAGATAGGGTCTCTCCACCGGACCTGGGCTGGCTAATTAGGCCTGGCTAGCTGGCTAGCTGCCCCAGGGAACCTCCTGTTTCGGCCCCCAAAGCACTGAGCTCACAAGCATGGGCTCCCACTTGCTGTTTTTTGTTATATGTACATATGAGTGCTACAGATCACACTCAGGTCCTCACGCTTGTGTGGCAAGTGCTTTACTAACGCTTCAAACCCAGCCTCAAGGTTGGCCTTCCCGAGCTCCCACGCGCGAGAGAACTTGCACAGCTGTCTTCTTGTGTCATGCTTGCTTTTCTAGAATCCTGTGCACAGCTCAGGGACTAGAGCTCACACTAACTTCTTATGTATTCCTGAATGACTGGAGACTACCTCCAAAGAGCTCAACACCAGCAATGGTAAGGAAGTGGGTACATTAATGGCCTGCTTTGATGTATGCACATTCTGAACACACACATTGAAACCTCAACCGTCTCTCATAAATACGCACAATCGTTTTATGTTACTCAAAATTTACAGGTAAAATGCTTAAAGAGATGGAAGTGCTACCAGCTCTGAACTTAATCATCACACAGGACATGCATGCATGAATTGTCATACATATGTATAAATATCAGAATAATAGTAGCCCGTACATATGCATAATCAGAATAATAGCAACGCTGTCTCCTCACTCCCCTTCAGGCCTCATGGATAGGTACGAGGCTCTGGGCAGGCCCCTGCTTGCCTCCAGAGGCCCTAGTTCCTTCTGGTCCTTTCCCCAAATCCTACTGTCCATGGGTGCCAAAAATCATGGCTTATCTTCCAAGAGCCTGGTGCAACAAATAGCACCTGTCAGATGGGCCTCAGTGAGCCGGGCACCAGCCAGGGTAGGGCTATGGTAATACACCAGCTCCAGGCTGGGCAGGCAGGCAGAGCCGACAGACACGGCAGAAGTGGGCTTCTCTAGATGGTGTGTTCTGATGTCTCCCTCTCATGGAGTGCCTACTTCCTGCTCTGGGAACCAGAGGGTCAGGGGTGAAGATGAAGGAAAGACCAAGTACTTGGCCATGCCCGTGGCTCTATTCTGAGACAACCAGGTCTTAAGCCTTTCTACGTAGACATCCATGCCGTTTATGGTAGACGACCTAGCAACTGCTGACTGGACCAGGCTCTGTCCGAGGTATAACCTGACTACCTGGGCTGCTCAGGGCTAAGCATTCCTTGTGATGGACGGTGGCTACCCGGCCCCATCAAGTCCTCCCTCCCGGCAGCACAAATGCCCTTGTCTCTGACAGGGTCTCGTCTGCCGCAGCATATGGCAATCTAGCGGGCTCATGAGCTCAGGATTCTCTAGTCGCTGTCCCCCCAACTCAACATAGGCACTGGGATTACAGAGAATGCTACTGTGCTGGGCTCTTGGTGGGTTCTGGTGATTCGAGCTCAGGTCTTCACCTTGGCACAGCAGGCATTTCACCCACTGAGGATCTCCACAGCCATCTCTTACAGGGGCTTTTAACCCCGCTGATTCTCTCTGATGGTGAATTTCTCTCCTGTGGTTTTAACTTCGTTGTTATTAGTTAGCTCAGTGTTTGACAGGGTCTTTCCACTCTGTTTTGTAAAGTGTTTTTCACATGTGTGTCTCTCTGAGGAAAAGGCTAGCTTGGGCTTCTGCTCTGTACAGATTGCTGGCTCTTTCCTCTGCATACCCCAGAGAGATGGCAGCTTCACTGGGCAGGGACAGCTCCTTCTGGCTCTGAAAAAAATTCATGCTCAGAAGAACTGGAAACCTGTTTTGTGGTATTCCATCACACTGTGAACCCAGAGTTTGCATTTGTGTCAACTAAATGAAATTAACCTTGGGTCAGGAGGCAGAGCCAGCAACTCGTTGACAGAAAATAACGACAGTCTGGAAGATAGATAGAAATGCACAGGAAGTAGTAGGGAGAGACTGTCTCTTTTGGTTTGGCAGGGCAGAAGGACACTCTCTCTCTGAAATGCCTCTGAAGAAGGAAGGTCAGTTAGCTGCTCCTCAACCTCTCTGAGCTGGCGGGTTTTCACCCCAGCCTCTGACTCTGAGTCTATCGGTAAACAGAACAACTGAGATTTAGTTAAAAACTGTATTCGGTGGCAGCAGCAGGAGGCAGATATGGCGGGATGTAAGCCCAGCTGGCTTGCTGCCTGAGAAATGGGCCCGTAACTGCAGAGCCACAGTTATTGGCTGAAACAGCAGTAGCTTCAGGCGCAGCTGCTGTGCTGGTGAAAACAACAGAAAGCCTTGCTATTTATTTGCTTTCTGCTGCCTGTCAAGACTGTACTAGCTCCATGAAGGACAACCTCATCTTTCTTTCCCACTGGTGTGTATTAGAGCTAGTGAAGAGCCCTGCACACAGCAGGCGCTCACACATTTGCATAAGTGAATTACAGACACTGATTTCTGGGCTGGCAAGAGGGCTCAGTGGTTAACAGCACGTGCTACTCTTGAAGAGAACTCCAGTTTGGTTCCTACCAGCCACAGCAGGCAGGTCACAACCACCTGTAATTCCAACTCAGGGAGATCCATGCCTCTGGTTTCCAATGGTACCTGCATGCATGTGCACACACCCACACATATAGACACATAATTAAAAACAGAGTTCCTCCGTGTATCCCTGGCTGTCCTGGAGCTCACTCTGTAGACCAGGCTGGCCTTGACCTCACAGAGATCCACCTGCGTCTGCCTCCCGAGTGCTGGGATTAAAAGGTGTGCACCAGGAATATTTTTTTAAGGAACACTGGTTCCTGAGAGTTCAGCCTGCACAGTCAGTTCGTCACTCTGGCTTCCATAACACACCCGCCACCCAGGCCTGCCGCTCCAGGCTTGCAGGCAAGCGCACTCACTGGAGATGGAAGTGTAGACAGCAAACGCCCTCAGGCTGGTCATCTCCTTCCTGCGAGTCACCTCCACCCTGGAGCAGAAGATGCTCTCCCACGCATACAGTTTGAGCAGCTTCATGCCCCGGAGCATCTCGTTGGTCTGCTTCAGCCTCTCGTTGGAGTGCTCCTGGGGGCAGGAGGGGGGGGGTTAGCACAGGGGGATGCCTGTGGCCCAGCTCAGCCCAGGAGAAGGCACCGATCCCGCGCCCTTACCATCCGCCCAGCTCCTGTCCCTACAAGCACGCTCCTGGCCAGCCTGTGAAGCGCATTTCACAGAAACAGAGGCCTGGGCCGTGAGTGTGGGGAGGAGGCTACTAGGATGAGGGCCAGGGAGGCAGACATGGGGAAAGGCGCAGAAGGGACATGCATATCCTGGGACACTCACCAAGGTGCTCCGCTGTGCCTGGGAGAGCTTGGTGGCCACAAAGTACTGTACAGGAGCCAGCAGAATGATGACAGCTGCTCCAATCAAGGCACTGACCCCAAGGATGTAGTAGAGAAGGATCACGCCCACAATGATCTGGAGAAGGCGACAGAGGATGAACTCTCTGCTCCAGGGCTGCCTTGCCAGAGACCACTGGCACCATCTCCACCGTCATCTCCCTGGAGTGGGGGCATGGCCAGCACCCAAGCTTTCAAAAAGCCCTGGAGATGGGAGCAGGGTGCAGGACCAGGTATGGGGACGCAATGCATTGGGTGCACACACAGTTGAGGCTCTGAGCCGGTAACCGAGGGCATTTACCCAAAAGCGAGCTGAGGGCCTGATTTCCTCTCTAAGTCTGCTTTCCCACGGAGGGTCTGAGGAATGAGACGGCGCCATTCGTCCTATTTGCTGAGACTGACACCGCACTCAAAATAAGCTACAGGTGGGCGGCGTCCATGCCAGGCACAACTGCACAGGCACTGAGAAAGTGCTGTGCACTCACGGTCCTGGCGGCTTGCCTTCTAATTTTAGAGGCTCCCTGCCTCAGTTCTAGGATGGAGTAGGTGGGGCGCTATGCTCTCTATTAATCACAGAAAGCCTCCCTCATTAGCAGGTGACACGGGCTGTGAAACGACCCCATCCTGTCCTCCTCCCTGTGCTTAGCTGACGTTAGAGCTGGCCCAGTGGGCAGAGGGCCATGAGACGAGATGAGTCCCCTGCTTGATAGCTCCACTGACTACTTTCCTGGAGTCCCGCCTGTCACAGCCCGGCATCCATACACGCGCTGTGCACGTACAGAGACAGTCAGGGTGTCCTTCAGCCATCAGGGTCACGCCAGACTCCGAGAAACCTTCCAGGGTACCTACCCAGGATTATTTGTAGGGGCCTCCAGGTCACTGACTCCAGCATCTCACTCAGGTAGCTCAGCTGGCCTGAAACTTTAGGCAATCCTCCTGCCTCGGCCTCCCAAGTATACACTAGCACTTCCCACGAGAATGTCATCTTTTAAAATGTGTGTGGTTTTAAAACAGATTATAAACCCGTGAGAGGAGCGAACTTCAGTATCATAAAAGGTCCTGAGCACTGGATCACCAGGCTAGCCCCAGAACTCCAACCAGGTGGACTCCTTGCCATCAGGTTAAGATTATATCATTTGTGTATGGGGGTGGGGTGGTGGCCAGAACTAACCCAGGACTCATGCATGCTAAGCAAACCCCTGCCACTGAGTTACATCCCAACCCTCATTTCTTGTGGGCTAGCCAGTTTTATAGGCATGAAGGTACAGTCTCTGATGAATTTAAGAAAGAAAATCAGTTGGGTGTGGTGCTGGTGTGCTAATACTCTTAGGAACGCAGAAGGCTGAGTCAGGAAACGACATGAACTCAGAACCTGAGGGCTCGTCTGGCCAATAAAACAAGACCCTATTTCAGATAACTTCCAACAGAGCAGCCTTGAACTCTCTCTGTGGCTGAGGATGACCCTGGGGTTCTGATCCCCTGCCTCCACCAGCATCCCTGGTTCATGTGATTGAATCCAGGAACTCACACATACTGAACAACCATGCTACCAACTGAGCTACATCCCAAATCCCTACAATACGGCGTTTAGTATTTATAAAACTGCTCCCTGTATGACTATCCTATGGGTTGTTTAAAGTTGGCTACACTTTCAATGTCCTAGTGATGCTATCTTCTACGATCACAGAGAGATGTCCAGACGTCCTTCAGTGCCTGGAGCACTGAGGGAAACCAGTGAGACCGGGGACAGAAGACACAGGTAAACGCAGAATGGACACAAGTGGCTTCTGGTTTGTGTCCTGACGTCTCCCACTTCCCCCTCCTCCGATACCCGCATCCCCAACACAAGAGCTCCCCCCAGCGTAATCTGATACCTGTACTGGCATCGCCCAGAGGTTTGGGCACAGAAAGAAGAACCACATGAGCTGGTTTGTGTCGATGGCCACCAGGTTGCAGATCTGCCCAGCAGTCATTTCCCCCATTGACAGGTTGGAGGTGGACAGGTGCATGATTTTATTGTAAATCTTGGTCTAGAAATGAGAGTAGAAGAGCTTCACACTTGCTATCATCACCATTTGTCACCACCCCAGACCTAGAAAGGGCCAGCGGCTTCCCTGACACTCCTACAGAGCCCTAGTACAGTTCTGCAAGGGGCTCTGTCAGAACTTTGCAATGATCTATACCATAGATCAAGTAAGTCCAGATCCAAGGCCAAAGCAGCTACTTCCCCAGCAAGTGCGACTTCTCCCTTGAGGGACAGGACATAATTAGCTCCTAAATCTTAAAAGAGGTCCTCATATCTATTTGTGTTCTTGATTTACTGGTGACCAGTGCAGGGCACATTCAAGAGACGTAAAAATGATGAATCGAGGAGCAGCCCATTTTAGCTGGGTCACCTCACCCCGGGGCCACGACATGCCATCACAGAGTCTTGGAACAAAGCAAGGAGTCAGCTTCAGCAGACCTGGGCCGGCCAGCCTGTACCATCCCTGGAAACCCAGCCACCCTGAAAACCTGCACAGGACAGAGTGGAGGGTGATGGCTGCCTCCAGGCTCAGACCTGAAAGTTTTATGTGCTGTCTGTCCACAGCTTTCAGAAAGATTGGATTTTCAAGCTACATGCTCTGGAACAAGGAAGCATTCTGTCCTGTCTTAAATGTCCACAGGGCACCTGCTCTTGGACACAATTGCACCACACTTCTGTGGCAAAGCCTTTGATCATCTTTGTGTTAAGCTCAGCTTGCCTTTGTTTGTGGGTCAGGTTTTCTGAAAGCGTGAGTCTCTTCCAGGTCTTCCTGGGGTTTGTATACAGCAGGGGAAAGGCTGGGAATAATGGCGATGATATTTTTGCACAAATTCATGCACTTTCCTTGCTATACAAAATTAACCTTTAAAGACTAACCAGCAACTTTTGATGAAGCATGGGCGCTAGTAACCCATTAAATAAAGCATTATTAAGACTCAAATTCACAGCCAACTCTGTGGTGTGTGGTGTGTGTGTGCACGTGAGTGTGTGCATGTGTGTGTGTGTGTGTAATTTAGGAATTGGCAGTTTACACACAGGTCCTCATCTACGATGGCACACTTTCTGTAAGTAATTTTTTGGAAATCTCTTAAAGGAAAGAGGTCTTCTATTTCTACTTTGTTTCCAAAAATGAATGCTAACATTTCCCTTTTGAGGCACATGAATTAATCTCTCTTATTAATGTGAAATATTCCATTAGATTTTAAAAAACAATTACAGGCCGATATATTAAAAACCCATTGGGGGATCTTTCAGCATAATTGGAAAATACTGGGCTGCTGTGTGATTTATGACATACAAGTAGAAACCAGATCTGGTGACAAGGTTACAAACCACAAAGTTGGTTGTGGTGGCACAAGCTGGCCGGTCTTTGGAGGAACTGGAGCCAAGGCTGGGGTTCAGAACTGAGTGACAGTTTGGTTCTTCTTAGCTCTGAGAGCCCCATGAACCTGAGAGGGTCTTGGTCTGTCAAGGGCGTGTCCACTTTTTCCATCTGCTGATACTGTTGAGCACACGCGGCTGTCCCCATGGAAAGCCACTGAAGCTGGACAGCATCATTTGCACATCTGCATCATTAATTCACACTACCAAGATGACTGAGCTGTGTCTGCTGCTGCCTGGTTTAAGCTGAGCTTTCCTCTGCTCGGCCCCTTTCAGGCTGAATGGCTCCCATGAGATCCGCTGTGTTCCCGAAAATAATCCCCAACGTCTAATCTTTCTACAGAATATTTTTGATGGATGAGGCAGCTTTGGGATTTCGGACAGCTTTGTGAAAATCAATAGGGATGGCAGAATTGGCTACTTGGAGAATTTCAAGCCAGAGGCATATGGTCTCAAGTGAGTGTGTAGCTGTTGCACTGCCCTGGATTGGTATGAAACACTGACAAGCTTTTATCCTAAGTGAGCTGTTCTCACCCAGGATTATCCATGCAAGCACCAAGCTCAAGTCCTAATGGAATCCCTGAGGCTTGGGATGGCTCTCATCACCCCCATCCTCTACGGGGCTGAGTTCTCTCTGGCTTTGATCATTCTGCCAACCAATTCTAAAAGGTAGGACCAAAAGCTTAGACCTACACATAATGAATCTCTCCTTGGGGACCCTAGATTTGAGAGTTCAGATGGGCCTTAGATGTTTTGCTGATTGGTTATGATATGTTTGCATTTTTGCATCCAAGCATGCGATCTGCTAGACCTCCAGAATTATAGAAGGACTCTGAGTCTGTACGCAGCAGGAGAGACTCACAACTGACTGGCAATGCTGCCACTTTCAGTGGTGAGGAAGAACCAATGACTGGGCAGGTGGCATCGTGAATCAGTCTAGTCCACGGCAGACCCAGGGCTACCACTGCTTCCAGGTCCCCATCCCAGCCCCACTCTGCGGCCAATGCTAGTTCTAAACACCGGGAAGAGCATCAAAAGTAGACTCTGATCTACAAGAATGGGTAGAGAAAAGAAAGACATGGCCCCAGTACCTGGATGGCTCCTCTCAGGTTAATTCCAGTTTCAATGGCGACGTAGTATGAGGCTTGCAGGAATGTCCTTTGCAGTAGCAGGGCAAGGAACAGAAGCACGGCCAAGACGTAGGCATTGCCAAGGAACTCTTGAGAAGAGACGAAGTAAACCCCGAGAAACTGTGTCTGTGGGGAAGAGAAGGCCAGTGGTGGCTGCTGCTGCCAGAAAAGTGACACTCACTGTCAGTACAGGTCACAATGTTGTGGCTGGATTACTGTGGGAACCTCCCGTTTGCAAAGCCTGGGATGAGGACCTGGGAGGTTGGCTCTGTTGGTAAAGTTCTTGCTCTGCAAGCCCGACGATCTGAGTTCAATCCTCGGCACTCACATAAAAAAGCTGGCGGTAGCAGTGTGTAATCCCAGCACTGGGGAGATGGTAGGAAGATCCCCAAAGGGCTAGCTGGCCAGCCAGTGGCTGAATCAGTGAGCTCTGGGTTCAGTGTGAGTTCCTCTCTCAAAAAATAAGACAGAACCGGTCAGATGGCTCAGTGGATAAAAGTGCTTGCTGTGCAAGCCTGGCGACCCGAGTTTGGTCCCTGGAACCCGTAGCATTAAGGAGGAAGGGAAAACCAACTCCAAAAAGTTGTCCTTTGACCCCCACGTGTATACTGTGGCACATTCAGTATTATGGCACTTATTCTCTAATAAGTAAAATATTTTAAAATAAAAAAGACAAGGTAGGAAGCACTTGGGGAAGACACTGACACTGCCCTCGGCCCCGCTTGTGCATATAATGTGCACACACACACACACACACACACACACACACACACACACACACACAAAACCAAATCTTCAGCAAAGACTGCCTCTACCTCCGTCATCTTCCCACTTGGAGAACAGAATGAGGCTCAGCTCTAACCTCGGGCACGCATGACTCTCAATCTCTCTACCTCCATGCCCCTGGGAGTTTACTCTGAATGGAACAAGAATAAATAGAGCAGATCACGGAGGAGCCCAAACAGAACAGCTACAGCAAATGGCACGGCGCGTTCTCTGCCTCAGAAATCAGCAATCTGCCGAGCAGTGGCTTCTGTACGTGTGTGTGTGGGGGGGGCAGACGGGGACAGGATGAGACCTGGTATTGACTGTTCCCAGGGGAAAGATGGAGATGAAACATTGACAAGACCACATGGGTGCCCCAGCCCCTTGGACTCCCAGGACCTCCTTTCAAGTTTCCGTCACCCTCTCTGAACTCGAGCGTGACCCCAGATAGTAATCAGGGAAAACATGCTGCCTTTGTGCTAAAGATACCAGGAAGCACCAGCATGCCTGTTTCCAAATCCAGCGCCACTGGCTCCCGGAAAACTTTGATCTTGGCCGCCATCACCCTCCAGCACAGCCGCGTCAACTTCCCATGAAGACCAAGCTCTCACCTCTCTGACACCATACCCTGACTGTGGACATCTGCAAGGATGTGGGAGGCGCTGTGGGGTAGATAGAGATGGGAACAAGATGAGGGGAAACCCAAAGTCATGACCTTGGCAGTGATCAGGCCAACGAGACAAGAGCTCCCTCAGTGACTCTTCCAAGAATAGAGTTCCTGAATCTTGACTTAGGGGCCAAGATGGTGGAAGACCTCACTGCCTACTAGCCTTCGAAGCTCGTGGAACTGCTTGGTCCTGCCCACAGCCACCTCTCTGCAGCCGCACAGGACAGGCGCTGGCCCAGGAGGCCAAATGGGAAACACTTTAGGAGGCCCTGCTGAGATCCGGAGCTCCTGAGTCACGGCGCCATTGCAGAAACCACCCAAGGGAAGGGTGGAAGGCAGGAGGGTGGGGTGGACTAGAGGCAGCAGCTCTCAGTCTTATGGGTTGAAAGGGATGAGAGACAGACATCAGGAAGCATAGTGCTCCTTCTGCTCCTCGGTGAGCAAGGTGCCATCTGGCGCCCCGCTTTATTTACACGGGAGGAAGTAAGAATTTCATCACGGCGAAGGGGCTAGCACAAGGCTCTGTGCTGGTTAGAGACAACATGTGAACGTGGACCCGCGTGACGCTAAAACACCTCCTCAGACCCAGTCCAGATCTCATTCGGGCATCTGACCCAGAGTCGCGCTCAGACTTGTGGCTTGCGGCAGATGGAAATACGCCCGTTGGGCTGGCTCTGGGCCAGAACACACAGGCACAGTGGGCTGTTTACAGTTTACTGCTTAACCCAGTGCTGTGTACCAGTCCCTACCCCAGCACCTGTCAGAGGCCCACGCTGGAAAGTCAAGCACGTGAACAGTATCGTCCTTACTAACTAGTGTAACTAAGCAATGGCTGTGCACACAAAGCTATTTATCCCTGAACTAGAGCATGCTAGGGGCCCGAGCTGCGCAACGCCCAGTCACAGGGACTGTTACGGACACTGAGAGACTCGCGGGAACACGGTGCAGCCAAGATCCCTGGCCATCGCGATGGAGGGCCGTGACCTGCTGTGCCACAACAACCAGAATGCACCTAGGCTACAGCAAGGACAGGGAAGCCAGGGAGCACCTACGCCGGGCAGACAGGGGGTGGCTGCTGTCAAACGCACTGGCCAATGTTTGCCCATTTTTGAACACAGCAGCACGTTCCCCTTTTGTAGCTCAGTCCCCCGCTTCCTCCAGACACACACACTCCAGGGCCAAAGATCGCACTGCTGCAGGTAAAGACATTCGTGCCCTACTGAAAATGAGAATGCTGGCCTTAGGCACGCCACTGGGTTGTGGTTAGACTTCATTTTAAGGCGGCTTCAAAGGGGTAGAGCCAGGACACCTAGGCTCTGATGAAGAAGTGGGTACCAAGGCCTGTGGAGCCCCTTTGTGGTATGAAGTGTAGCACCCAGGTGGAGACAGGGGCTCAGGAGTTCAGTTAGCCTTTGCTCCACAGTAAATTTGGGTTCAGTCTGTGCAACATGAACCCCAGTCTTAAAAAATGAAGAAAAGGAATAAATGGATAGCAGGCCAGGCAAGAGGCCCAAGTTCACCCTAGTGAACTCTAGCAAAAAAAAAAAAAAAAAAAAAAAGGACACTCTGGGTCCTAGAGGGGGTAGAGGGGGTGAAAGGCCCGTGGCAGGTGAGGAGAGACCTGGACCATAGCTTGACATCTGATGGAAGACAAGGGCCTTGGAAGGCCTATGCCCTAGACTTGTGTTTTCACAAGCTTTGGGGAGGTTTTTTTTTCCCAAGTCGATGCTTGATAATCTTTTTTTCTTAAATCCAACTACATTTAAATTTTATTCTGTGAGCACCCGTGTGCGCAGGTGTATGTGTGCCCAGTGTATACGTGAGGCCAGGAGGCGGCCTGGGCTCAGTGCTCCCCGCATTCACGGAGCATCTCTCTGGCCCTAAAACAGTCTTTCCAATGAAGCAGTGCATGGGCTTCCCCATGTTTTCATCCACAGTGGAGGCCTGCTGTGGAACCCCGGGGGACCGACTCCGGAGGGTATGATGCAGGGCTCCTGGGAATGCAGCCCTGCCACCGCTCGGCTACCACATGGCTACAAAGGCCCCGCCCTTGTCCTCTGGAGCTTACAGGGGCCCTGGGATCTTTCTACTTCAGTGGGGGTTAAACGGTGATCGTATAGGAGCCTGAGTAAAAGCTACAGGACTACCTCAGACCCCCGGGCAGCACTCCTGTCCATCGCTCCACACCCACCTGTCACATCTTCCTACACACAATTCCCACCTGACATGGAGGGTAAGAGCCTGGGCCTACAGATGAGCGGTACCTGGCTTTAAAACCTGACTCCCTGGCTATCTGCCATGGTGTCTTTTGAGAAGTTCCTCAACCTCTCTGAGCCTCAGTTTCCTCTTTTGTAAAACAGTGGCACCCAGAAGCATATTAGTCAGTATATGACAGCTTTTATACTCAGCGTTAGTAACTCTTCCCAGGCTGGCCTTGGACTTGTGGTGATCCTCCTGCCTCTGATTCCATTCCTTAGTGTATGTGGAATTCCATTCCTCGGTGTATGTGGTAATATCTTCATTCTTCACTGAAGTATCATTTTCCACTGTGTGTGTGTGTTTCTGTGGTGTGTGTGATGTGTGTCTGTGGTGTGTGTGTGTGTGTGTGCCTGTCTGTCTGTGGTGTGTGTGTGTGTGTGTGTGGTGTCTGTCCTGGTGGTGGTGGTGTGTGTGTGTGTGTGGTATGTGTGTGTATGGTGTGTGTGTGTGTGTGTGTGTGTGGTATGTGTGTGGTGTGTATGTGTGTGAGGTGTGTCTGTCCATGTGCAGTGTGTGTGTGTGTGTGTGTGGTATGTGTGTGTATGGTGTGTGTGTGGTATGTGTGTGTGTGTGTGTGTGTGTGTGTGTGTGTGTGTGTGGTGCTGTAGTTTGAATCCAAAGCTTCACGCATGCTAAGCATGCACTCTGCCATTGAGCTACAGCCCACTCCACCAGGGAGGCTTTCAAGTGGGAGCAGAGATGAGGGGTGTCTACCACAACTAGGAGGACCTCCTGGAGGAGGCACAAAGCTAAGGAGTCAGTGACATGAAAGCAGCCACCTCAGGCACTCTGTGAGAGGCCCCTGACACACTGGCACCCCAAATCACAGAAACAGCAAAACTCCAATGACCACTATGTCACCAACAGTGAGAGCAACAAATATGGTCACAGAGAGGAGGGAGGGGGAGAGCAAAGGAGAGGAAGAATAAGGGAAGGAAGAGGAGGAGGAAAGAGAAAGAGAGGACATTAGATACAGAACCATCAACCATTTGTTTGAAACACACATAACCAGCCTGCATACTCTTTCCACTGGAGCCTAGAAGGGTCAAAGCTTTGGCCTTGCACCCAACCCTAGCTGCTCCTTACTCAGCTCAGCCGACAGCCCAGAGTGGTGTTGGCAGGTTTCAGATACCAGCCATTCTTTGTGAATTCAACGCCATTGCCTTCCAGCCAGCTCAGTGGCATCCCTGGCAGGTGACAGATTGGAGAGGGGGTTGGGCAAGCGAGTGGGGCTGGAAAGAATTAGATGCTGGGGAGAGCCCAGGTTGTCTGGGAAGAGAGGCAGCAGGGCCAGGAGCTTCGTAGCGGGTACTGCTCATCTTTCTGGGTGCCAATGGCCCTCTGTCCCTTGCCAATTGTGTGTCCTAGGAGGGAAGAGAGGACAGACAGCTGCTGACAGTCAACAGGGGTGTCAGCTCTGCAGACTGGGGCGGGCTGGACATTGGCTAGGCTTCCTCATGCAGCCAGGCTGAAGCCCTGTGGCTAGCGTCCTCCCTGCCCCAAACCCAATGACCCCAACAGCATTGGCTGTTGACTGAGCTTCGAGGCAAGGAGAGAGGACAAATGAGCCCTGAATAAGCTTTTTCCACATTTCCTGGGCTCTGACGCCCAAGTGAGAATTAAGCTGCAGGAGGCAACCTTGGGAGAGCCAGTGTTCCAGAGGCTAGGGCCTGTGTTTACTCTCAACTCTTGTTTCTATGTCGGAAATTTGCTGATTGCATTTGGGCGGCAGGGAACAAGTATTAAATCTGATAATGCCTGCTGCCACTGAGGCAGAGCCATCTGTCCCAGGGGTCTGTGTGCCGATAAGAGCACTCCATCAAGAAGGCAATAAAGCCTTGTCAGCCCGGGGCTGAGACGGGGAGGCAGGCTGAGGTACAACCTTCTTGGGGCTGCTCTCACCATCCCTGTGGGTGCTTCCTCTTTAGGAGACATTTCCCAAGGGCTCGGGGCCTGGGCTACTTCCCCCTAACACGTGGAATGGAGAAGGTGGAGGATTCTGGGGTTGCCTAAAGCTGGAGATGCCACTGCTGGAAGCAAAAAAATTAATCTCTCACTCTCTGCTGGTAGAGACCAGAGAGACTCGAAAGGCCAGAGAAAGAGGCCAATGAGAGGGCTCTGAGAACTCATGTGGTAGAAGAGAATTGGTTCCATCAAGTTGTACTCACCCCCACATACATGACATGGCATGCGTGTGCACATGCACACACACACACACACACACATGCACACACACACACTATAATAAAAAAAGGAAAAATATTTACAATCAGAAAGGGCCCCTAAAGGCATCAAAAGCTAAATTAGCCAAACAAATGAACAACAAATGCTCCTAACACACAGGAGATGTCTCTACCCGGCTAATCTTAATTCATCTTGAGGTCCTATTCAAATGCCCTTCTCTTGCGGACAGGGTCTTGCTAGGTAGCACGGGCTGGCTTCAAACTTGCGGACACCCTCCTGCCTCAGCTTCCTGATGCTGGGATTACAGGAGTGTGCCACCACACCTGGCTTTCACAGTCTGTTTGTGCTCCTCTTCAGAGTCACATGTAGCTACACATGTCTTATTTAGACTTCTGCATTATTGGATTTCCCAACCCTAGAGCCAGGGTGATGGTTTGATGGTTATAACCAACCACCTTAATGCCATCGCTTTAGCGTCCAGAGCAAGACAGCAGGGTTCAAACCCTTGTGCTGCTAGAAAGTGGCTGAGAGACCCTGGGGACAGTTACCTAACCTGGTTCAGCAGCAAGGCAAATGGAATAAGAGTGTCTACCCTCATGAATTACATGGCATGGGAATTATATCTCAATATACCCACTGCCCACCCCCTCTGCCCATGCCCCATTGCCTACCCCAGAGGGTACCTTTGGTGATTAAATAGATAAATGGGAAATGCCTGCCCACAGTTGGATGTGTACCCAGTGGTCCCTAGGTGGGCACTGTTGTGGGTGGGTCTTCCTCATGAGTCTCCATGACCCCACAGCATTAGGAGCAAGCATTAGGATCAGTGAACATATTCCAGGCAAGCCAGATCCACAGACTTGGCCTGTCTGGGATTTCAAACTCACAAGTGCTCAGCTGACTAATTATGTTTGGAGAAAACTATATGAAGCTCCTAAGGATTAACAGCTACCTGCAAGGTCAGTGCTCAGGGAAAATGATCATTACACACAGGCACCACCAGCTATCAGGAGCCCTAATTACTAAGTCTCAATGTCACCAGAGTCTGGGAATGCTTGAAAGTTTATAATGGTCTCATTGCTGGGATTTTACAGGTTCACACTGCGAACCAAGTTTCTCACCATGGCTATCTTCACCCAGGTGGCTGCAGAAAAACCACTCCTAGAAAAGGCTTCTGCCATCCTTTTCAGATTTAATGTGTGTGTAGGCGCGTGCTCAAGCGCGTCCCTGGAGTTACAGAGGGTTGTGAGCTACCTAACATGCATGCTGGGAAACAAACTCAGGTCCTCTGCAAGAGCAACAAGCACTCTTAATTGTTGACCCAACTCTCCAGCCCCTTTGACCCTTTTAACATTAGCTTTTAAGTTAGTGTACCAAAAAATGGGTTTCATTATAACATTATCACACATCATAATAATTTGCTCATATTCATCCCATCATCCTCATCTGCCCCCTTCCTGGTTTTGTTGGTCCCCTGTGCCCCTTAATAGGTCCCTTCTGCTTTATGTATATAAATATCACACACACACACTGTGCCCCTTAATAAGTTCCTTCTGCTTTATGTATATAATAAATATCACACACACACACACACACACACACACACACACACACACACACACACGACTCCTGTCTGAAACACTTTCGCTGCGGCATCTTCCCAGCTCAAGCTGTCCTTTCAGCATTTCGGTTGAATGGACACAGAGCCTCTTCCAGAAGCGGATATGGATGAAGAGCCCCCAACCCAGCCAGCCACAGTTAACATGGCCTCTCAAACTCACACACACACCTGCACAAGACAGTTATGGGGCAAACCTTCTAGAGAGTGCCTAGTCCCGCCCCAAAGATGGCCCACCTTGGGCTGGAAGACGTGGTTCTCCTTCCCCAGGTGGTCCACGATCCCAAAGATGCAGAGTGGTCCAGCGAAGCCCAACAGGTCAGCCAGGATGCGGAATGTGCTGCTGAGGATCAGGCGTCTCCCAAAGGCATGGCATAGAGCCCTCCAGATGGCCCGGGCACCCTGTGGGCTCTGTGTGTCCTTCCGCTGCCAAGAGAGTCCCACAGCCAAGTCAGAGTGGGTGAGGGCTCAGCTATGGAGAGCCCCTCCTCTGTCACCCCTAAACCCTGCTGCCTGGGGAAACCCTGTGGCCATGCTGTCTATGGACAGGCAAATTTCAGTAGGAGATCATGGTATCAATGAATGCATGACAGGGATGGTCACATGGGGAAACTGAGGCCAGAGGTATATCAAGTCACAGTGACAATAGAGGGCCATGTGATCAGCATAGCACCATCTTAATGGATGGATACCTGTTGTGTTGACTCATTACTGTATTTCAATATTTCCTTGGGAGACCAGAAGACACAGTGAAGGAACACCTCAGAGGGAGCCCAGAGCTCTGGGCGGGGCATGGAAGTTCTCAGGACCTCGGGACCTGGTAAGAGCTGACCTCATCCTGGCCAAATTTGCAGAAATAGTGTAGGGACCAGGCCAACATCTTGTCCTCCACATGGGGTGGAAACCCCCATCACGGCAACCACTATACTTTTAGAATGAAGAGCACAGGGGACGGGGGAATCATATAAAGCCATATCCCTTCTCAAGCCTCAGTTTCCCCATTTTTAACAGTGAGCGCTTCGGACATGCTGACCTAAACTTTAAGGGCCATTCCAGCCATGACCTTCCTATGAATATTGGGTCCTAGATTTCTCCTGTGCCCCTGAGGGTGAGCCTCTTTGCCTCCCCAGGGGTCTGGCCTACTGCCCTCCAGAATCCTTGGCTGGGCGGTGTGGCTGGACCCACTGACCGCCTGAGCATCGAAGGCCACGCAGAGGCGCTGATAGTTGGTGAGGGCTCTCATGGCGATGGGCAGCTTGCCGATGGCCCGCAGGTCGATGGGCTTCTTGTGGGCCGTCTTGATGAAGGCATTCATCCACCAATAGGTCCCCTTTGACAGCAGGTTAACGAAGGGCTGCAGAAAGCGCACACCCAGGTCCTGCAGGTCCTCAGGGGGCTTCACCTCCCGTGGCGTCTTGAAGAAGATGTACCTCTGTGGGGCACAGGAGTGTGGGGCAGGGGTGGAGGGTGGGCACGTGTAACACCCACCCCCTTCCTCACCATCCAGCAAGGGTCTGTACTTGACCACCAAGAGAGGTGGCCATCTGTGGCCTCCAGGAGAAGGGCCTCCTGGGCTTCTTTGTGTCATGGTTGTTCTCTGAGGCTGAGCTAGGGAGGAACGGGGGTCACCCCCTGTGTTTTGTACAGGGTGGTGATTAGTGCTGACTGTCAGCATCTCCTAGGAGGCAGGTCTCTGGGCACTCTGTAGGGCACATCCACACTGTGTTAACTGAGGAGGAAAATCCACTCCACATGTGGGTGGCATCACTCCAGGATCGGTGCTCCCAACTGAATACACAGGAGAAAGCAGGGATTAGAGAGGGGAGTCATTGAAGAGCATCTACCGCTCTTGTGGAGGACCCCAGTTTGGTTCTGAGCATACAAGTGGGTGGCTCGCAACTGATTATGACTCCAGCTCCAGGGGATGTGATGGTCTCTGCACACAGCGCCCCCCACCCACACAAGAGAGAGAGAGAGAGAGAGAGAGAGAGAGAGAGAGAGAGAGAGAGAGAGAGAGAGAGAGAGAGAGAAATTTATGTAACTAAAAATCATTTCTTTAAGACAAAGACTCACTATGTAGCCCTGGTTGGTCTGTAACTTATTATATAAACCTGGAATTCACAGAGATCCGCCTGCCTCTGTCCACTAAGTGCTGGGACTAAAGGTGTGTGCCACTATACTTGGCTAATTTAAACACTTTAGTATAGATTTAGAAAGAGGGAAAGACAGATGAGCCAGGCACCAGCCGGCACTCGCCTCTCCTTGCTTCCCGGCTGTGGGTGCAGTGGGACCTGGTCCTTCACCGTCCTGCCCACCAAGCCTTACCTGACACAGGAAGCCCTCCCTTCCCAGGGCTGCTTTTATTAGCTACTCCATCAGAGCAACAATAAAAGTAACTAATACCGACTGAGCTTGCAGAGCCTGAAGTCATGTGGGCCTGGCTCAAATCCTGCCTCCTGCACATGCTAACAAACCTGTCTAACACATCATTAAAGGGAGTGAGGCGCACATCCCAGGGTCGCCGTGAGGATCAGTTGTGGTAGAAATGTATGGAGGTTAGCTCTCCTGGGGACCACTAACTAAACGCAGAGAAGCTGACAGGCAGATTCGAGAGAGCTTTGCAGCTGCAGACGGCCCAAATGAGAAAGGGCCCCCACTCCTGTGGGAGGGCTGGGGGACAGGCAAAAGACTGTCTCACGGCAGGGAGCTCGCGCCTTTCCGTCTGCCACACTGGTTTCACTTCGAAACGCATGTGCCTACCCTTTGCTAAGCAACTCCCTTCCTTGCCGCTTCTCCCACAGAACGGAGTGGCAATGCATGGAGAGGGAAGCATGTTCAGTACATGATCTGTGAAATCAAGAACTCAGCAGTGAAGTGAATGACCGCCCACAGAACAGCGGCCGCACCAACTATAGCTCATCTGCGCGGTGGAATATTCCGCAGTCACTAGGAGACCGGACTTGCGTCGCAGGCAGCATGGAGCCCTAAGAAATACTGGATGAGAAGGACATGACACATGATACACTACATAATATGATCCATTCTCATGAAACAATTATTGAGTGGAAAAACATATTTACTCTCGTGGGTTGAAGGAAAACCACTAAGGGAATATTTGTTTACATGGATCTGGGTGATGTCATGTTAATATGGGAGTAGTTAGGCTGTTAGTTTGAGTTACCTGGGAAAGCGGGGCTGGGGTCAGAGCAAGGAGAAGGTGCTGCTCTAGGGTGGAGAAGAAAGGGAAGGAGAAAAGGAAGGGCGACTAAACAGAGGGCACAGGTAGACACTCAGGAGGCTGAGGCAGGCGGATAGAGAGTCTGACAGCAGCCTGGGCTACATAGCGAGACCTTGTCTCAAAAACCAAATAAACAAAAAAAAAAAGCATAAAGGTCACAAGAGCAGTGGCCTCTGCTCACCATGAGTGCTCCTGAGTCCCCTGTCCCCAGCAAGAGAAGCAGAGAAAGCAGGCCCCTCTCTCTGGGCACCTGGGTGGAGGGCTGGGGTGTGCCGGAACAGCTCTGCTGAATGGCGGCAGCGCCCACGGGCGAAGCAACCTGGGGTCAGAGCCCACCCCCCGGCTCACCCTCACTCTGATGACGTTGACCTCCACAAGCAGCAACATCCCATACAGGATCACCAGAAGCCCCGTGAGGCAGAAGCGCAGCTGGGAGAAGCCGATGGCGTGGTCATAGAACTTGACAAACTTGATGGTCTTCGTGATGAAGGCCAGGGTCCAATAGATGAGCAGAGCTGAGAAGGAGAGAGTATGGGATGCTGAGCACGGCATGCGTGTGCCTCTACAAGCACGCTGAGCACATATGTGTGTGCCTCTACAAGCACGCTGAGCACATATGTGTGTGCCTCTACAAGCACGCTGAGCACGGCATGTGTATGCCTCTACAAGCACGCTGAGCACATATGTGTGTGCCTCTACAAACACGTTGAGCACATATGTGTGTGCCTCTACAAACACGCTGAGCACATATATGTGTGCCTCTACGAACACACTGAGCACATATGTGTGTGCCTCTACAAACACGCTGAACACATGTGTGTGTACCTCTACAAACACACTGAGCACATATGTGTGTGCCTCTACAAACACGCTGAACACATGTGTGTGTACCTCTACAAACACGCTGAGCACATATGTGTGTGCCTCTACAAACACGCTGAGCATGGCATGCATGTACCTCTACAAACATGTTGAGCACATATATGTGTACCTCTACAAACACGCTGAGCATGGCATGTGTGTGCCTCTACAAGCACGCTGAGCACATGTGTGTGCCTCTACAAGCACGCTGAGCACGGCATGTGTGTGTCTCTACAAACACATTGAGCATGGCATGCATGCACCTCTACAAACACGCTGAGCACATATGTGTGTGCCTCTACAAACACACTAAACACGGCATGCGTGTGCCTCTACAAACACGCAAGCACGTGGGAAACGAGAGAACACATGTTCAGGAGGGGGGCGTTCAAACACATTTTTGATAAGGGGGTGTGCATGTATGACTATCACATTATCCCTCTGATCAACCAGCCAATGAGCTGGCTTGAGACAGCCTCATGTGTATCTGAAAGTGACCTTGAACTTCTAATTTTCTGGCCCACTTGCCAACTGCTGTGATTCCAAGTGTGAGTCACCACAACTGGCTCTGCTGTCCCTCTGAGATTGGGAACAGGCATTCTAACACTCATGACAGATATGCTTGGAAACACTGGTGTCATGAGTCCAACGTTTAGGCAAATTACAATGAGGACAGGGAAATGGCTTCTGGAAGCCAACTAAGTTACAGGCACTGTACCAGGTGAGCGCTTTAAACACATTTTCTCATTTGCTCCTTACTGCAGCCTTGAGAGGGGAGTGGCTTGTCATTCCCATCTCAAGCCAGTCAAGGGACGGAGGCTCAGCAAGGTTGGGTAGCCCACGCAAGGTCACGGCAGCATTAAATGGTAGAGCTTGGCTTGCCAGTCCATGGTGACTTCCGGTGGAATTCCTAAGCTGGGACCATCTTAATGATCATCAATCCAGGACACTGAGGTCCGGGGAGATGAAGGGAATTAGACATGCTCACTGTCAGTCTGTGATGGCCAGAAGGTGAGGGAGGCCCAGGTCCCTGTCCTCACAGCCCGGAGTCCCCAGCACCCCAACAATGTTCCCCGGAAGCCTGGGCTATAGGGAGCACAGGAAGAGCGACTTTAGCACCCTGGGGCACTGCTAACTAGAGGTGGAGTCCTGCAGCCACAATCACCCGGATTCGCAGCCAACAGCTGGATGGCCTTGGGCAAACCATGGCGCACCAAGTGAATCTAACCTGTGGCCCAGGATAGCTTTGCCAACACAAAATCACAGACTTGCTTAAAACACTAGGGATTTTGTTTTCTAAGTCGTTACAGAGCCCTCAAGTGTAGATTTTGAAGGTGGCAATTATCACATTGTAATGTCAAAAGGCCGACACACATGGTTCTGTAACCCTCTCAGGCCTGACTTTCCTCATCCATCAATGGGGGCAGTGGCAGCCCTGTCCAAAGGTGTTCGGGAGCAGTGTGTGGAAAGCATCTAGCACAGGGAGTCTGGGTGCGGTGTGGCTGCTCTTTGGCATTAGCTGTGACATTTTTGAGGGTGGATTTTGGATTTGGGGCAGTCTGCTTTAGAAGCCCTGGGTGGGTTCTGACCTAGGTCCTCACCTTCCCCCCAAAGTGCCAACTTGTCACTGTCAGCCTGTGATAGCAAACCCCAACACGGCTAGTTAAGCACCCCTTGTCCCTAGAGTCATATTACAATGAGGCAGCTTCAGCGCCCCTGCCCTCAAGCCAGGCCACAGTGACCTCTACACGAGTCATCAGGTCATCCTTTGAGAAAAGGACGAGCTCTGTTTGGCCTGGCTGTGGTCTGAGAAGCAGGTCAAGACACCAGGCCTCACCGCGTGGCCAGGACTGCGTGTGGGCATAAGAAGAGAGGGAAAGGGCCCTCGGACTGCGGTGATAGCCCCTCGCTGTGCTAGTCTCCAGACCACGGGGACCCATAGGTGGAGGCCACCCCTGGCATGCGTTATTCCCCATGGATCGGCTATCTTTTGCCCAGAATGAGAGGGCCACCTGCTGGGAGAGAGACTTGAGCTGTGTCTCTGGGTCTATACCCTTAGGATTCTCTAACAAATCTGTGATTTAGGCAAGGAGTCCTCAGTGTTCCTACCCCGACAGGAAAGCGTGACTCAAAGAGCCCAAGCGTGCTCTGCCAGGGCACAGAGGAGTTAGTGGTGGAGCCCAAGGGTCCTCTCCCACAGTGCCAGCCTCGGGCCTGTCACTGGGCATGGCTGCACCCACCCGCTGCTTGGGGTTGGGCTGGGAGCAGCAGGAGCCAGGCAGTATGTGTGAGTGGGGATGTGGAGAGTCCCAGGCTCTCGTCAGTGCCCCATCCCTCCCACAGCCGTGTTCTGAGCATGCTACCTGCGTCTTCTGAGCCCACCCACTGCTCACCCTCAGGGCACCGCCACATCTAGGCCACCATCATGCCTTGCTTGGCTGCCTTGGGACCTTTAGTCACTGGTTGTCATGCCCCTTGCCCTCCCTCTGACCCTCATGGAACCACACATATGGTCGTGTTCAAAAGCCCTCACTGCACCCAAAACTGCTGTTCGCAATACTCAAGGCCAGGTGTGTGGTACACACCTGCAATCCTGGTATTTGGGTTGTGGGTCAGGGGTTCAAAGCCATCCTTGGCTACATAGTGAGTTTAAAACTAACCTGGTCAATGTGAGATCCTGTCTCAAAAAAATTCAACCAAACAACAAAAACAAAAATGAAAAAAAAAACCAAAGCAAAGAAACTTCTACAATAATAATGATAATAATAATAATAATAATAGTAATAATAGTGGAAGAAATCCAAATGCCTACCAACAGATGAATGGATAGCAGGATGTAGTATAACCAGATAATGAATGTTACTCAGCTTTAGAGGAGGGAAATTCTGACATACTACAACGTGGACAGAGAACACTGAATAATTATCCTAAGTAAAGTTACTGTAGTTTTTCTAAGGAAAATGCCCCTACAGGACACACAGGGGTGGCACTATTAGGAGGCATGGCTTTGTTGGGGCAGGTGTGGCCTTGTTGGAGCAAGTGTGTCATGGGGGTGGCTTTGAGGTCTCAGAAGCCCCACAGGCCTAGTGTGCCACGCACTCTCTTCCTTTGTCCACAGATCTGGATGCGGAACTCTCAGCTACCTCTCCAGACCGTGACTGCCTGCATGCTTCCAGCCGTGACGAAAATGGACCAAACCCCTGAAACTGTAAACCAGCCCCAGTTAAGTGTTTTCCTTTATTAGAGTTGCCATGATCCTTGTGTCTGTTCACAATAATAGAAACCCTAACTGAGACAGTTACAAAAGGTTAAAAAGTCCTTAATGAGGTTTTGAAAAGTCAGAAAGCGGAATGCTAGGCCCACAGGCTAGGGAAGGGAGGTGTCGGGCATTAGTGTTTAAGGAGTCCAGCACTTTGATTTGGGAAGGTGGAAGGTGCTGGAGATGGACAGTGGTGATGGTTGCATGGCTGTGTAAATGTTCTTTCTCTGTATTGTTTCAGAGGCTATCGGCTATCGGTCCAGCCTGGCCTCGAATGCACAAAGGTCAGCCTGCCTCTGCCTCCCGAGTGCTGGGATTAAAGGCGTGGGCCGCCACCCGGCTTGTGTAAATGTTCTTAATCCCACAGCAACACGTACATAATGGCTAACGTGGTCAATACTATGTTACACACATATGAACACACACACAAACCCAAAAAGAGGCAAGGGAAGCTTGTTTGAGGCGAGTCAGGGTGATACAGGGAGATCTCGTCACAAAAGTAGGAAGAAATGAACGAGTAGAAACAAGCAAGACAAAAGGAAAACAAGAACTCGCCGCCCCCCCCTCCCCGCCTTCCCTCTCCAGCTGCTTTTTCCCAGATCCCTTTCTGTTCTCTGCTCCCCAGGGCCTTTGCACGCACTCTCCGATCTTCCTGAAGCCTTCTCCCCTCTCTCTCAGTTCCTCTCCTCTGCTCTTGTCCTTCTGTGGTGTCCTCTGGGGCCTCGGGATTATATTTCATGGTGTAGTTTAAGCCACATCACGTTTTACCTTCTTGTGGGACTCCGGGCCTGTAACCAGATGCGGGCCTCGGAAGGGGGCTAGCTTTTCCACGAACTGCCCTCTTTCCCTACAGCTCAGCACCCCCTCTTGCCTGATCTAGAATTTCTGCAGCTCTAGAACTTCTCCTAGGGGCAGAACTCCAGCCAGTCAGGGGGTCTGAGGAAAGGGGAGAAGTCATTGGTTTCTTGGGAAGCATGGACCCACCCATGGTGATGATTTGTACTAGGAAGACAGAACCATGTGCTTGTTGGAAAACGGGAACACTAGCTTTCAGGCACTGACAGTGTTTGCAAGACTCTGCTTAGCCTGGCCCTGGTGGTTCATTATAGGGGGAGGGCCCTCTTGGAGACTGCCCTCTGAAGCTTGGACTAACATCTGCCCTTCTGGATGCTAATCCAGGCACACTCATTCATTCACATGGGGTCCTGGGACAGGGACACAGTTGGAGGATCCAGATGGAGCACCACACCTAACATGAACATGGGAAGGCAGACCTGTGCCTAGATATTAGGAAAAATATCCTCTGCCTTAAGGCAAGACAGCCATGTCACTGTCAGAGCACAGAGAGCTCCGGATTCCAGTGTCCATTACATGCTGTGATTCTTGAACATCAATGACTTACTGACAAACCACCAGGGGCACAGCCTGGCCACAGACTGTAACTGCAAGTGACTGTAGGCTACCCAGTGGCAGATCTAGACTTATAGCTTCGGTGGCAAGAACAAGGCTTGCGGACCTAGGGTCAGGAGCCGCTAGACCCTTGCTCAGTTGCTTGATTTTGGTGATGCACCCTGAGTAGATGGGTAGACTAGGCCAAGTCACTCAACCGAGTGTAGGCTTCCCGCTCTGTGAAACAAAATCAGTAAGGGGACCCACCTCACAGGCTGTCACGAGGATTAGTTAGTAAGTGTGGGACGGAGCACGACATGCAGGAAACGCTCGGTGAGTGCTTGCTGCTGCTGTTCTAAACCTTTCGATTTCACATGTATATGCAACACTGAGGAGCTACAGCTCCGACAGAGCTCCCGTGGGCACCAGTGAGATAGATCAGGGAGGGTGTGGCCAGAGCACAGAGGCCAGCCCATGCTACACACTCCATAAAGGGCAGGTGGCATGGCTGCTGTGTCTGCCTGGAACCCCAGTCATTCGTGTCAAAAGCTGCAAACGGTCACTCCTTCCTGAGTGTCTCAGAGTCAGCCAGTCTCAGGCCTTTCTCTGTTCTCCATGAGACATTATCCAGGCCCAGACACTATATGTCATCCATGAACCCACATCTGCTACACGCATCTCCCCCCATCCTTCCCCAAACACCCAGCACATTTACTTAACCCTGGAGTTGATGGTCCAGTGGCATCTCAAATCCAACATTCCTGAAACCCTGATCCACATCTTGCCCCTACCTCCGACCCTGGGGCCACCTCAGTGACCTTTCCCCTGGTAGTCAGACTCCAGATTTCCACAGGTGGCCCTGCTCATGGGGCATGGCTAGGTTGGTCTCACTGCCAGGCACGTTCAGGTCAGGAGACCTCTGCAGGCTGACTCTGTAGGAGTCTCCCTGACTGCCCTAGACAGATAACCACACCCACCGCTCCCCTCCCTGCACCCAACTTGCCTTCCTCCACAGCACCCTCAGCACCTGCTCCTTGGTTAATTTACCATCTTTGCCCATCCGTCTCCTCCTCCAGACCACAAGCTCCATGGAGGCTCCTAGCCTGGGTTGGTGCCTGGAGTAAGCACTCAGAAAATGCTGGCTGAAGGAGGAAGGCCTCCCCATCCTTACCGATCAAAAGCTTGGGGAAGTTGGAGGTCTCGATGTTATGATAGTAGACTACAGAGGTGATGGCAGCCATGAACGCCATCCCGGCTGGCATGTACAGGTGGAGGTGGCGGGATTCTGTCACCCTGTGATGGGAGAGACAGAGAAAATCAGCACAAGTAGAACAGCACAGGTCTTGTGCTTACTGCTCAGCACACAGTAGGGCCATGGGTAACCACGGCCCGGATGCCCATATGCTGGTAGTTCTTCCCAGCAGTCTGTGTCCCAAACACACCGAGCATCCCAATTCACTCAGCAACAGCCCCATTTAGCATGAGCAGCACAGGTAAGCAGGGGCAGGGTCTGCAGGCTCTGCTCTATGATGTTAATGGCGGTCCACGCTTGCTGAGTGCCTGCCCCGTGCTGAGCACGGTTCTAAGTACCTGATGAATAGTCAGTTGTCTAATGACGCCCCCATGAAGTAGGCCCCCAGTCACCCCATTCTGTGACCAAGGGAACTGGCTAAGTCACATGCCCGAGACCGCGCCTTTGCCCTCATCCTGCGGGCTGGGGGCAGAGACTACTAGATGGTGCCCTCCTGCTTTGACTCTCAAAGGCCTCTGTGTTGGCAGGAGGGGGCATGGTGACAATCAATCCACATTTGGAGACAGAGTCCCCTCCCTGACCCCAGCTCCAGTCAAGAAGTGCGCATGGTTGCCTTGGCTTTCCTGACCATGCTCTTCCTACAGACAGCAAAACACAGACCCAGCCCAGACCAGCACCAGAGGCCCAGACAACAGGGCCTCCAGCAACCCCTCTAGAACGTCCCAACCTGTTCTTTCTACACCAGCAGTGCTGGAAACCCTCTCTATCCCCAGAGCATCCATTTCAGCCTCCTGCCTCAGTAATGTCCTTGCTTATACTATTGCTGGGTCCAGCAGGCCGAGTGCCCCCACCCGGTTAGCATAGGCAAAGTCCAGAGCTGCTACCTGACTCAACAGTCCACGGATGGCCTGAAGGCCGAGGGAGGGCAAAGGAGGGGGTGGGCGGCCAGGGAAAGCTCCCCAGAGGGTGTGGAACCAGGTTGGGCTTTGAAGGACAGATTTGTGTTCGGCAGAGGAGTGACGCCATATGGAAAGCGTGCCACGTCAGGAGTGTGGGGACTTTGGAGGGACCCAACGCAGGCATGGAGGCAGCATGGCTGTTTACCAAACAGCATTCTCCCCTGCTGCCTGACCTAGAACCACAAGTTATCCAGCCCCTAAGAAATAGATGGTGATCCGTTTAAGTGGGCTACCAATTCCATACCCCTTTGCCATGCATCAAGCCTGGAGAGTGGGACCTCCCTGTGAGGAAGAGGCGTGACTGGACAGACCTTTCCAAGCCTGTCCCTTCCTTCTTCGGGGACTCTTACAGCCGGGCAGCCACTTTGTGTTCACGAGGAAGGGGTGGCTGACCGGCAGAACAGTGGGAAAAGGCTGAGTCCCTGAAGACTACCAAAGTGCAAAATCAGCCAGAACACGTCATTCCTAGAGTTCCTGTTGAATGAGGCTGCCACCCGTGTCCTTCCAGCCTTGATAGTCCCCACGAAAGGTCTTGCTAATAGAGGACATGCTAAGGGGCAAAGACAGGGACAGACAGTCACTGTCTGGGGAGGGGGGGCTTCAGAGCTCTTGCCTCTGTACTAGAAATAATGCCGAAGTGAATGCAATATTAACTATAATTGGAACAATTGTGCCACAGTATCAGTTATAATTAATCTCAAACGCTTTGCTGAATGACTCAGAATGAAATAGCCAAGAAATTAGGTACAAGTTTTCTTTATGTTGGGTGTAGGGTGATTTGGCAAAACACCCCCCCATTGCCCTGTATGCTTTGGCTGTTCTGAACTGACAGGATCACACACAGGCACAGGCCCTGAGAAGGCAGCTCCACTACAGAGCGTAGATGCCTCAGTTAGCCAGATCCCGGCTGAAGACTGTTGCCTTACCCAGCCCCAGGCCTGTGTGCAAATGGGGACCCACGGGGCAGGTCCATGACATCACCCATGCGCGCCAGATCTGATTCTCAGCCCCCGGACCATGGCTCCCTCCACGTGTCAGCTGCTCCAGTCTTTTCCGTTCCTCCTGGGCCTCATGGCTAGCCTCAATCCCAAGGCCATCTCCACACACACAGCTTTCCTACGGGTCTCAAATCATGACCGCCCCAATCACGCTTGCCACCTCCGCCTAGGCCGGGTGCATCTGTCCCTGGTCCCTCTTGCTCCAGTGCCTCAGTCTCCCCACTCCTTAGCCCCTTCCTCCACCTGTCAGAACACGTGTCATCTCTCCAGGCTCCAAAGCCCCTGCACCATGGCCCCCGTCTCTCCCCTCCTCCCAGGCCACGCCCTTGCAGTAGGATTTCATTTATCCTTCTGGGATTCAATTCGCAGGGCTTCTGTGTGCCCTGCACGAGAATACAGAGCACCTGCACCTGAGACCTCGCCAGACACCACGGAACATTTCTGACAGCTTTGCAAACTGAAACTCGAACGCACATCCTGATCTGTAGGAGAGGGAAGGGGAGGGGTGGGTGTGGGGAGAAGAAGGGGCTAGAGGCGGGTGGGACTGTACTGTGACAGATATAACAGATAGAAGTGCCCAGAGATCCAAATCTTTATTTATTTTTTTTTTTTTTTTTTTTGGTTTTCAAGACAGGGCTTCTCTGTGTAACAGCCCTAGCTGTCTTAGAACTCGCTCTGTAGACCAGGCCATCCTCAAACTTGCAGAGATCTGCCTGCCTCTGCCTCCCAAGTGCTGGGATTGAAGGCGTGCACCACCATCACCTGGCCCAGGGACTGACTCTTGTAAATGCATGAGAACCAAGGAAAAGCCTTCAGTAAGAACAAGTGGTGTGTTCACTGTTGTCCCACCGACTTCAATCACTGGAGGAAGAGACCAGGTGTTTTCCATAGTAGCTGGGAGCACTTTGACAGGCTCTAGATGCTTTTCCAGGGAACTAGTTCAGAAATCTGCATTCCCTTTACCCTCCTGACTGGGTTCCGCACACACGCATGCGTGTGCGTGTGCGTGTGTGTGTGTGTGTGTGTGTGTGTGTGTGTACGTCTAGGACTTGGCACAGTTCCTACCAGGCAAAGGGTTATAGGACCTAATGCCCAGGGTACTGGTTTGTGCAAGGCACGTGAACAGGCACAGGGAGGACCTCCTTGGGATTCTGAAGTCCCCTGGAGCAGATCCCTCAGTCCCCAGTCCTCAGTGACTCACTTACCCATCAGACAGGATGCCCTCAGCGATCTCACACACAAGGACGAAGAGCAAAATGAAGGTAAGGATCCAGCGCAGGTTGTGCCCTGGAAAGTGCAGCCAGGTGCTGTGGTGGATGTGCACCTTGGAGCTCTGGCTGCCCCATCCTGCAGGGAGAGATGGGGACGGTGGGAAGGCTGCCTGGGCGAGGCCCACCCTGGGACAGGGACAGTACACACAAATCCTCCTCCCCATTGCTGAGCTTACGAGCCAAACGTCTAAGTACAAAGCCTGACCCCACAGCATGGTCCTAAGCAGGTACCACACTGACCTCTGTGTGGCCGGCTATCCATTCGGCTTCATTTCTGATACACATACGGGCATGTATAACATATTTCTAGCTAATCATTTCTCTTTGTCAGTAACTAGTAACTTCCTTCAGTAGCAGCTTTTTATTTTTGAGACTGGCCTAATGTTGTCCACACTAGGCTTGAACTTCCCATGTAGCTGAGGATGACCTTAAACTCCCTGATCCTCCTGCCTCCACTTCTGGAGAACTGGGATTGTCAGGGTAGCCCGGTTCAGCAACATCTTAGCGATTGAGTTTGATAATGTTTAAGATTTGTTATTTCCCTTGATTAAAGTAAATGAACAGCTGAGGAACCACACCAACTTCCTCTGTGAATAGTGATGATTGGCCCGGGAGAGCCAAAGTATTGGGAGAGGAAGGGACCAAAGTGAAGAGGGCTGTCCCGACCGGGGTGACCAACTTTGTAGCCCACTTTCTGGCAAGCGCACTGGGTTGCTAAATCTGATCCGAGCTGATCCACAGCCCTGTAGAAGTTGCACTCGAGCTTTGTGGGGAGGTGGGGTACCGGCACCCAGCCTCTACCTCCTCACCCAGCGTGCACTAGACCTCGGGGCCCAGGAGGCTTCTGCCCACATCCCAGCTAAGCGGGGACAGCTCACCGGCCTTCACCACCAACCTCCCCAGCTGCAGCCAGCGCTCCCGTCACAGTCCAGCTGCACCAGTGACACCGCGAGCCTGGGGAAGGGGTGACCGGGCTCCCCTGCTGCGCGCCACTCAGGGTGTGGCCGACCCCCTCACGACCTTCCCCGCTCGTGCGGAACCCCATCCCGGGTCAGGCCCTGCGGTGGCAAAACTTGGGGAATCCCTAGAGTCGTGAGAGCCCGCCGTGTTCCGCGCAGGTTCAGGGATGGGGGGAGGGTGCAAGGGCGGAGACGCAGAGCAGAGGACCTGGGGAGACCGGCAAACCGGTGCGGGACCGCCGGGGCCGCGCACCACCCCCGGGCCGCGAGCCCTTCCCCCGCGCGCCCTCCCGCCTCCCGCCGCGGCGCGCGCTCACCGATGAAGAGGATGGGGAAGGTGATGAAGAGCAGGAAAACGTGCGGCACCACGTTGAGCGCGTCCACGAAGCAGCCGTTGTTGAGGACGCCCTGGTCCACCCGGTAGGCGGCCGAGTGGTTCTCGGTACCGCAGAAGGCCAAGGGCATGGCGGCGCGCGCACGGGCTCGGCTCGGGCTCCGCGCGCCTCCCGCGTCGCTGTGCCTCGCAGCTCCCAGAACTCCCGCACGGCCCGCCCCGCCCCGCCCCGCCCCCACCTGCCGCTGGGCCCCGCCCCGTCCCGCCCTCCAGCTGCTCCGGTGGGGTGAGGGTGGGGTCTCAGCCAATGCGCACGTGCGCTGGATGCGCAGGCACCGCGGGGTCTGTGTCTTGAGTGGGATCCGTAATGATCCGGCTGAGCCCGGAGTGCGTGGATTTGGAATTCCCAAAAGTAAATCCTCCGGAGCACCGCTCAGATGGATGTAAGGAGGGGTCCCCACGGAAACAGAGTGGCACCCGATTCGGTCCAGTGAAACTGAAAAACTTGAACTTAGGAGAGTGCTTGGGAATTTTCCAAATATCCCAGGCGCGGGAAGTTGCAGAGGGACCTCACAGCCTGTACTGGTCTTTCCGCAAAGAAAAGCAAGGTGCTTACATGACTCACCCAAAGTCTCCTTGCTAGCAGGTGGGAAGCTAGCCTAAATCCAGGTCCTCTGCTCTTGTGATGATTAGATTTTTTTTAATTCACAAGTTTTATGCCAATGCAATGCTATTTTATAAATGAGACTTCAGCATCCGTGGATTTGGGTATCTAACAGACACCCTGGAAAAAAATCCCCCATGGAAACACAGTAGCAATTTTACATGCATAATACATACCACAAAGTACTAGACACCTGCATTACTTCCATCTCTTCTTACAATCCTATGAAATATATTTATTCTAATTTGTTTAACTTTTTTACATCCTGATCGAAGTTCCTGCCCCTTCTTCCAGTCTCTCCCAACTCCCTTCCCGGCCCCCATCCACTCCTCCTCTGTTTCTCTTCAAAGAAGGGGCAGGCCTCCCATGCAGTAAGACTGGGTACCCCCTTTCCTATTAAGGCTGAACAAGGCAATCCAGGAGGAGGAAAGGGTCCCAAAGGCAGGCAACAGAGTCAGAGGCAGTCCCTGCTGCCACTGTCAGGAGTCCCACAAGAAGATCAAGTTACTGTAACATATATGCACAGAGCCATGAAGGCTTCCTGGCCATCTATTCAGTCTCTGTGAGCTCTGTGTGCCCAGTTTAGTTTTTGTGTGGTGTTCTTGATCCCTCTGGCTCCTACAATCCTTCCTCCCCTCTTATATAGGATTCCCTGAGTTCCATCTAAGGTTTGACCGTGGTTCTCTGATTTTGCTCCCGTGAGTTGCTGGATGAAGCCTCCCTGATGACAATTGGGCTAGGCCCTCATCTATGAGTATAGCAGAACATCATTAGGAATCATTTATTTATTTGTTTTTGCTGGTTGTGTTTGGTTCTATCCTAGGTCTCTGGACTACCCAGCCTCTGGGTCCTAGCCCTCCAGGCAGTGTCAAGCATGGGCTCCCTCTTGTGGCACGGGTCTTAAGCTGGACCAGTCATTGGTTGACCACTTCCACAATTTCTGCCCCACTTTTACCCCAACACAACTCATAAGCAGGAAAAATTGTAGGTTGAGGGTTTTGAGGCTGAGCTGGTGTCCAAATCCCTGCACTGAAAGTCTTGTCTAGTTACTGGAGGTGACTGGTTCAGACGCCATATCCCCCGTTGCTAGGGCGATTCCCTCATAGATTCCTGGGGGTTTCTATTGCACTAGATTTCTAGCTCATCCCAGAGATGCACCCCCCTATTCTAGTTGTTTCTCCTAGTACTCTTTCTCCATTCTCCCGCTTACAGGGTCCCTCCTGCTCCCATATTCACCCGCACCCCGTCCAGCGGAGCTGCCCATTCTATTTCCCTTCACGGTGAGATTCATACATCCCCACCCTTGACCCCTCCTCCTTACTTAGCGTCTCTGGGTCTGTGGATTGTAGCATGGTTATCCTTACTTTACGACTAACACCCACTTAGAGGGAGTACAAACCACGTTTGTCTTTCTGGGTCTGGGTCGCACAGGATGATCTTCTCTAGTTCCATCCACTTGCTGGCACATTTCGTGATGTTATTGTTTTTATCAGCTGAGTGGTACTCCATTGTGTAAACGTGCCACATTTTCTTTATCCATTCTTTGGTTGAGGGACATCTGGGTCGTTTCCTGGTTCCCAGTTATGACGACACAGCTGCTATGAACATGGTTGAGCAAGTGTCCTTGTGGTGTGATGGAACATCCTTTGGGTACACGACCAGGAGTGGTATAGCTGAGTTCTGAGGTAGATCAGTTCCTGGTTTTCTGAGAAACTACCACATTGATTTGCAAAGTGGCCGTACAAGTCTGCACGCCCACCACCAATGGAGGAGGGTTCCCCCTGTCCCACACCCCCACCAGCAAGAGCTGTCACTTGTGTTTTTTATCTCGGCTATTCTGACAGGTGTAGAATGGAATCTCACAGTCATTTTGATTTGCATTTCTCTGATTGCTAAGGATAATGAATTTTTTAAAATGCTTTCCAGCCACTTGATATCCCTCTGCTGAGAATTCTGTTTAGATCTGTACTGAAATTTTTTTTTTTTGGTTTTTCAAGACAGGGTTTCCCTGTATTGTTTTGGAGGCTGTCCTGGAACTCGCTCTGCAGACCAGGCTGGCCTCGAACTCACAGAGATCTGCCTCCAGAGTGCTGGGATTAAAGGTGTGAGCCACTAACGCCTGGCTTAGATCTGTACTGACTTTTTAATTGGATTATTTGGTTTGTGGATCTCTAGTTTCTTGAGTTCTTTATATAGTTTGGAAATCACCTTTTGTCAGATATGGGGTTGGTGAAGATCTTTTCCCATTCTGTAGGCTGCTGTTTTGTCCTAATGATGGTCTCCTTTGCCTTACAGAAGCTTTTCAGCTTCATGAGGTCCCTTTTAATTGTCCATCTTAGTGTGTGTGCTATTGGTGTCCTGAATGGGAAGTAGTCTCCTGTACCAGTCTGTTCAAGGCTACTTCCCACTTTCTTTTCTATGAGGTTCAGTGTATATGGATTTACATCGTGGTCTTTGATCCACTTGGACTTGAATTTTGTGCATGGGGATAGATTGGGATCTATTCTTCTACCTGGTGAGGTTCAGTTAGACCAGCACCATTTGTTGAAGATGCTTTCTTTTTTCCACTGTATAACTTTTGCTTCTTTCTCAAAAATCAAGTGACCATAGGTGTGTGGATTTACTTCTGGGTCTTTGATTTGATTGCGTTGATCAACATGTCTGTTTTTTAATTTTTATTTATTCATTATGTAAATATTGTGCTCTGTACTGCATGTGTCTCTGCAGGCCAGAAGAGGGCACCAGGTCCCATTATAGATGGCTGTGAGCCACCATGTGGTTGCTGGGAATTGAACACAGGACCTCTGGAAGAGCAGGCAGTGCTCTTAACCACTGAACCATCTCTCCAGCCCCCAACATGTCTGTTTTTATACCAATGCCATGTGTTTTTTATGATTATTGCTCTGTAGTGCAGTTTGAAATCAGGAGTGGTGATGCCTCCAAAAGTTCTTTTATTGGGCAGGATTGTTTTAGCTATCCTGAATATTTTGTATTTTCACATGAAGTTGAGTGTTGTTCTTTAAGGTTTGTAAAGAAATGTACTGGGGTTTTTATAGGAATTGCCTTGAATGTGTAGGTTTGGTAAGAGTGCCATTTTTACTATGTTAATCCTACCAATCCATGAACATGGAAGATCTTTCCATCTTTTGATATCGTCTCTAATTTCTTCTTCAAAGACTTGAAGTTCTTGTCATACAGGTCTTTCACTTGCTGGTTAGAGTCACTCCAAGATATTTTATATTATTTGTGGTTATTGTGAATCTTATGTCCAGCCACTTTGTTGAAGGTGTTTATCAGCTGTAGGAGTTCCCAGGTAGAATTTGTGGGATCACTTGATCACTTACTTATATTATCATATCATCTGCAAATAGTGTTACTTTGACTTCTTCCTTTCTAATTTGTATCCCTTTGATCTCCATTGGTTACTTTTACTTATGAGAGAGAGAGGGAGGGGGAGAGGGAGACACACAGAGAAAAACAGGTATGTATGCAGGGAAAGCAGAGGCCAGACTAGGACTCGGATCCTCTGGAGCTGGAGTCACTCGTGGTTGCGAGCTGCCTGGCATGGTGCTGCCAGGAACAGAACTCAGGGGCTCCACAAAAGCCCCCGTGGGAGGGCTCTTAACCGAGGAGACGTCTCTCCAGTGCCTGATAGTTTTTAATTGTTCTTGCCACAATCTAGAATCAATTAAGAGCCTGGACTGAGGAACTGCCTAGATCAGGCTTGCCTGTGGGCAACTGTCTTGATTATTAATTGATGTAGGAAGATGCAGCTCGCTGTGGCGACACCACTTCATGGGCAGGGCCTGCTCCGTACAAGAGTGGAGACAGCTGGTTGAGCACTAGGAGAGCAAGAAAGTGAGGTCCCTGTGCTTACTCTCCCTGCTCTCGCCTTTCGATGTGATGGTTTAAGAGCCTGTGTGTGTCCGTTCCACCATCATCGTCATCACCATCACCGTCATCATCGTCACCGTCATCATCGTCACCATCACCATCGTCATCATTGTCATCGTCATCACCATCATCGTCATCACCGTCACCGTCATCATCGTCATCGTCATCACCGTCATCGTCATCGTCACCCGTCATCATCGTCATTGTCATCGTCATCATTGTCATCGTCATCATCATCGTCATCGTCATCACCGTCATCTTCATCATTGTCATCATCGTCATCGTCACCGTCATCATCATCGTCATCGTCATCAGTTGTAGGATATTATTTTAACATGTGTTAGTTCTCTTTCTGCTCTGGAGCATTTGTTTCATGTTTTGTAATGGAAAGATGCGTTAGATTAAGTAAAATCCACCTGTGGTCGGGAGGCTGGGTCAGAACTAGCTGACAGGAAGATGTAGGGAGGAGCCAGGTGGAGAAGGGTTTTTTTAAGGAGGAGCACGAGGACTTGTGGAGAGACTCAAGAGGGAGAGGAAGCGAGCTGCTTGCTCTTCAGCCACCTCAACCTTTGACGCACGCATGAGTTCTTCAGAGGGACGGAGGTTTGGATAAGTCCCCTTGTGACTGTGAAAGA